AGCTTTAAATGAGCTGACACAAACATTAGTGAGCTGACACATGGGTAGATGCATTTTCTCTCTCCTCTATTTTTCTCTAAACAACTTAACCTTTTGGTTTGATTTTGTTTTTCTTTTTTAATTGTTTCTTAATGCCCCACTTCGTCGTGTATTGCTTGAAAATTATATTTATACCACAAAATAAACTATAATAATGGTTCGTGTAGTGAGACCATATTTTGATTCTGTTTTATTATCTTTATGTGCTTATTGTCAACAATAGAATTATAAAACCCAATAATATATACTAAAGAAATCCATAGATAATTAATTTATTAGTGTGTAGGTTACCAGATTCATTAATTTTAATGAACTTTTGACAAAGAAGGTGCAACTTATTAAATCAAAATAGAAGTAAAATATATACAATTGAATACAATTGAATTCTCATTGTGTTAGAAGTTGCATGAATACGTTTGAAGAATTGAGTCTATAGTCATCAAAATTTTCAGCTCTTGAAAAGGTTAGAATGAAAAAAAATATATTTATTTAACTCATATAATATTAATATTAAATTATATGGGATGATACATATTTGTAATTGATAAGTCTTCATTATCATAAGTTAATAATTAGTAAATAATATAGTTTTAGCCTTAACTCATGATAAATAGACTTATATTTGTGTTAAAGTGTGAAAAGTGGTTTTCAGTTGATTAATGTGATTTTTTGGGTAATTATGTGATTTTACACGAATTTATATGATTTTTACAGTCTTGCTTTTGAGATAAATGAAGAAAAAGAAATAAAAAATAAAAAAAAGACAAAATGAGGGGGACCCGTCAGTCAGTCGGGCCCGCAAGCGGGTCAAAAGCTCAGTCAGGGAGTAGCCCCCAGTAGGAGCTCGAGCGGCTTGAACCGATGGGACAAGTGTGCGCCACTCCCCTTCCACATCATCGGTGGCCAACCGATTGTGAGGCAAGGAGTGGTCATACACGCGTGAAAAAGGGACTTACTTAGAGATCTAACATTACTATATATTCGCCTGAAAATTCAGCGCACAACTGATGTGGGACTAAACCCCCGTCACCTTCCCTAGAAGGGGCGGGCAACCGGCGGGGGTTCGAATCCTCCTAGAGCCAAAATTCATATTTTTTTATCTAATTATTGTGACTTTCCTGCAGATCGTCGTTGAAGGATTAAGCAACCAGAATTGCTAGATCATCGGCGAAAATCTTGTCAACACAATTTGCGGAGCATTGTTACTAAAATTGATGAACGATTCACGATAAAAGGATCGCGAATCCATCGAGTAAAGCATCTCTGATTGATCGACGAACAAGCCGTCGTCGGGAAGAGGACAATACGTCGGAAGACGAGTCGCCACCTCTTGGGAGCGTACTAGATGCGATGAAGAGCCTCCTCTTGCTGCGCAGACTTGAGGATGAAGCTCTCTAACACGCGCCCCACCTCCATCTAGCTCTTCTTTGTCGGGTGATAACTGCCAGAGAGCCGCAAAGTCGCCATTTTTCCGCTCCACCAGATGACAGCCGCCGGAGACGATTCGACAACCTATTTCATTGATCTCTAGACTTCGCAAGGAGATCTAGAGATTGCCCACATCATCTTTGTCCAAGGAGAGCCTTCGAGGCCGTAAACACTGCACGACTATCCTCCCGAACGCTCAGGATTCCGGTACATCACCAACGCATCGCTGCTGCGACATCAGAACTCTATTTTCTTGCTTTCAACTTACTTTACGCTTCATTTAGTGATAATTTGTGTGATTTTAATTTACCAAAATATACTTCATTCAATTACGATTCTTCCGGCTTTTACAGATCTTAATTTGATCAATTAAATCATCTATAATCGCTTACGTAAGAATCGCCGGGTGGAACTCTATTTCTGTCCGATTCACGTTCGCCAGGTGCTGACATCATCTTGACGTCCGCACCCTTATTTTTCTTTTTTGTGAATTTTAAGTATATTTCTTTTTCATTTCTTAGTATAAAATTCATATAAAATAATATTCTTTGAGGAAAATTCTAGATAATTACCAGATATTATATTACATCCATGTGATTGACCTGGAAAATTATCGCTATTTTTGGAAGTTTTATTGAATTATAATTGATATATTTGTTCAGAAATACTTCTAAATATCTAAAAATTCGTATTTTCTAGTTTTATAAATTTTATATTTGCGTGATTTAATATACAACGACTAAGTCACGTTAGTAATTATCTTAAAGGTTCAACAAAAATTTCAGATTATGGACTTGTTGGACTTTTCATATATATCATTAAAATGAGTAACTTATGAGTGGTCTCATTGGATCATAAAAAGTACCCAAAAAGTCAAATGTTAGGATTAAAGTTATAACAAGATGAAATAGATTAATTAAAAAATATCACAATGCCAAAAACAAGATCTCTCATTTCAAACGATAGAATTTTAATTTTTTAGAACTTCAAAAAATAGGAAATATATTTACATGAGTACTCATTTATCAAACCTTTGTATAAAAATATTCAAGAAAATCTGTTTAAGAAATGAATTCTCTTAAGTTCATCTAACCTTCCATATTTGTAGTACCTACACACATACTTAAGAGATATTTCCGTGTTAAAGAAAATAGATTTGAATTTATGTCCTTTTATAAGGTGTCTAATAGTAGGGGGCTGGCACTAGAAGCAAGATTGAAGTAAATTTGAACTTCTTTGATATCAAGTTTAGAAACAGTAATTTGGAAATGTGTCTAGCATTTAGGTCTTCTAGAGATTTGAATATTAGCATTCTATAATTGTACTCTAATAAGTTGCAATTCTTTCGGTCATGGCCTCATCTCTTTATTTTTATATCACCATATGCAACAATGGAGATGTACATTAGATTTGCAGAATTCTCAAACTACAGAACCAATTGGTTTCACACCAAAGAAACCTGCCCTAGGATGTCAAATGAAATAGGGTGGCTATTTTTCTACAACCCTGTATTTATGTGAGGCCCGGTCCCATACTCCTTTCCTTCCATTTGATTATGAGCAGGATCTGCACAAACCTGTGATAATATGGCACAGACTCTGCAAGGGTTCACATTCAGTTGGATTGATCAGTTTATGGACAACATCCTTCAGCGATGTTTCAATAATTTGAATTGATTTTGATTGTAGGTATCTAATAAATATTTCCCTTTCTAGCCCTAAAATGAACCAACACTCCTAGTTTTTCATGACTACAAGTGCATTTGACATAATAGTTACGGGCATGATAAGCAAGATTCACCTCCCCCCCTGCCCCCAACTCTTAGTTCCTTTTGTCTATCATTTTGAACCTAAACTAAGTTAACATATCCTTTCACTTCAACAATTCATTCAAGAAAAAGTCTACTTCTGAGCCAAGTGCAAAGTGATTTTAGTTTTTTCTTACCACTTATTCATTTTTATAATCCTTAAAAGTACCTAAATCCATGCAAATATTTTTACATTTAATGTTTTGACATCACAACTAATGTTTAGTAAAAATATATATCATATTTAACTTATAATTTTGTGTAAAAATATTTTATCAAATCAGAAATGTTGAAGGATGAGAATAGGATGTCCACTAGTGAATGAATTTTTGGAAAAGTAGAGCTTTATTCATTCACTCAAAAACAAAGTCGGCAATCACTTCCACTCTAGCAAGAAGTGAAGCAATGATTGCCTTAAATTAGAACAGTTTTAAGTGCATGCAAAGTTAAAACAAACTTTCATATAAATTTATAATTGGTAAACTAAGAGCTAGAATGAACAAAATTTATTACATTTTTTATTCAATAATTTTATTTTATGAAAATTATTGATAAAATTTATTCCTTTAAAAACTAGTAACCTTTTTGGAATTAATGTTTAACTCTAGCTCTACAAGCAATGTGAAACTATTATCAAGAGTGAGACTTCATTTATGAGACACTTATTTTGAACGCTAATCGGTGAAGCATTCTCCCTTGACTTGTCAAAACTAGAACAACACTTTAGATTCGTCTTAGAATTACATGCCCAAATTGTTGTAAACTAACAATTAATTTTTCTTTATTTTCATGAGCTAAATATTTCCTTCAGTTAATGGCGTATAGCTAGCGAGGTCTTTGGCGTATAACATATCCTCATTAGATATGTTACATTACCTCAAAAACTTTGTACCTAAATGATAAAGATGAGTCTAATCTATGGCGAGGTCTTATAGTGGTTCATTGTTCCCATTATTCAGACGTTCAAGGGCATCAGATCGATCCCAGTGGATCACCCCGTGTCCTTACGTACGAAACTCACGTGATTGAATCTGCAAGTTCCTAACTGCAGTTACCACAGCTGCAGGCCAGAGAAAGTGGACTTGTGTGGTCGTCAGCGATCGTTTACCGTCTCCGATGCCGCAAACGAACACTCTGCCGGATTGCCATTGTCGTTGATAGCAGATTGTGAAGTCAGGGACTTCTAAAACTGGTAGTCATCCTTCGCCTCATCTTCGTCGTCCATCATCCTCATCTCTCTTTCTCCCCACCTTTCTTTGGCTCGGTCTGGTCGACTACCCTCAATCATACCCTCCTCCGACAATGAGCTATCAGCGGCATCGGCAGAAGAATCGTCGCCATGCTTGATGACAGACCTCGCGGTCAACAACTTTGAGAGCTCGGGGGATTTCTCTTCAAGGTTCATGAATTCGCTCCACACATGCAAGAGAGACAACAAAGAAGACAGACCCATTGACGAAAATTCCGGCCAGCATCGTCTTACAGCCACACACTGCCCACGAGAGTTGCAGTAGGAACAAAATATTGTATAAGTAAGGGCAAGTACATCCACAGAGTCGTCTTCCTCCCCACCCGTGAACCCCCCCCTCCCGTTTCATGTCTAATACTCCCAAACAAACGTCACGGGCTCCCTCTCCATGCGCCCTATATAACACACGAGAGGCCACCCTCCTTCCCTTACCCCTCGGAAAACTTCTTTAGTACGTCGTATAGCTAGCGAGAGTAGATGGAGAAGAAGATGGCCACCTCAGCCCTCGTCCTCCTGGTGGCCGTCCTGGCTGTGGGCCACCTGGGTGGAGAGGTGGAAGCCCAGCAGGTTCTGTGCAACGTAAGCCAGGAGGGGCTGTTGGCCTGCAAGTCCGCCGTGACGAGGCCGAACCCGGCGATCCCCTCGTCGGCGTGCTGCGCCGCCGTGGCCAACGCCGACCTCCAGTGCCTCTGCAACTTCAAGAATACCAACCCTGGGGCGATGAGGTTCATGGGGATCGACCCAGAACTCGCCATGCAGCTCCCCAACAAGTGCAGCCTCCCCACGCCGGTCAAGTGCTAGGTCCACCTCCGTATTGTGTGTCGCTCCTGTGCTGTTCTTCATCGCCGCAATCGTTCTCAATGTTCTTTGCTGTCTATCACGTTTGTCTGTCTTTACCACCGACTGTTCTCCTCCCCCACTACATGTAATGAAATATTCCCTATCAGTTCATCGGTCTGTGTTTGAACTTTATTGAGATCTCTGCGGCGATATTGGAGGGCCCTTCGAACCAGATCTCAATCTCTCTTGAATCAACTCAACGACACAGATTTCATGGACTTCCATTTAATGACGCCGGTTTTTGTCCTCTGAAGAAGGTCGAGCGGTCGGGAAGGAGAAGCTGGGCTGATTCTGGGGCATTGAAGTTCTTAAATGGCAGGATTTTCTCTCTGGTCTCGACTTTAAACTGGCATTCACAGCCGCCCCCCATCTGCCACGTACCGCGCCCATCTCGAAGTCTTGGCCAAGAAAAGTTGGGCGGGACAGGTTGGGGCCGAGCTGAAGACAGAAGAATCCACATGTTCAACGATGAACCATGGATGAGGATGCTGAAGAAGTTCAGTGATGAGTGATGACCGACGATAAAAGACGTCAACTAATCAAGTCTGCCATAAAAATGGTTTCCTGCGAGCAGACCGCAGAAGAAAATGAAATATTAATCGTTCTCGCAGACCAAACCATCTGTTTTCCATGGCGTGACGGAGGTTTATAACTGGTCCTATCGTTAAAACGCGTAATTCCTGTCAACCAGACCATTACTTTTCTACGGAGTCACCTAACTCTTCAGTTGCCAGCAGTAAGCCTGATTATCATTCGGATTTACAGAAAAGATATAGCTTGTGAGAGTGAAATACGCTTTGAAGAAACTGCTTCCCTATATTCATACTACCGTCATATTATCTTTCTTCCATGTGAAGGTTATCTTATGATCATGATCAATGTTCTAATTCACATAGAACATTTCATCCTTTCAAACAATGTTGGCATTCACTATTGAACATATGGGAATCCATTTGTTTAACGTTGGTACATTGCTCTTTTTAATGTATACAAATTCACTTCTATGGCAATTATCATGCAATATTTAACTTATGAAAACCACGAAATTAAACATCTAGGCTAATTCATGACGGATATAGAATGATGAAATTTGAGATGAATTGTCTTAACTCTTCCATGGGTAGCACTTTGGTTGGAGCATCAACAATTTGTCATTTCAAAGAAAATAGGTCAATATAATGTAGAAAAACAAATGTTAATCATGCATGATGAGCATAACTGCCTTCATGAATTTGATATGAACTGATTTGAAGCTCATATATTTACAATATGAAAAAAAATAGTGTTCTTCTAATAGGGCACATACTAAGAGAACATTGCAATCATGTCATATCCAAATGTAGTGTATCATATGATGCATTGACTTTATTGTAAAATGATATACAGTATAACATTTCTTTCTACCTTTAAATAAAGGAAATATTCCTAAAAAATACTGCATCTAGTTGTAGAGAAGTACTCGTCATCACATTAACCTCTTCCAGCGTCATCATAATATGGTAATGAAACACAACGAAAGTAATTTAGGAGTACCACACAACAGATGAATGTGGATCCATTAACATATGATCATGACATGTACACTCATAACCAATACACATGTGTATTGACTACCAATTGAAACATAAGAGTATCTAGACAACAATACTGAGCTTTGGAAATATCTGAAAATCACTCTTGTCCGGCATGTTGTTTAAGTGGTTCTATGAGAATGAGAGAAGATAAAAGGACATGGTACGCTTAAATCTACTTTGTCAATGGTCTATTGTGACACTAAGTGACCATGTAAAGAGAGTTAACTCAAGGTTCAAACAATGTCACAAAATTTTCACTTAAAAGGTCAATTTTTATAGATGCTACTTGGGGTGATAATATTTATAAAATTAAGTATGACTAACATCTCAAACTCAAAGGTGACATGACTCTTGAGATGTGTAAGTGCGGCATAATGCGTTGCTACATTCCTTTTCGAAGGGTATCTACTTTGCCCTTTCTGATTTTTTTATTTCTTTATTCAGCACACTTAACCTAATAATTCTTTTTTTTATGATTTATCTACGACAATGGTTACATAACCACTTTACGTTTGGTTTTGTCTCTCTATGTTTCTCTTCCCCCCGCCAGAACTCAAGTCTAATACCCATTAACCTTGTCTATTCACCAACCGTAGTCATTGGCAAGATACAATTAGCTCCAAATATCACTCTCTTTCTATTTCCTTCTTAGAAAATCTTATCAGACACATGCTCTGCGGTATGTAGCTCCTCTTTAGTAAAGATTCTGACTCCTCTGAGGCACCTCTTCTGGTCCATCATCTCTATTTTCTGCTTTCTAAGAGAGACTCTCTTCCATGGTTGCTTAAACATATACCATCCAAGTAAGATGCATCAAAGAAGTATAACTCTTCCCATTTGCTTCTCTTAGTTTAGTTAGTGAATTATTATGGAGCCGGGTAAATAATGTTTGAATTGCATCTTGTTCTTGTGCACACATATGCGCCCATATAACCTGGTGTAAACCTCATCAATTACTAATCCAAAAATCTAAGTCATCACACGATTGTCACTCAACTCCCAAGCAGTGTATCTTGTCACACTTACCTCTCCCAAACTATTGACATGAAGAATTTGTTATAAACCATACTAAATTATTTCCTGTGAGTTTTGTAAATATCATATAGAGCAGGTTCTTCGAACTTGGTGGAGTAGGGGCGTGAAAAGAACTGCTTTGTAGGACTCCATCACCATGGAGAGGGCCCCTCTTAGAAAATGATACATGAGGAGGAAAATTGCAGGAAACGCTTAGATCCTCTTGACCAAACACCTGCATGCAAGCACAAGGGAGGTCACCAGACAGGGTAGGGCAATGCTTGGATACAACAAAAAAGATTGCCCAGTAAATGATAAGAAACGAGACTTGAGAACCTTATGACATATGCCATCTAGATGTCTCCTTTGACAACTATGCCTCTTCAGCCATGGTATGTTTTTATTCAACACACTAACCCCTTATTAATTGGATTCAAGTTCATGTAAATGTGGAAAACAACAATAAAAGAAAAAAAAAAATGTTGATAGGAGTCAACCATGGGAAAGTTTGGGACTGATTGATTCAACCAGAGCTTTCTCAATGGACATTCTCCATGATGATTGGAACGCACAAAATAAATGATTTCACTCTAAGTGATGTGGCAAGCAGAAATGATACGTGGAGTCATTTCATTTTCCAATGGCAGACTCTAAGAAATATTTACGAGTTGATGTTATATGAAATGGAAAGTTGTGCTTCTAGCTCTCAAGTCATTGGACGACGGAACTTCATTAATATGAAAGCTTCACCTGTCAAACTTTCTCTACTAGGTGTGCTTAAAGCATAGTAAAAAATAAATGAATGAAATATTTTTGGGCTTGAGAAGCGAGGAACAGGAGCTGCATTAAAGTTGGCAAAAAATAAATGAGTGATAGGAACTAAGCATTAAGAACCCTCATGAGGTGGAGTGTATCATATGAAAATATACAGGATAGAACAGCCGAAGGCATCCTCATAATCAGAACAAGGGAACTGAGAATTCAAAGCAAATATCATTCACAGATCAATGTTCCATTGCCATTAGGATTTTAAAATATCATTCCTCTTTTGAGTCACACAGAAAGTATCGACCACCAGCTTCCAGCTTGTAGAATGTACAAGTCAGATGAGTGCCCTCAATCTACCCTTCTAATATTTGGAGCATGGGGTTGTCAAGCAGACCCTCTCCAGAGGGTCCTTTTCATACTGGCCGTCATTAAGTGACACAAGAGAGGTTAAGAAGAAAATCCGTGCAATAGTGTCAAAAGAAGGCTGAATGAAGAGCTAAACTGCAGAAACGAGGAGGGCAAAGATTTCCTTTTTTTTTCATTAGTAGAATTCAAAGAATGTTCTAGTAAAATCAACTGCACACAATGAATGGCACATGAAATATATGATGAATTAGTGAATTCCAAATGCATTCCCCTCCCTAGCTTACCACCGTACAACCATCCAAGTCCAGACATTTCTCGGTGCCCAGGTGACATTGAGCCTTCTTGGGTGAGGTGAGACTGGACCAGTCCATTGTGGCACCATGCAAAGTAGGAATAACAGCATATATTTGTCAGTTCACTTATCTTATTTCTGAGAGTGAGAATGAACCAAGGAAAGTACACATGCTGCGATGAACATTCCAAGAGTGGTAACAGATTGAAGCATAGGGTCAATTGACTCTGCTGCGTCAAATGCCAATCTAATTGCCTGGAGTTCCTACTCCACCTTATAAGATCTTCCCACGTTCATGTTGACAAATCATTATTCCTCATTGGCGACCAAATGGAAGACAAGTAATAATACAATGAAAATAATTGAAACATCCCTCCTACATAGATCCAAATAAGAGTTTAGGCGGTATACAGCTGCAAAGATCGCAGTAGAATCCCAGTAGACGGATGGATGTTCTATCTGAGTACAACATTCAGCTTGCTCTGCATAGCTTCTCTGACATTCCACTGCACAAGAACAAATAATACACGTTGAGACATTAATTATTCTGAGATCAGAAACGGCTCAGAGGCCATTGGAGGACCCAGAGGAGATGCCTCTACCTGCAACTGGTTTATCTCTTCATCTGTGAGTGAACGTTCCGTTGACCGATAAGCAATTCTGTAGCAGTGACTAGTCATTCCCTTCTTGTTGGTAAAATTGTCGATCAGCTGGACCTGAAAGTAAATGACAGCAGTTAGGAATCCGACTGACTGAATTCTCTGGAAAACAAAAACATACGGCGTAGTTTGCCATGAGCGATCAAGTTCGTCTCAGGATGTAGAGCCCAATAAGTTTAGAGGCCAAATGGTGAAGGGCCTGGGGATCTGCCAAGCCCAGGGTTTATTACTTTGAAAATGGGTTCATGTTGTCATTCTGATCAAGGAAAAAATACTCTTTTTCCTTCGATCGGCATTCATTATCTATACATGAAGAGATGGCTATATATGTGCATACATATACGTCCTTATATGTGAACAGACTGATACCTTTGCAAAATACCAGACATTAAATTCAAGTGACAAAAAGGGCAGATCCTGAGGTACATAGTGACTAATGTAGTAGACCTATATAAGCAGGTTGTCTTACACAACCAGGTATCTTCTACATAAAATTCATGATCCCGATTGATCTCAGAATTAGTAAGAAATCATTCAGGATTCCTAATCAAAGAATCATCAAGCCGAAATGCTGCTTCTAGGATGCTTGGAAAATATGCGGTTTATCAAAGATTTTGAGGACAAAGCCACCTATATTAAAAAACAAAAGAAGATTAGATGAAGACTACCACCATTTCGGTACCCCATCTCTCCCAGAGTAATTCTGTACTATCCCCTGCATTTATTCCGATCCTTTTACTCTTTATTCATATTCTAGCATCCATTAATGGATCACCCAATTATCCCTTTGTTCATTGCAGTATACAGGAGGACCTCGACTGACCTGTTAACTCTTCCAAGTACCTTCTCTATCCTACATGCAAAGTCATATCCATGCTCGGGACTAAGTGAAAGTTCATGAAGAAAAAAATTTGGGAACTTGAAAGCTGTTATCAAATACATACCGGAAAACACAAACGAAAAAAAAAACGATAAAACATAAGCCTTTTATCCATGGATTTTTTTTTTTCTTAAACAGTATTTTTTTCCTTCTTGTATGCAAACCTGACATGGAAATAACAACTAATATGCTCAAAGGATACACATGTAATCACCAAATTTAAGAAACTCAATTGGATAGATCATTTTATTTTAATGGTACGAAACAAGTTTGCAATCATTTTCCTCTCGCAGATTCAATTAGAAATTTATGGAATGAGCATCATCTCGACAATCGGAATGCAAAGCTGGTAATTTTCTGTTTACCATAAAACAGCATGCTATGATGCCATCAAAAGGTTTTTCAAGTTGCATAAATCGGTGATTTGATTGAATTAAAATAAGAATAATTGTGAAATGAAAACAACCAAGCAAAGTAGTGCGTGCAGTACCTCCTCTACTAGGTCCCCAGCAATTCCTCTGACGACTTCACATAAATTGTTCTCGGTGAATGAATCGCTGATCCAAAAACTAACATCTTTGTAACAAGGAGGAAACTGCAAAAAGATAGCTCTCCTTGAGGTTTCGGTGACAGTTTCTAATGGGCCTTCAGAACTTCGAAGAAGGTTATGAACATAATGAAATTCTTCTCAATTTTTAGAAAGCATCATGGACTACTAAGAAATCACTTGACGTACATGATCGTAATTATGGCATACTAAGAAATCAGCTCAAAAATTTATTTACCCATAACAGATTTTAAAAACTACTTCATTATTTACTGCTTCAATGTAATTATACACTCATCCCCTAGCGATAGGTTAGCTTAGGGAACTCTAACTCCCAGAAATCATAGATTTATGAACAATACTTTGTTCAGCTATCAATTAAATACCAGAGGAACATCTGTGATTATTCACCTCCTAGTAGGGGTTGGGATTATTAGTGCGCTGAAAAACGTACGCAATCGGTTGTCACAAGGGTCATTTGAAAAGATTGGTAAAACTGAACTTTCCATCGCGTCTTCCAACATGTTCAGTAACAACATGAATCCAATATTTGAATCCGACCTGTGGCTCAATCAAACTAGCTTCTGAACAAAAATAGGAAAAACATTTTATTTCACTTACTTATCTAACTTATCTACCCCTTTGGTAAATGAGAAGATGAAATTATTCGATTTTACTTTAAGATGAATTAGTTAACTAGTAATGCAGTCTTCAAAATAGTGTTGTGGCAACTATGCATCGCACGTCTGTCTACAACAAGAAAGTTAGGGTTTCACAGACTATTATACTTCAATCAATGCATGATAATAATATGTACACGTGATTGTCACCTATTATACTTCATTTGTATAATGTTAAGCATTATGAAATTAAATTTATGTCGGATCTTAAACTACTTGAGACGTATATTTTGTACATCAATTTCACAAGCATCGTCATATTCTTTGTCAATCGAATCTAAAAAGAACGGAAGACAGGATTATAAGCAATAATGTCACTACAGATGACACAGACATTGAGATTGACCAGAGACAATCACAAGTGATGGGTGAGTAATCTTCCTGCCTTTACTGAGCATGTTCAGCATTATAACCAAAAATAAATTTCATTGTTATCCATGTTCCAATAGCCACTTGTCAGATAAAGCATGATTTACAGCTTCTGGATAATTCAAGATTACTTATATCAGCCTGGAGATTACGATCCAAGATATCAAGAGGTTAGACGCAGTCCACAGGATGGCTTATAAAAAGACACACGCCTAAGCATAATAATTTTACTACAATTTAGAAACCAACGGTGAATAAACCATAAAAATTCCATTATAATCAACAGAAATATCAATTTCAAGCACCATCTAAGTCTGTTTCGAGATGCAAACAAAAAATAATCTTAACTGTGCTCGTGAACACATTTGACACACAATAATCACTACCGATACAGAGACCCTTTCGTGTTTGCCATTGCAAATGTAACCCAATTTATAGAAAGCCGTTTATCATTTTCATCTGCAGGGTTAGAATAAGCGCAGGTGCAGAATGTACTCATACCTTCGAAAACGGCTTAAACTTGGCACCAAGCTGACCTTCAGAGAACTGTAAGAAAGAACCAAATCAGAGTTCAGGTAAAAAAAATGCATTGTTTACGTTGGAGCACTTAACACGACAGCATACTCCATGGAAATAATTAGAACCTAATGGCCTAAAGGGAGATAACCATCAATGTATCTGCTTAAAAGATAATTTTGCAGAAGCGTGACATGAATGTTTACATAAATTTTCAATCATGCACGAGAGGGGTCGTTTGTACGCTAACTTGAGAGAATGCTTCTGAGAATCACTTTCATTTGCACATTAACACTCGACAGACATCACAATGTTGGCCTCGTGCGACTGTAGGTATGCACTAGCCAGAACTACTGAGATTGAATATCAAGAAGCTCGACCATAAGATCGCATCTAGATGTACTGTCCAGGCCCATCATTTCCCTCTTAATAGACGTTATTGAAAAAAGAGCTTTACAAGAAAATGAAAATTGTGAACATCTGTTTCATCAAACATTGGCAGGTCAACAAGATGTGTATTGAAAATCATTAATAGGGCCTTCATCTTCAAAGTTAAGTGTACAAACAAATAAATGAATAGATGCAAAGTAAAACATACTTGAGAGGTAAACCGTTCATCAGTTGACCAGAAAAGCCGAATGTCTGGAATTTCAAAGAGAACCATTGCCAGCCGCTCCAGGCCAAGTCCGAATGCCCAAGCAACATTATCCATTCTATCACTTCTCTTTAATATCTCCTGTTCAGTCACTCCACATCCCAAGACTTCCATCCACTTCTCCTGAAATAATGTTAAGATCAACAGCTAAGATCTATTTAAGAAAATAGATAGAAAACCAATGAAGGTAGTGAAGGAAAAACTAATAGCATTGACTAAACGACCCACTAGCTATGAAGGAGTTTAGTTCCGGCCAGAATTAAATAATATGGTGATTAGTTTTGGACAGGCACATTAATCAAACAAATGTATATTTTTGGGCATTTGGACTGGGTCAATGTATCATAGCATAAATTCCATTTGATGCAGAACTCTATAATGCTCCGCATTGATCCTCCTAATGGTGAACCTTTTTTGGCAGAATGCGATACTTTCAGGAGGGATCATTTCTTATTTTTTAAATATCCAATTTATAATGTGTTAAATATTTTATTGATATCCAATGAAGAGAGGAAAAGATTAATGATCCATTGAGCTTGGTTATTTTAAAAAGACTTAAATTTTCATACATTAGTAGTGACACAAAAAAGATCAGTCTTTAAATCCAGAACTTGATAACTCAGGTTTTTTCAGATACTGATTTCAGAGTTGACTTTTGATTGAGCCAGCTAAAGTTTATTTTCTGACAAACCCCACCATAAGTTGAAGTGTTGCCTCTTCTTTTGCTCTTGTTTTTTCTTCCGACCTCAATTATATCCCATAACTATATGTCGGTAAATTTCAAGATTTCTCATAATGAAAGCCCAAGTAGTCTTCAGAGCGACTTTTGATATCCCCAAAATTCTGCAGAAGAGCTCAAGAGGCATCCTTCACTCACACAGTGGTCGATGGAAAGTAGAGGGCAACGTCTGTAAATACCATCACAAATCAAACTATCACGTTCAGAAGGATATAAACCGGCAAAAACCCAACAAATTATAGATGTCATTGGAAAGCTATGTTAAAGCACTGCTCTACCCGAACCAGGTCACATATGCACCACAGCATTACCAGTAACAGTCTCCAATATTACTATCTCAACAATATAAGTTATTTCTTTCTGCCAGAGTGTTGTAATAGTAACATGAATTTAATACGGGTTACCATCATACTCACTGCTTTGAAATACTGATAAAAGGTTTAACTGCATGTGACTGACTATTATCCTGTCCACAATTGTAAGGTTACAGCTAATGACTGATCATGTGCAAAATGCCGGACTTGGGAGTTTTTTCTGCATTTACATCAATATTCTTTGAAGGAAAACAACGAACATCTAAAATGCATAAATGATCAGGTAAACAGCATGCAAAACAGGATAAGCAATGATATAGAGTTCGTGAAAAAAACCTGAAAATATATCTCCAATTCAAATGACGGATTAGTAAATGGAAAATACGTATCGACCCAGCGCATCTCAACATCACCTACAGACAGCAAATTCTCGTTTTGAGCAGACTGCTGCATGTCAATGAATATTGCATTTTACCAAGATCAACCAATTAGGTACTCTACAGAACCAAATAAAAAAGAAAGCACGTGCAGAAACAATATAGCTATTACCAAATAAATGGCATGCTAGACCCTCCAGAGACTTTTTTAGATCCATAGCAGCATATGACGTGGCATCCAACCCCGATGCCTGCCATTCATCAGGAGAGAAAACACGAACACCTTCCATCTGCATGTTATATAGCAACAGGAAACTAAATAAAAGAATATAGAATGATGATCATGGAAATTAACTGCAAGACATAATCTTACCTGATGGAATACTGGATAGTGAGTAGCGTCAATGGAATCTCTACGGTAGACATCACCAGTAACAAGAAATTGATTATGTCCTTGTCTCAATAGCTCAACCTGGTGAGCACTTGTGTGGCATCTTAAAACAGTGTTAGCATTGACATAGTATGTATCATTGTAGCTCCTGCTCACATGATCAGCAGGAACCAAGACATCATCAAAATTCTGCAGGCATTACAATTCACTGAATGAAGATGATAACCAGGAAGAGCTGAATTCATGAAATATCTAAATGTCTCACACGGAAGGAAAATTATAAACGCAATAAGTTACAGTAAATAAATACTTTATTCAGGAGAGACCCAACAATCACAAACCATTATATATAAAGTCCTCGACATTATAATCCCTTCTAATTTTACACATACCACCTGTCGGATAGATATCAAGGTCAAATTAGAGATGAATGGGCTTCCAGGTCAGTCACTAGAGAATATTCAACTAAAAATAAAGATAGGAAGCGATGGACTGTCAAAACAGAATTGACTTGTTATAATCAGAGCACGAGAATCCAGAGTTCAAAAGCTATAATCAGAAAATAGCAAAGATCGGATGCATAATTTCTGAATCTATGTGCATGTAGGGCACGAGAATCATTCTCAAACCCATATATCAAGCACCTGGACTTGCTACAAGAGTTCTAGTCCATCATCTACAAAGTATCATGTTTACTGGATTCAATGGCAAGTTAGTGACGTTACAAGATTGGCAACTCTAAGATAAGAGTGGACCAAACATTAAAAAAAAATCCATTAGTCACTGACCGGTATTAAGATAATGTCAAGAAAAAACCATGGTGAAGTATCATTCTGTGACCTTTTTTAGGCTCACTTCAATAAAATTTGCGAAAATGGATAAAGTTGTACTTCAGTCTTCTTCTTTAAAGAACAGACTCCATCAGAAAAATGGACTCTATTAAGAGATATCCATTTTTGGATGCCTCTGAATCAGCATCAATTACGTGTAATCAGTATCAGGCGATCAGGAAAAAGGATTTCCGCAAATTTTAAATTGTTTAGCCATATAGATATAGAAATTATTTATGTTCAGGGAGGAAATGAAAGGATAATAGAATCCAAGACGAAATTTGATTTGACTACATCATCACTCTGTCCCGTCCTCTCAATTAACTGTGGAAGTTGTCATGCGTTACACAGAACAGCGGCAAATAAAATATTACATTTACCAAACAAAGAATCACACAATCGGACAAAAAAATTGTTGAAAATTGCATGTGATCATAAACATGATGTAATCATGACACTTCCATTATAAAGTGTGATCTCCATCCCAGTAACACAACAACACAGGACGAAACATTCATCTGCAATTAGTGTAACGAAACCACAAGATCATTTAGAAGACATCAGATATTAGTATCCTGAACCCTGAACTTCAAGTGGAAGCCTAAACAAGTCTTCTTGGAATGGGTGGTCAAGAATTCACAACACTCAACCATGATGATTAGGCATAGCTCAATATAATGATAAATGACCACTTTGGGATCTAGGAGATGTCTGCATAATATTTTATTCTCTCCTTAAACTAATAATAAGGTCTATTTTCTAGGAATCATGGATCCATCCCAGGCCCATGAGGGGGACTTAAATGGTTGGTCAATTGGTTTACACTTCAACGCCCTAAAGTTGTACAAAATATCAGGTATTCATACACTAAGAGTTAAGGTAATGTGAAGCTGAATACAAAAACAGATTAGGACTTGGACATGTTATTCTTGACACTGTCATATATTCCATTGAGTAGCTGCTTACATAGATCGAATGTTAAGAGAGCCATTAATCATTAAGCTAAGAGATTGTGAAGGTCAATATATACATTTGAACTTTCGTCATTTCTAAATCTACTTTATTCTATGTATTAAAAAAACTATACTATGTGTTTTGCCCAAGTAATTTGAGGCTAAACTGACAATCGGCTAATTCAATCCCAAACTTTACACTAGTAGTCCAGCCAGTGTCAGTGAATTCGAGGCTCGAAAAGACATCAGGTAATTCAGACCATGTTGTTCTTGACCACTGAATAAATCGTGCATAATAGAAAAATGTACCTGACAGACCCTATTTCCTTCCAAAACAGGGTCAGATGTCCATGTACAAGAATAAGCTGCAAATAAAATTTGGCACAAAATAGAAAAAGGTACAGAAGAAACGGGACAAAGAGAAAAGCAAAACTCACATTAAAACACAAAATCGAAGAAAAGAAAAGTGAAAATGTAAAGTGAAACAAAAAAGGGATTTCAAGATGCAATAGAATTGAGTTTGTCAGTTCCCAAAGTTAAAAACGGGCCCTGTGGAGAAGTAAGAATCTCCCAGTTTAGCAGACTAACGAAAACTAGTGGATGTTAGCAAAGATGAGGATCAACCAACTCTGGCAAACGCATTCTATTCTGTTTGATATGTCACGATCAAGTAATTTCCAAAATTGCCATAACAAAGGCCAATTGATGTAATTAGCTGATTGAAATGAGATTCATCCAAGTTCCTAATCCATGGTCCACAATAATAAAAGGATAGAAACAGACTACATTGTACTGGTTATAAATAGAAAATGCAACTAGTTGAACTAAACAGAAGAACAATCTTGAAGAAGAACAAAGGACAAGAAAGCAAGGTGCAAAATCTCTTTAGGTCATTTCTTCTCAGAAGATAAGATAATTTACATACCATATTAAAAAATAAAAGCTAATGAGTACAGACGATGCGAAGTAAAGAGTGAGATCTGAAAAAATGTGCATAAAGACAAACTCAAAAAATATCCAACCAATACGAGGCACTCAACTACGACAGGGCTCACATGGCAGGGTTCTTTAGGATTAAACAATATAGTTTTTTAAGACAGGATGAGACACGGGGATAGGAGAATGAGGAGACTAATCTCATTAGTTAAAGGAATTAACATCAATATACTTCTCATGGACATGATGATTTTCCAATAATTCTGGTATGTTAGGGAATGAAGCACATACCCTTCTCTACAGGTTGTTCATATTCATTTCAAGAAGGCTAAGACGGTAGTGTAAGTCTCATAAGATAGCTCACCACATACACCCCCCACACTAACCTCGATAATTCTCTATCCAATTCATTCAAGGAAAAAGATAGCTCGTTTAAAAGCCCAAGCCCTGTCTAATAGGGTTTCGAAAGAGAACTAAAACTGTGAATTATCAAGGAATACAACAAGAAAATGTAGAATGCAATGAAAATAAAGATATTTCAATGAAAATAACCTGAAAATCCAATTAATGCTACCATTGGGAATCCTTCACCAGCCAGGACATCAATGTTTCAGTTTTTCAATCCGCGAGCAAATGTTGGAATGGAGGAGACCCTAATGGCACTCACCACAATCATCTATATGAGCATAATTTTGATGTGTCTTTTGTCTTTCATTTACAATCTCATAAGAAAAATGGTCCACTTTTGCCAATCTATTTGCTTGTCAAAATGACACAACAATGAATTCAAATAACAGTCTGCATTTCCATCCATCTGATGGCATCCAGAGAAATCAATTTCTTCTTCCCTAAAGGACGGGCAAAACGATCTATGTGGATAACTACACTGATATACAGTGCAATTTCTCATTAACAGATTCAGGTCGAATCACCGAGAAAAGCACCGGCCTGAATACTGAATGGTCGTTACTCCATACTACCAGCTTGCCCTAAGAGCTACGATTATGGAAGAAGGGACGACATCATTCCACTTCATAAATGCCAGATAAAGTTTCAGAAAACGGCCATAAAAAGCAACGAAATTCATAAACAATGGCAGTGTAGCCCGTCTTCTACCTCCTTGGTGGAAACGATAGGAGAAAGATTGTCGAATTTGACAAACTTCCCCGAGTAGTTTGTGTCGAAGTATTCATAGATAGCGTTCTTCAGGATTCCCAGGGGATGGTTATCCCTCCTGTGGAGCTGCAACCCAAGCTTGGAGAAGATTGTATCGGGCACGTTGTTCGTGGGGTCATCTTCTCTCACCACATCTACATCGCCATCCAACCGAAGAGCGCACCACAATGAGGAAAACAGGAAAATTCAAGACCGACGAACCGCCAATGCGGTCCGCAGAGCACGAAAACCGATCGGAGGCCTCACCTTCCTTGACGATCTTAACGCCCCCAACCTCCAGCACGGCAGCGACGGGCGCCCACCTGGATTTCTTCTGCGGAGAACCGGAAGAAAGAGAGGAAAAAAGAGAAGCGGGAGACCCCGAAGAAGGGAACGGAATGGAGAGGGCGAACGTTCGGAAGCGGTGATGGTGGTACTGCTGGTGGAGGAAGGAAGACGGCCGGCAGAGAGAGGAGTGGACGAGGGACGCTGCAGCCATTGGAGGGGGGAAGAAGGAAGAGGCGGGGAATCCAAACCCCCCCCCAGAGGTCTCAGATAAGGCGAGCAGGGCGACCCAGAGGGTGGCGCTTGAAGGTTCTATCCTCACCGAGATCACTCGTTCACCTGAAAGCGAACGAGTCCGGCCGGTTCAGTGGGGGCTGACCCATCCCGGTCCAAGGCGCTCCATTGAACCGGACTAGTCAACTTTCGGATATGTGAGAATATATTACACCACGCATATAGTCCTAGGGGAATATTTCTTCATCGTATGCAGTTTAAGAAAGGTATTTACGGGGGAAAATACATATAAATTCTATAAATAATTTTGATAAACCCATCTCATAGTATGCACTTTATTTATATTATACCATGCATTAGTTCCAAGAGGATATTTCTTCATCGTATGCAGCTTAAGAAGGGTATTTCTGGGGGAAATTACATATATATTATTTTATAAATAATTGTGATCAACACATTTTTTTAACTTATTTATATTATACCATGCGTATAGTCCCGGGGAATATTTCATCATGGTATGCGGTTTAAGAAAGGTATTTCTAGGGGGAAAACATTTATTTTGTAAATAATTTGGAGGGGCTCAACTGATATTATGCACTTTATTTAATCATGCATATAATCGCAGCAGATTTCTTCATTGTGTACAATTTACAAACGGCATCTCGCGAAAAAATAATATTTTATGAATAATTTGGAGGGACCCAAGTCATAGTATGTAATTTATGTCATGCATATAATCCCATGGGATTTCTTCATCATAAATAATTTAAGAAAGGCATTTTTCTAGTGAAAAATTAATTTGGAATCATTTTTTAGGGTCCCAACTCATACTATGCACTTTACACCATGAACATAATCCCAAAGGATTTCTTTATCGTTTACAAGCATATTAATTTATTTCAATAATCATTTTTCAGCAATATTACTCCTTTAATTCATTTAAATAATCATTTTTTACTGATACTAGTCATTTATTAAAAAATCACGAGTCATATTTAGAACTAGTAAAATAATAATTTTCTTCCATTATTTAGCGTCCAAAATTTGATAATTCCTTAAAAAAGATCTTGATACGTTGGAAGCTATCTAAAGGTGCAGAATTTGCCCATTATCGATTAAATAAAAGGATAATATTCCTTTTTGTGGTTTATAAATTGAGTTGGTCACAGTTTTTTCCCCAGTTTAAAAGGATAATAAAAATCGAAATTATCAGCGAGAGTGAAGTGAATTGATATGATCTCATTTAATATATATATACATCAAATGGTATATGACTAGTTTTTCACGTGGCTCTTTACATGGGAGCTGATTTTCTCGACTTGATGACGTAGATTTTACCGTCCGCTCTGGTTTCTTCTCCCTTTCAGCTCTTTTAAGAGTAGGGCGGAGTAAAAACGTACGGCCCTGATGGCCAATTTATTGACTTGTTGAGCTCGCCGTTGACGGCGGCGCAGAAGCGTTCCACTGGCGACCTTCCTCGGCGTTGACGCCGTCCAATCTCTCTACGTCGCCGTCGAGCTCCGCCGCCGGCGAACTCGCCGTCGCTCACTCCCCATGACTTCGCCTCATTAAATGCTTCCATGCATGCGGTTTATTACGAAGGAACCACAGGGTCTTTCTTCCGAGATGCACCGGCCCAAGAACCTCCGACTCCCAGCTCTCCAAGAAGAATCCACATCCAAGCTGCATGGATCTATCTGCCTTGAGCTCGATCTCCTCGTACTCTTCTTCTCTACGGCGTGTTCTTCGTGACTTCTTCGTGTGTTCTGAGCTGATGGCAGTCTGCGGAATGCCTGCGATTGCGTCACTAATGGAGCTAAGAATGCTCATCTGCGTGAAATAAAACGAGGCACTGCAAAAAGGCATGAATGCACGTACGATCAGGCTTTTCAATTACTGCACAAAAATTACGGCTATGCATGTGAAAAATCGGGCGATAAAATTATCCGAAAATAAAATTTTGACGTGACTTGACGTGACGTGAAGTGACGTGACGCGAGAAGATTTTCCGATAGAAACCCTGCATTTAGACAGAAGGGAGTTTTATGGATCTTAATACACTTGCCGAAAAAAGGCATGAAGAAAGAAAAAGCAGGGAAAATTTAGCTATGGCGAGAGCTGCTTTCGATTCTCATCCATTTATCATACTAAACCAGAGCTTTCAAGGCCACAAGGAGGGGTGGTGAGATTCTCTCGTCTTCGTCCCTTCCACGCCCTTCTCTTCCCTTCTCTTCGTCACTCGGCGATGTCCAGAGGACTCAAGCCATCTTTTTTGTGATTTCTCCCTTTATAACGACCGCAGAAAACACCCATTCATTCAGGAGTCAACGTGCTTGTCGTGGGTTTCGTTGGGCTGAACTAAGTCGTCTCATGCCCCATCGATTTCGTTGTCGGCAGTTCTATCTTCGTCATGCATGCCCACTTTTATAGCAGTTCAATTTTGTCTTTTCTCAATAATGTTATTGATAATCTTATTTTTAGAAAACCATCTTATTTTAAAATGGACTATCGATATGGCAGTCTCCATATCGCACAGAGATGATCCAATACTTTTGTAAATAAATAAAAGATTGAATAGTTTTTCTCTTTTTTATCTAGTTTCTTCTTCACAATCTCGATTATATTTTTTTGCATTTTTTGCTATACAACATTGTCATATTGAAAAAATTAATATGAGTTATTTTATGTTAACGTATATCACTAAAATACATTGATCGCATAAAAACCTTATTAAGTAAAATTTAACCACCAAACTCTTTATTGACCATTACAAATTAGCACTATAACTACAAGCTTACCTTCAGATTCATTTATTTCGCACACCACATTGTAAACTAATGTCTATGACCAAAGGTAGTTAAAACTAATATAAGTTCATCAAAGCTTAAATGTTGATTATTTTTAAAAGCTGTATGATTATTTTTCATATAATTACTGAAGATTAAGTCTCAAAGTTAGAGCTGACATGATCAAATCCATCTTTCTCGATGTATGTTGAGAATTCGTTGGGAAAAAATAATAGATACCTTTCATGGTGAGTTTTCTTTTGTTTTTTCATACTTTGGAAATAAAATTTAAGTGTTTCAAATTGGCCGCTCGATATCTAAAGGAGTATATTTTGAGATACTTTTCCATAAGAGGAACAATTCTTCCTGAAAAGAAGTCGTAAGGTGCTCCAATCGCATCTGTAAAGAAAAATAGACGACCAGAACACCAGCAAGCCAGACAAGATCGCAATGTGGCATCATAATATCATAATATCATAGTTTACTGAGAAAATGGTAAGTTTATTTAGATGAAAGAACTCCTAACATCATAATATCCCCACAAATAGATCATCATGGAATACGTCACCGATGAATATTGGAGAACAAAGTGCCACATTATTGCTCCCCTTTTCTTTTATCGACACGGGAATTAACTCAACCTTTTATACTGAGCATCTCATTTATTGTTTAAATGATCTCATTTTCTAGGCCATTCCGGCGAGAAACGGCAGCTTGTTTTGCGTAAAAGTAACTCCGAAGAAAAGGGGACCTAGTTTGCCGGAGAGACATGTCAATAAGGCAAAATGGCTGGCCGTCATCTCGATCCCCGACCCCGTTGGCAGTATTAACCTATCTCGCGTCCTACCCTTCGAAGGGTAGATGGCCAAAGAGAGAAGTTTCAGTGATCTCAAGAACTCTTGCAAGGACTCTTTTCAGGAGACAAAGACACGGCCGAAGTTGTATTCTAGGAGAAGATGGATAAGGTGGCGCTACGGACACTAGCTAACGTAGACTCTCGGCAAGAACAATAGAGTCTCACCAACCCTACGTATGATCAATGAAGGAACCCCCCTCCTTCACACTGCAGACCATCATTAAGATGGGTTCCTTCTTTGTAGCTGTAAATCGTTACCGTTCCCCCGTAGCGAGGGCGATTCTGAACAAACAACCCGGAGAGATTCCGCGGAGGATCTCGCCCACTCCGTCGCCTCACCTCCCATCCGTCTCGAATCGCTCATCATTCACTCCCTCCGCGGAGGCGAGTAGGTTTGTCTCGGTCGGCGCTGGTGCGTCGGTTGCCGAGGCGTTCACGCAAGCGCGCAGACCTGTGGAGAGGCCCGCGGGAAGAAGGAAGGAGATGATGGGATGGGGGCCTGCAAGAAAACGCGCGCTCCTTTAAGAGCGTGTGGACGGGGGGCGACTTACGGTGCGCGCCATTAAATGAGAGCTTAGAAAGCTTTTGGGGTAGTAGAGAGGAGGGGAATGCCTGCGGGATGGGAGGTAAAGTGAGGGGGGGGGGGGGGGATCTTTCTACGGCGAGGAGTAGTAGTGCTGTCGACGCTCCTCGGCGTTAATGCCGGGCGAGGAGATTTCCCCTACGCCCATCCAATCTCTGCTGAGCAGCGGCCTCGGCATGGCTGCCGTGAGCGCTTTCATCAGCTGAGACGTAATCCTTCAGTATAACGGGTTGATCTAAGCCCGGTGCAATCTCATAAACCCAGTGATCATCTTCAACAATGAACGATAAAACCAGACGACAGACCAAGTAGTTTAGTTTAAGTTTGCGTTCGAGCAGACGAGACTGGGATGATACGGAATGGTGAGGACAAAGAGGGTCGGTCAACCGGGAATTCTGTCTACTACAATGGCTTTTGTCTTGTGTCAGCATGACAACGCGATGGCCAAAAAGGAACGACGCCCATGTCGCTGTTCACCTAACCCATTCCGCCGTCCTCCGCGCCAGCTCTAGTTCTTGGGTACATAACCCAACCTGTGCCCGTCACTTCGCATTTGTGTTCTCCGGTTTTGGTGAGCTCGAAGGCAGGCTATGGAGGTGAGTGCGAAGGGCAGACTCTCTCTCTCTATCATCCTCTCCTCCTATCTCAGTCTTCCTCCTATTCAGCCTGCTCATGCTTCTTCCCCATGGTTGGGCTCCGCAGGACGCTCCAAAGAGGCCAAGGTTTCCCCAATTTGGCAACTGGGAGTGCTACGATGATCTCTCAATGACACAGTACTTCGAGTCGACCTCACAGACGGGGCTGAAGCGGCAAGATGCTGCCGGCAGCGGAAGCCGCGTGGGGCGTGGAAGAAACCCTTACTACCCTCCGCCGGTTCCTCACTGTTACTACTACGGGGTGGATTCTGAGGGGGCGCTCTTTAAAGTCCCCGTTCTGGCTCCAGTTGTGTTAACCGATTATCCCTGGAAGGTACTCTTCTTCTCTTGTTTTTATATAATGTAACCTCAACGCCCTTCTATCTCTCTCTCCCCTTCTCTCTTTCTCTCTTTCTCACTGTTGGGTGTGCAGACGACGAAGGAAGCGTCTGCGAATAAGCGGACGAAACAATACAGGCATCAACGGCAGCAGCATCTGAAGCGAGAGCAAAGGAAGCAGGGAAAGGTCTATGACTACGATGTTACTGTCCAGCTGCCTGCGAGGCCGCCCAGGCCACCCAAGGCTGTCGACGAGGACCTCTACAAGATTCCTCCGGAGCTCCTCCGCCGGAAACTCGGGAAGGTAACCCTCTCTCTCTCTCTATCGCTCTATCGTCCTACAGTGATCACCTTTCTGAGCTCGCTCAACGGCTTATCTCCCTCTTGTTTCTTCGTTCCTTTATCAGAAGAAGATTCTGAACGGGGATTTCTGGTCAAGATGTCTGGGCCTGAACTGCGTCATCTGAAGTCTGCAATAGAGATAAAGACAACGTGCACCAGTCTAAAAGAGTCCACGACCGTTGTAGGCAGGTCGCGGGGCTCCTACTGATCCTGTTTCTTTCCTGGCTAGCAGGCTCAACCGTTTGTCATCGGTGCGAAGTTGTTCGTTCTATCTTGCTCATGCAGTATCAAGCGTCCTCTTTTCATAGTTGACTAACCTCATTAACGATAAATAACTATCATCGATATCTATAACATGCATGTGACCTCCCTTGGTTGTACTCGTTCGTTGATTCGAAAGAATCTACGTAGACGACGACGAAGGCTCCTTATCTCGTCCCTCTTCGACATTTCATCGTCAGAGGGTTGCTTGACTGGGAAGCAAAGCGAACTGTAAGGCAGCGCACTGTTGGCCTGGGACAGTTCTCTGAGCGATCATTCCGCTCCAAACGAAACACAGTTATTGCACGATAGTCTGCCTTCTCTGTCTCTTTACAATCTCTCTCTGTCTTCTTCCTCGCCTGCCTCTCTTTCTCTATTTCTCTGCCCGAGGTACTGAGGAGTGATGCCAAGTCAGCTGTTTGATAGGCTGTGACCGTTTGAAGTACAGCAAACCTTCACGTTTCGACTGACGTTGGCTTTCGACGGAGGCAATCTAATGTAATATAATGGAAACCAGAACCTGTCTGAACAGTGATGGATGGCTATAATCTGATGAGTTTGAAAGCTGGGTAAATAAAAAATTAAAGTTCATAAGTTTTCGAGCTTTGTTCAGAAGCCAGGACGAGAGTGTAAGTTTATTATTAGAATAATTCAGGATACCGACGATAAACAAGGACAAGAGGAAATTGAGGAACCTTGCAAAGCTTTTGGGGCTCATTTCTAACAGGTTAGTATTTGAGAATCCTTGCACTTTATAGATTCTTACCGGCGTTTTTTCATGAAGTAAGTTTCTTTTGTCAATTGTGTGAGATGGGAATGGTGTAGACTTCCCTTTGATATTGAGTATGCTTAACTAATATAACATACTATATGTAGATAAAAAATAAATTTCATCAACATGGTTCGAGTACCTTTTTTTAATAGATTTAATTCTAATAGGAGTCAGACTATTGAGCTACTAAAATATTTATAACATTTCTCGCAATTTAGCGCCTAGATGGTTAAGCCTTCAATTCATATTTAAGATGATGTTGGCAAATGTTGCACACAAGTCACAAGTCACTAACGTGTTGTTGATCTTTCTCACTAATAACGATAAAGCTTTTACATCAATATTTTACTTCCTGACGTCTTGTTGATCTTCATATATGTACCAATCACTTTCCCATGACGGTATATTTTGTAAATATTATGATTTTCACAGTAATATGTAGTATGATCATTTCATGTGATGAAATCAATTAATTTTTTAAATTAAACTTGTTGATTGAGGTGTGTTCAATGAATTCTTATATTGACATCTAACAAAATTATCTTGAATTGTATATAATTACTTCCACATTTATTCTTATATCATGTATATTATTTTAATTGTTCTTGTATCAAATATCATGAGAGTATCCTACATGCAATGTTCTAGTAGTTGCCCTATGAATTATTTAAGTGTCATTGCTCACATTATTCATGTTCTTGTTCTTAAGTGCTTACATCATAAGAGGTAACGATGATTTGAAGTATTATAACCTGTCTCTAATCTTTACCTTAGCCCACATGCATAGTCACTTAGAGTTAAATGAACACTTACCTAAATTACTCCCCATTTTTGTAGATGCTTACACTTATTGTCAAAATGTTGACTTTTATCTTCATGGCTTAACACACGTCATCATTGATCTTTACAATTTGTACACCAGTCATATCCTTTATGCTCCATATTTTGCTTCAAGTTAAACATGTCTACACTCTAATGTTCTAATAAAATTATTTGTTACTTGTCTATAACATGCATGACGAAGTATTTTGTCTTATCCAAAATAATAAATTATAGTATTTAAAATGTTGAGGAATATACATACAGTGCAACACTTTTAAATAGAATTGATATTTATGATGTTGTCATCATAACTTTTAGATAGATAATTTATGCATATAAATTTTGACAATGACATTAATTTTAAGCTCATGAGAACAAAATTCAACTCAACATATATGGTAATTCCATCCGAGATCAGAAATATTGGACAATGAACTAATTACATGATATTTTTCTATTGAGCTTTTAATTGGCAAAAAATATTTAAAAGACCCAAGGATGATTGATGTAGTATACAATGACGGTGAATAGACTAAATCATGATTTCTACCAAATTTTGATTCCTATTTCAATATGCTATAATCTGTGAGATTAAATCTCATAATTTTGTAGACCAAAAGATCAATGGTCTATTTCTATCTAATGATTAAATTTATAGTGGAATTATGATGACTACAAATTAATAACACATACATTCTCTCTCTCTCTCTCTATAATCTCTATATATATAATATTTGATTATTATACCTATAACTAAATATTTATAGGCTCAAGAACCTTGGTTCTATTAACTTTTTACTTACAATTTTACTACCATAACAAGCTTTCCAAGTGTTGATCAATCAAATATTAATTCCTAGGATATATATTGTATGATATAATTCTTCAAAATTTTGCTCATTGGAACTACAATATATGGGGGCTTTTGTTCTTAGAATTCTGAAGCTTTCTGTATCCTTTCCTCATTATGCCTTGATATTTTCCCTATTAATGATAACTATGTCATCATTGAAAAATGTCAAAATTTAAAATATTAAAGGAATATCTTCTTACTAAAGACTTGTTATGATAAAAGACCAAAAGGCTATGTCTTTTTGGGTTCTCCTAAAGATTTTTGTTGCTTGAAGACATTAAAATACAACAAGACTATTTAAAAAATAACTAGAAATGGATTTGTCATATGTTGTCATGACTACTCTAAACACAAACACAGTGGTCACCGCCAAATAATGTATCCAAGTTATTAGAAATCTGACATAAGCCAATCCTAGGGATTCTCACCTAGCAAACATTTGCTTGTTCTAGTTTTTTTTGCAGAATAAATAATATGCATGGCCTACTTAATAAATCCTAGATCTTGTGATAATTTACATATTTATAAAATATGTAACATAGTTATAATATTTTCTAGATAATATAATTATAACTATGATTAAATAAGTCTCATTACCATAGCTCTAGTTGCATATATTAGATTTAAAAATATACAATATAGTATTTGACTCGTATACGATTTTTCGCTGATGATCACAAAGAAAACTTGATATATCCATATAGTTTTGATAAATATGATATATTTAACAGATTTAATAGACATAAATGTAGCAAAGACATAATAGAAGCTATAGGTTCATAAAATGATTGAATATATACACACCTATGAGATAATTAAATAAAAGACATCAATTGAGTAATAAAAAGGTTATTTACTGACCTTATTTTTGACAAAAAATAACATTTATTCCAAAAATTGGAGAGAAGATCGTTCATTTGACGGATTGTCACTCTCCTGGCAAGCCACGTGGACGCTGTAGATGCTCTCCTGAGACCTGACATGACTCCAGATTTTGACGACGACGACTGCTGGATCTCTTGTTTTTAATAAAAGAGTGCTGGGTTTCTTCCAGGTTCGGTCTTTTCGGATACCCTATCGGCATACCCGAACCGGTTCAGGATCCAACTTTGCACACCCCGGGTCCCGAGACGCGATCCTGTCAATTCGTGTCGCGTAATTTAATGGCCGTGGTCGATCTGCTTGTCTACGAGAGCGAGCCCTAGTTCTGCGTTTCTCTCCCGTCACCAAAACCGTTCTCCTATCTCGGTTTAGAGATTGGCGCTGCGGACGGAGGGGGGATTTCGCGAAGATGGTCGCCTCCTGCCCGTCCTCATGTCTCATCCGTTCGGAGCCTTTTTTGGGTTGGTTGATCTCCTTCTTTTGAAGGGGGTTTGGTTTTTTTTTCCTTCTTCGAAGACCTTTGGCTTCTTCCTGTTCGTGTTCGTCTAGTTCGTCGGGATGGCGGAAGGAACCCGATCGTTTGCCAGTGATTGATATTCTGATTCAGATATGTTCTTCGCGTGGTGTTGAATTGGAGGTACTTATCTTAGTTTCGTTTTTTTTGTGGTTTTTCTTTGGCGAAATGGGATATGATTATTTGCTGCTATTACGTTCAATTGTAGACGTCAATTCCTCATTTTAGTTTCTGTGAGGTTTTGTTGCGGATGCGTGATGTGGGTCTTCTTTGTCATAAGGTTCAATCAAAGTGGCTAAATATGCTGTGTTTTTGTGATTTGATTCTTCTTTGTCATTCAATTTAATTATAGATATCTATTCAACCCCTCATTACGTTTTTGTCCCGTTTTTCCCGTATGTACGACGTGGTTCTCTGCTTTCATGAAAAGAAAATAATCATGCCTTTCGTGTGCGTGAGAAAGAGGCTGATGTTCCCATAATTTCTGCACTTTTTCTAGATGAAGCCATTTTATCCATTAATGTTGGCTTTTTCTAAGCTTCACACGTTTCATTTTCTTCGATCATGATGATTATATAGGAAAAAGGTTTCCCGTTATTATATTCAGCTGAGAAATAGGATATGTCGTGTTGTTTATTAGTTATTTATCTACTAATCAAATTTGGAGGTTTTCATGAAATTATGGGTTGAAAAGTTGCCCTGATATTTATTTGGTAAAATTAGATGGATAAGGGGAATCAAAGTTTGGAGACGATGCCCCGTTGCCTTCATGCAAACTATGAAGATTCTGGGAAGAGAATGTTGTCTCTTCAAGTGGTCAACCTTACCATGAAATCTGATGGCTGAGTTCGACAGCTTGGAACGACTTGGTCAGCTCTCCTACTGTGTCAAATTGCTAATGGTTTTGGCGTGATTATTTCCGATGAAAACTTTTCATGAATGATAAAGAGCTTATGATATTAGTCGAGTCCTTAAGTAGTAATGTGACTAGCATACGGGCTTAGTACTTGTAGAGGCCTCATATTAAATTATTTTTTGAGCAATGAAAGCCATCTACTCTTGGTTCCCCTCCTAAATGTACTTTAGATTAGAGAATGTTGGTGTATGGAGATCCTTGTCATAGTTGGAAGTGGGTTCTCTCCTAAGTCAATTCAAGTGCAGGAGATTGAGGTCTTCCGACTTCAATATTCAGTGCCAAAGATAAAGACTAATATTCAGAGTAACATCTTGATGTGGCATTGTTAGCCACGAAAAAGATGATGAGCTTCTGACCATAAACCAATCCTTGTCAATGCCCTTTCATCTCGTTGAGCGTATGTTAAGATCATGAGATTTATATTAGACGTAAACAATTATTTCCTTGGTGTGGGGTTGCTCAATTGGTTGATATTTCAACTTTTGTAGTTTTCCTTATGGCTACCTTTAGTGGATTTAATTTCCAGTAGTAAAAATAAAATGTAAATTAGACTAGCAGTTTCTTATGAGAAAACAGCTATTATGCCCTGAAAAAAATCTATGCAGATGGATAAATGGAAGCTTATAGTTAATGCTTGCATGAGAGAGGTGGAGGTTTTCGCCTACGGTAGTTTCATTGCTTGACGCCAAGAGAGGAGAGAAAAAATCCTGAAATGTCAATCTGTATTATTGTGTCCGATAATCAATCAGATGTTAGTCTTATGTGGACCTACTGAGAGCTCATCTTTGTTTCTGTCCAAAAAGTTACTGGTGTTATCTACTTGCATGGTCGGAGGCATGTTTATACTTGTTGTTTATCACATTGTAGTATCTTTTGTTTAACATTGTCGCATGACCTCAGGTGTTGTTTGAAATACTTACTGATGTCATAGGGCTTAATCTTCTAACTTTTTATGTATTTTAGTGAAAAACTTTGTTCTGGTTGTAAAGCGCTCTTCTGTATGGTGACATTTTTCTATCAATCTTGCGGTGACAGGATTCTGTTTCTTTCATCCTCACAAACGTAGAACGACAGGTCTTCTTTTTGTTCTCATTCCATTTCAAAATTTTCATCTCACTTCTTTCCACGCTGGAAAATTGTTCTTTGTCAAACTAAATCCTTTCGTATTAGCTTATCAGAATGAACTCGTAGTCCATTATAGAAACACATGTGGTCTGCCAGTACAAACTGTAGCGGTTCTGTCAAGTCATGTAAACGCATCTTTTCTTTCTGCAGTTTAATGTTACCTTTCTGTACACTCTTCAAACGTTCTATAATGATCAAAAGGGACGGGAAAGATAAGTGGCATTTTGATTTACGGAAATGTGATTTTGTCTGTGGCAACTTCGTCAAAAGATTTTTCAGGCGAATACACAATTTTATGAATCTCTTCTATGGATATCACGAAGAATCACTAAAATTCCTATTTGCATTTGTAGCTTTTTCCGTTTCTATCTATATGTATACGTCTATATAGATTTCAAAAACAAGAATGTCCTCTCTGTCAGACGAACACTCTGCTGAGCTCCTTGTGAAGAGCGTTCTCAAAGAGCTTTGAGAATTCCCTGTGAAGAGGCATAGCTTCTTTCCTATGTCCGAATGGACATGTATGTCAACAATGTTTCCTTGTTGGTAACTGAATTCCTACCACGTTCTAACGAATCCTACCTAGTTATAGCTGAATTTTGATAGCCGAAAATAAGAATGCGGTATAGAATGTTAAACTGAGACTTCTATATTATCTTGGAAAGATCTGCCATCGGGTTTGATTGCCAAACATTTTTGAAACGCTGATTGTCAATGAAGATAGGTCATTTCATATCTGCGTGTATGACCCCTGAATCAGTCCGGGTAATTTTAAGAAATGCCGTAGGCTAAATAATGCTGAACCATTTAATATATTGAACTATTGCGATATGTTCATATAAACCTGAGAGAAATGGAAATTCTATGATAGAAAATGACGTGCGCTTATGTTATGATTTTTATTTTTTTTATAATCATTTTCCTTGTTTTGTTTATGACAGAATGAGTAATTGTCATCTGTCATACGTCTTTGCCTTTTCAAGCAGTCCTCGACTCCCTTTTGTTGTATTGCCATGCGGAAAAACATAGAAATGTTGCCTTACATCGTGCTCATACTATAATTTAATGCTCAGGTTGACGTTTGAAGGAGGAAATGACTCAATCTTGGCCAGATTACTCTAAGGCACCAACCACTGCTTCACCCTCTACCTCTCGCCCTGAATATATTTTCGATTCTAGCTTGAGGAGGAAGTAAGATCTAAATTCCCTTTTATTTTGTTCACTTTATTTTCTTTTCATAATCATTAGTACATTCCCTTTCTGTTAGTTTCAGTTTTTTTCTATGTGGCTTGCACTGCATTTAATGAACTATTGAAATATGATAACATTACAAGTGAGAGTCATAAGTTCTACAGAACAGTCAAAGTTTACTGGTGAGAAAATGAGAGGCATAAGTTCTATAGAACAGTCAATGTCGGCCTTAAGGTTTCAGCACGTTACTTCGTGAAGATATTCTGCCCACACTACGTCCAGGTTTTAGTTTAGATAATATTTGGTGCTGTTGTGGAGCCGGGATCGAGTTTCAATGCTTCCTGTTAACGGCTTACCAATCTTGGCTAATTTTTTACTTGTTTCCATGCGGGTTCCATCTATTATTTGCCCCAGTAATCATAAAAAAAACTTGTTTCTTTTACAAAAATTAATATTAATTATTTACCCGACATGGGTAACGTTAAAACCAATACACGAAAGAGGGGCATATTGCCCAAAAATTAGATGGAAAGTTAACTGCTTACTGGAACTGAATGTTTGTAGATAAATTCAGCATGAAGGGTATAAACCGGTAACCTTTCATGCAATTGAGGGAAGGGTTGGGACTGAAGGCTATGTACCTAGTGCACTACAGGGAATGTTGGAAGGTAGTCTAATTGTGTTTTGATACAAATGCGAGATATTCAGAGAAGCCGAGTAAGTGATGCCTATGATGTTTTAGGCTTGCAATGTTTTTTGATTAATATCTTTAGAGCTTTTCAGGTTTCATGACAACATTTTGCAATTGGTATTTCAAATATCCATTTTATGCATCCAAGACATGGAATTTTCTGCACGATCTGTGCCGACTGGTTTACCTTTCAAATCATTCCTTTAATATTTTTGTCAAAGTTCGATGTTAAAATTAATTTGTGCATGAGTTTTTTAGTTGTCGCTTTCTCTTATCTCCAGTCGCAGAAATGTCTTTCTGTTGTTATCATGGAGGGAAATATCACCTCAAACCAAGAAGTTGTATCGGAAATTCGTGGGAGGCACCTTATTTTACAATGAAGATGACTGTGGACCAGAACGCCATGAAGTTGACGCAAAACGTTCCCTGGCATCATGGTAATAATGTCCTGCTACTACCTAGATCTTATGTCCAAGAAACATGTGACATCGTTACAAATTTTGATTATATGCATCATTTTATGTTGAAAAATTTCAATTATTCCTGGTTAATTCATTTCTGGTTCACACGACTCCAGGCAGATAAAGCGCCACACATAGTCATTGTGTACATTCCCTGACGGTGGGACCGGATTAAATAAACCTTTTTTCATATTTCTAGGGTTGAAGCAGATTCACTTCAGCATTTGACAGCTACATATTGTCCTCTTCTACCTCCCCCAAGATCAACAATTGCTGCTGCCTTTAGCTCTGATGGGAAAACACTTGCTTCGACTCAGTAAGAGAGTTTCCGTGGATTTTGTCTTATATGATCAACTATTTGTTACGTTTTTTGTTTTGATTAATTTTCACTTTCTTGTCTACAGTGGTGATCATACTGTTAAAATTACTGATTGCCAGACTGGAAAATGTCTGAAGGTATTAAGTGGCCATCGACGAACACCTTGGGTGGTAAGCCTTTTTAGTTATGCACATGATATTCCATTATTCCTTTTGGTCATTAGACTATTATTTTTTTTAATATATGGAGCTAGTTCATATTTATTCTTGTGGTAACTTTTTAGTTGTATCTGGGTCGTTTGCTTTTTGTTTGACATTTAGCTGGTGTAACGAAGTGGGTTAAGGTTGATTTATTTGGAGTAATATTATAAATAATGAAATATTGTTTGTACTTGAATTATATATTTTAATATTCATCACTGTTTAAGAAGAATGTGATTCTCGTTCTTCCCCAATTATGGTCTTTGAAGAATGCTATTGAAGCATCTTTGATAAAGTTAAAAAAAATTGTAATATTGGAAGGGAGAAGTCTATATGAGTTCGCTAGTCGTACCGTATCTATTACTTACTGGGAACTAAATCTGCATATAGACCCGAATTAGAACCTGTATGTCAATCTCTCCTGGCACTAGCCATGTTCCCTTAGAAGATTGGTCACGTCATATCTGAGTCTCCAGTGTAAAGGAAAAAAGAGTGGCAAGCTGACTGCTGATCGACTTTGTCTGTAAATTTTCCAATGCAGCTCAATTTAATGGTTTTTTCATATCTAGAAACAGTCGAAATTTAGCCCACTGAAAGTCAAATTTGATTCCTTATCATTACTCACCCTGGCTTGATAATAGGCGACCTGCGTAGATCGCCTATTATCTGAGATAACTGTGTTAATTGTCCCAGGGATGGCTCAAAATGATTGCCATATTCTGTTAAAATCAACAAAAAGAGTATTGTCACAAAATATGGTGGTTAGTTTTAGGATTATATGAATTTTCCTTGTTAAGGGATCTAGACCAACCAACTGAAGATGATTCTGGTTGGATATTTTCTGTGTATTGATGTCCTCGAATATCTTTTGCTGAATACCTAGAAAACCAGAATGAATTCTTATGGAGTTGAATTAAGCAAAGGCTGAAGTTTTGGGAGAAATAAACGGTTTAACCAGGTGAGAGGTTGGGATTAGGACAACAGTTTTGATCAGCATGGCATGTTGGACCCTGGATTTTCCAAGGGGGGGTGTAAGACGCTCTCATCTACAAATTGCATGTTTGAGACTTCACACTGGTAATTTTTACGTTTTTAAGGTATTGATTTTTCTGGTAGAGGCATTGTAGGTATGGAATTTCCGTTTCTTTTGAAAATGGTATAATAACAGTGTAATCTGTTCGAGATGTCTTATGACTTTGGTGATTTTTTAAACTTTTAAGGTATTGATATTTCTAGTAGAGGGATTGTAGTCATGAAATTTCCTTTTATATTTTTTTGAAAGTGGTGACATCACATTGTAATCCGTAGACCATGGTTTTGTCCTGTTAATTCTGAATCTTCATCTCTGGAAAGAGTTGTGCCAATAATAGTGTCAAACTTCTTGTCTTTTACTCATTGTACTTAATATTTTTATTTCTAGGCGGAACTCTCTTCACTTCTCATTTAAGAGAAATACTGATTATTGCTAGTAGAAGGAGACGAACTGATTATTGCTCCTATTGAAACTGTAATTTATTCCACCTTCCATTATAAGACAATAGTTTCGTTATTTCCACATATTTGTGATTGAAATATCTAGAACCACGAAGCTGTGATTCATTCTAGTTTTCTTGTTGTGAAATTATTATTGTTTTAGTTAGTGATCCTGTCCAACTCTGCAGGTTAGGTTCCATCCACTATATTCACAAATACTTGCAAGTGGAAGCTTAGATCATGAAGTTCGCTTATGGGATGCAAATACGGACGACTGCATATGCTCACATGATTTCTGTACTGTTGCTATGCGACTATTTTCCTCTATGATTAATAAACCTCCAGAATACACATCTCGTTCTGCTATTTTCTATTTTGCATTTTATCAGTCTTCTTTGATGGGCTAAATAGGCCTTATATCATTTCTTTGATCAGATCGTCCCATTGCTTCTATTGCTTTCCATGCACAAGGAGAGTTTCTCGCTGTAGCCTCAGGTCACAAGGTAGCCCTTCTATTACTGGAATCCAACAGTGTTTTACGTTATAAAAAAAAATCCTGCTTATTTTAATCAGTTTTTTTTTTACCGTGGTATTCATTTGAGATTATGATGAAAGCATATGATGGTGAAATGGTTACCATGTGGCAGTTGTTCATTTGGAATTACAAAAGGACAGGAGAAGCATCTTCTCCAGCTATTGTTCTGAAGACACGTCGATCACTGAGGGCTGTGCATTTTCACCCTCATGCGGCTCCATTTCTTTTAACCGCCGAAGTAAGGATTTATTTAACGTTTTTTCTATAATTTCTCTTTTCCTTTATTAAGTTGTCTAATCCTTTTCTTTACTTTAAACCAGGTTAATTATCTTGATTCTTCAGATTCTCCTCTGACACTTGCAACATCTTCAGGGTATTTAAAGTACCCGCCTCCTGCAATATTTATCTCAAACTCTCGTTCTACTGCAATTGGAAAATCTGAGAACAGTGTTCTTGTACCTCCTGGCTACATGTTGTTACCGGCCTTCACAAGAGACGGTGGAACATATTTGCAACTGGAGGACAAGTTAGTTAATCCTGGCAATAATAGGTTAACTGGTTCCTCTAGTGCACAACAGAGGTCTGAACCTTTTCTTCAGAATCACCTTTGGTCATCCTCTGGTTTAGGAAGACAAAATGACAATGTGGTACCTATGGAGATCTCTCCTGTCGAAATTGCGGGCGCAGACTCCGTGCCCAATGATTCATCATCAAGGTGTTTGCCGGCTGAAATTGACAAAATAAACGATGACACTGTGATGAATACTGTGGAAACCTTTGAAGGGCAGTCTACTTCAATCTCACCTGGAAACTCAAATAACATTGTTGAGAAAGAAGATGATATTGCACTGCAGTCTATTTCCCAAAATGAGACTGCTGGAGAAATGCCTTTAGACCAATCAAGCTTTGGTGGCATGTCTGCTCTTCATTCTTCCATGTCTTTGGGGAACACTGGCAATCAAGTGCCTTCAAGAATTGTAGAGGCTGGACAAATTCATCAATTCTTTCCTTTAGGTGATCCAGGACCCTGGGCATTGCCATGTTTACAGGGGTGGTTAATGGGTCAAAGGCATGCTAGCCTACATCCAATGTTATCTTTGAATAATTCCATGCAGGGAATCTTTTCTTCTATTCATGGAATGAGCCCTGAAGTTTTGACATTAGATTTGCCACCAGCTCGTAATGTTGAGACTTCATCTAGTGTACCCGTAAATGTTGGGCATATGAGGGCACCTGGACGATCTAGTTCTCGCCATCGTTCTCGGTCTCGTCTGATGGATCTTGTAGATTCTGAAGAAGGTGGTACTCAGAATGATGAGAATGAGTCACAATTTGGTCGAAATAACGTGGGTTCCGAAGTAGCTGCGTCTTTAGTGGCAGCAGCTGCTGCAGAATTACCTTGTACAGTGAAGCTAAGAATATGGCTACATGATATTCAAAATCCATGTGCTCCCCTGGACTCGGAGAGATGTAGATTGACAATACCACATGCCGTTCTGTGCAGGTATTTTCGCTTCCATGCATCCATGACCATTACTTTCACTTTTTATTGCTTTTTGAAGCTCTAAACTTATATACATGCACGGTACTGATTGGAGTTGGCATCCCAATGAATACACGAAAAATCTCTTGGTCGTTCATACACATTGCAGCTAAATATGATTTTTTGATCCACGTTTGGCAAAAATTCATCCATTGACAGGATTATCCATTTTCCATCATTGAAATTGGGTTTTTGACTTTCATAAGTATACTAAGTACCTTTCTTTGACTAAATGTTATCAATGACAGTGAAATGGGCGCCCACTTTTCTCCGTGTGGGAGATTTCTAGCTGCATGTGTCGCGTGTTTGCTACCTCACATGGAAGTTGATCATGGATTGTCACCACAGATACAACAAGATGCTCCGGGTGCAGCGACATCCCCAACTCGCCACCCTATTTCATCTCACCAAGTGATGTACGAACTTCGCGTATATTCCCTTGAGGAGATAACGTAAAGTTTCAAGCTACTAGTGTTTATTCATTCTTTTGATGGAGATATTTTCTTCATTTACTGTTGTGAGTGCATCAAAAGAATTTTTTTTTTCAAAGAGACTACATCATATGTTTTTCTTTTTGTCCTTCATTAAATTTCAGATTTGGAATGGTTTTGGCTTCAAGGGCAATCAGAGCTGCTCATTGTTTGACGTCTATTCAGGTCCGTTAATTCTCCAGGCAAATGTGTCCTTGGGAATTTATTTAACATCTTTTTGACATTTGTTCCAAATTGGATTGATGAATATTCACCTCGTTAAAACGTTTGTAAGGTCTGTGTTATGATGTGTCTTGTATAATTTATTTTTTTGGTTTATTAAACTTACCCAGAGTTCTGTGTGTTCACTTTTGGAAATAACGAGCAAAAGGGGTGTTTATATCCTAAGCCTTGCAAAGATGACCTGAAATGACTGTATTCTTCATCTTTGCATTATCATAGCTGCGTCAGCGGTGTTGGACACTAAGCTCTGCCATTCAAATTTAAGATGTGAAATCGTCATATCCTTTTCTTTCTAGAGAAACTGTTAAATATATTATAAGAGGGGATAAACAAAACCATTGTGGAGGCTCATTGAATTTTTTTTGCTACTTGAATGTTCAGCAGAGTTCATTTCCAACCCCACAATCTGTCTAAATTTAAATGTTCAGCAAAGGCCTATGATCCTTGGGACGCTGATGTTTCCTTCAATGTTGATAAGAATGCCTGTCTTATATGATAAAAAAGTCGAAGTTAAGACATGAGAGTGTTGGTGGAATATATGCATATGTGCACTGAATGATTAATATTTTATAGTAAAGTTGATTGAACGTGCTCGAGATGGTAGTAGTTAATTACTCAAATCATGAAAATGTTTGTGCCTTCTGTGTTAATGAAATCTATTGGATTTTGTTTTGTTTTTACTTGATGGGGAAATTTCTGAAAGTTAGTATCAGGATATTCGATATCTTTCTGTCACCGAGATGCTTTGACGTTATTGCTTTAAAGTTGAAGATCAGCCTACAGAATATATGATCGGGAACTTGTTTTTTTTTTCCTTTTTGGGTATGAGCTACAATATTTCCCCTATGTGCATTGTCCACAAGAAATTCTCCCTCAATTTACGAAAATAAAATGCAGACTTTTGTTGTCTATTTGAACTTTCCGATTGCTTATCAAAGTATGATTATAACTTTCATGTAAAATCATCCTTGCGTGAAATGGGATTTGTTCTTCAGAGCTGTGCTGAATTGGCTACTTGATGTCAGTAATTTTCTTCTAAAGGTTGACGGTATATTTAATTTTTATGATCAAATCATGTGGACGATATTGATTGATCTTTTATATTTCTTTCTATACGTAAATAAACTATTTCGTCATTCGGTAAGGTTTGGGTACAACTTTTACTGTTTTGAGATTTTATTCCTGTATTCTATTTACTTTGTTTTCTGGACAAATATTCTTTCACAATGTCCAACTTTTACCAAATATGCTGCATGAACTGTATTTTTCTATGATTTAATTTAGCATCATATTGTTTCTGAGGGCCAAGCAAAATGGGTTCTTTTTGTTATATTTGTGATTTATCCGTTATTAATACAAGAGAAAGGTTGTTTTCTGGTCTAATTTATCTTCTTTGTATATTTATTTATAAAAATTAAGATTTAAATTTGAGTGATAATTGTTCCTGTTTAAAGTTAATATTTGCCCTAGCCATCAAAGCACATTTTATCTTATATTGGAGCATTTTTTTTGTTAATAAGCTTATAGAAATTTATTTGTAAAGAAACCTTATTTTGATGACTTTCTCATTTAAGAATTCTTTTTTTCATAAATATTATCTACTGTGCTAGAGGTGCAATGTTGGAAATTATTCATTCTAACATGAGGTGCTGATTATTATAATGTTTTCTGAATCTATGGAAACTGTGTAATGATTCTCGTTGTGTAACATTTCAAAACTCTGGCTGTGTGGTTGACAACCCTACTGAGGCAAATCCATTCATTGTCCGCAATAATTGTGCTTTGCCATCCTGTGACAATGAACCCTAATCAAACATGGATGTCAAAGAACGTTGGATTCTATGAGTGGAAAAGTCAGGAAGTTCACTTATTGGAGAAAGGATCACAGAGTGTCCGTGAGGGCATATCATTTCTAGTTTTTGTTCTGGTGTGAATTTTAGGTGGAGAACATGTGCCCATAGGTGGCTTGAGCCTAAAGGGCCCAGAGAGTAAGAAAGAGTTATTCTTCCAGCGAAGGAATATTTATCTTTTGAGGATTTTTTACAGTTCGAGCATGTTTTAGAGGGCACTTTATGATCTAGCAAGTTTCAGGAAGAGTTGTGTGGGAAACAGGCCAGACATACGTCATGACATGGATCTGACCTAAGCTGAGAGATAATTGCTTGATCTAAAACAAAGATGTTCATAAATTTATCAGATTTAAATGAACTCCGGGAGTTATCAGATTTAAACAAAGACATACGTTATCATACTTTTCACTTGGTCCTTTTGAACCTTTGAACTCTCTCTCTATCTCTCTCTCTTTCTCTCCTTCTCGCTCTTAATGAGGAAATCCTTCAGGTCTTTTTCCTGCAATTTGGAATATCTTATGTCTGAATGAAGAAATAAATAAAACAAACTTCATGAAAAATTAAACCTGAGTTACGTTTAATCAAAAAATGAAATAAATGATCTACCATTTATGCTCTTATATAATATGTACATCAGAAAATTGAAATTTCTTTCTTGCTCATTATTTATTGCTGAGCATTGGATCGTGTTTATAATGGTGCTATTGTTGAAGCTCAGGTTGTTCTATGTGATACTGTTTTAGATAAAATAGGTTTGTGTGCATAATTTTAAGGAGTATACTTGGAAGCTTTATCAGGTAGTAAGATACATGGCTTGATTTACATTGTGTACCACGACAACAGATTGTCCCTTCTTGGTTACACTGGCTTAATCCTATCTGCCATGGTGCCAAAATGGGCAGTATGAAAAGACAAGCAAAGCATTTTAGACAGAATGGCTTCTGGCTTATGCAGGCGTCATGCATAGATGCTGACTGTATGCCTGACATTGGAGGATATCGCGTCCTCATTTTTTTTAAGCTTAATTTATACATAATTATGAAGAGTAATGCATTCGCTCCCGTGAAGATTTGCACTGAAAGTTTTTCTTTGTTTTTTGTTTATGTCGGAATTTTTTTAGGTGTAATCTCGAATGAATAATATGTCGGAAGTGTTTGGAACCCGTTCAACAGCTTTTTTTTTAAAGCAGCTGTCCCTACAGTTCCTCGCCCACCTTTTAGAAAAAACGTGTGTGGTACATCTTTTCTCGTTGTTTTTTCTCATTTTCCTCCATGCATTGGGCTGGAGTGGCATGCATACTTCTATTTGATAGGACGTATTTTCGTAACAATTTTTTGTCGTTTAATTATGTAGCCAACTTAACAGTGCAGTTATTGATCTGTCTGCTATGGTGTTCTGATAATGGTTTTTTCTACATCCAAATTTACCCGTCCTTGAATTCCTTTTGGCATTGTTTTAAGCCTTCCATAATTGTATCTATTTATGCTTTTCAATTCTTCTCTGCAGTTCTCACCCACCTCTGAGCATATATTACTGGCGTATGGTCGCAGACATAGTTCTCTTTTAAGGAGTGTTGTTTGTAATGGGGAGACGACAATTCCCATTTATACAATTTTGGAGGTAGACAACTACGGCTCATAATGAGATTGTCAATTTTATTTTTTGGATTTAGATTCAGTTTCTTTCTGGAATTCTTTGTGAATGCCTCACATGGTGATGCTATAGTGGTTTGAGGATGATGTGAATGCCTTTGGTTTTTACAGTGGATTGCAGATAAAGCTGAAATGATCGTTATCTGATATTAATTTTCCTACGCATGATTTTTCTGTTACTTTAGGTTTACCAGTTAGTACTTTAATCAACTTCTCTGAGAATTAACTTTTATTCCGTGAGTTTATCGGTTTAATAGTCATTTGTATGATATATTTTTTTATATGGTATTGTGGAGAATTTGTGATGATTGTTGGCCAAAAAATTATTTTCTAGATATTATTTGAGAATTACGTGAGGGTTTACCCCTCATAAGAATGACTCTCCTTTCTACCCTGCTGAAAATTAATTCCTTGAATGGGTGCACATGATCAAAGATTTTCTATTCTTGAATTACAAATTGGTTTCAGAGGAGTCACATGAAGAGGATCATTTCTAGTATACAGGCTTGTTTGGAGGAAAGGATTTTCATCCGGATGGAGTCCAGAGGGTCACTACTGTTTATTTAAAATGAGGAAACAATCTATAGTTTTCACTTTAGATCACCATTTCGTATGTGCACTCTTTTGGTTCCCCATGTGTAGGTGGATTCATTGCGCAATCATAGATCAATAAAAAATGATTCAATTAGAGAATTGGTAGAGTTAGCGACTATTGGTAATAAACCGAATAGTCATTTGTGCTGACAGACTTTACAAAGAGGACCATTGAGAATCCTTCTTAAATGTGATCATTTTACGTGTCCTACAACAGACACGGATAGGGTGGAAGACATATTTGTTTAACTGAAAATTTTATATGATACCAGCTAGCAATTGAATAGAATAAGTTTGGTGGTTGCTTTTTTCTCGTATCAATTTGTTAGACCGTCTGATTCTTGCCATGTAAAAAATTTGAAGTTGGCAAAACCTTGCTGATCGTTTGTTACTGCTGTTGTTTAAAATGTGTATTAATATTTTAAGCAATAATTGTGACAAAGGAGGAGATGATATAGAGGTGTCCGGAAATACCAAAAGCTTTGCATCCCTCCTTGTCTTGGATGGCCCAGAAAAATCCTCAAGCATTGGGATTTTTGCATTCCCACAAATAGGGATTTATTTTGGCTCTTGGAAAGCATTCTAGGCCCATATTAGCAGAGTTGAGGAAATGACAGTGATGGGTAGGATAGCTATGGTTGCCAAATGAAGGGTTGTTGAAAGCTGTTTGGTTTATAATTCTGAGAGAGCAGGGCATTCTAAATCTCCGAATCTGCGTTTCATGGGAGATATGCCTGAAAAGATAGTGTATATCCATGTGGGATAGTCTCAGTTATACATGTCACTTGCAAGTGTGATGGTGGAAGACAGCTCACTTGATGAGAATTTGAGGGCTTTGAGATTCTTTCATCCATGAGTACTCTCCTTCATTGTTTGCCAATGTTTCTGCTGTTTTCTCTATCGTTTTCACCAGCATGTTTTGTTTAACCACTCCCTCTTCAATGGAATTATTCTAAAACTGAAACGTCTTGAGGCACTTGTGGGTTCAGTCATTGCTCAAGTCATGATGGCCTCCTGTAATCATTTCTTGTTTCCATGTTTCTGGTGATTCTTTTTCATCTGTTGGGAGTGAAGTTGCTCATTTAAACGTCGTTATATCCTCATTCTAAGCAGACAATTGGACGTTCCTTTGTTCATATTCATTGCATTTTTGACATAGGTGGCTTTGTTGATTTTGCCTTGCGACCTTTTATTGTTTGAAGCGTTACGTTCATCTTGCTTCAACTTCGGCCGCCAGGCATAGCCTAGGCATGGGTTCTCTGACAGTAATTGGGTAACATGAATTTGAATTGCGTAAATTCCCATAGTAATGCGTATTAGTTCTAGTTCTTCAAGAAAACTCTCCATGTTGAAAAATATATCGAATGATGGGGGACGGATGAAACATTGAGAAAAAATAGAGGGCCGAAAGAGGTGTACCTCCGAGCAGGAGGAAGCCTGGAACAGCAGGAGAAATTGTCAGATGGCGAGGGTACTGTTGGTAAGAGGATAAATCCCGAAACCTACGGGAAAACCATATGAGGGTACCCTCGTGCAGTAAGAGGAAGCTCATAATTCCGTTCTCCCACCGTTTGAACTAAGGTTAGAAATATATATATCTATCTATATGTGTGTATTCAATGGTATGGGGTTCTCGGACCGAAAAAATGGATCTGAGTGTAGGTTCTCAGACCCAAGATCGATCTGAGACTTAATGAGTTAGTGGGCCTAGACATTCATGTGGCCAACTGACACAGGAAAATGATGTTTACTTGTTTTCAACAGTATGGAGGCTTATTATATGGAGCTCATATAATCGTTGCCTTGATATTATCTTATATTATATGATGTTATTAAAAAAAAATCAACATTGTCTAACCTTGGTTTAAGCCAAGGTCTACTAAAAAAAATTTAATTAAACAAAATATATAGAGTTCATCAGATCTACTTAGATGTTAGTTACTCAAAGATTTAAGCGTTGATTTATTGTTTACTCTGGTGCCATCTTACATCGTCGATGTATCTATCATTGGAATTGAAGGGAACATTAAGTTATTTTTTCTCATCCTTTGATTACCTGAGTGGTTGGGATTGGTTATCATCATTGGTGGTCAGTGTTAGTGATTTGAGGGAGTGATGACTGATGTAATGGATACAAATTTGGAAGTTGGAGTCATTAGATTTTTATTGATCTTTTCGTTAGACATATTGTGATAGACAACGGTAAAAGATCATAGTTGATATGAGTTTGTCAATGAAGATGAAAATATTGCAAAACAACCTTTGGGATTTCCCTTGGAGATGTACTTGTAGTTTTAGGGGTGGGAGTTATAAATGTCACCTAAAGAAATACCTGCTCGTGTAATTTTCGTGAAGGTTTTCATCAGTCATCGTTTTTCTTGTTTTTGTTCTTAGGTTCAACCAAACTAATTTTCTTTCAGAATGTATCGTCCTTGACCTCGACCTCGTTTGTGATAACGTTTGAGGCCAGTTTGTTGTAATGGTTAGAAAGTTTGTGATGTGGACGTAGTCTCCGCACAAAAGGCATACTCTATAGAGTCTTCTTCCAGCATATTTTGTCTCGTTTTCGCCAATCTCTGTCTGTATCTTTCTTTGAACTTGGTATCTTCACTTTATCATCCTTGTTTAGACTCATACTATCTTTTGTCATTCCTCGTCCCTTTCGCTCTTGAAGATGCTACGTTTTAGTCTCTGATTAACACTCTGGACCCACACTGCTCCTTTGAATCAATGACATTCCTCTTTCAGGGAAGGGGTACACTCGTGCATTCCGCCACAGTAAATATGTATTCTCATTTCCTGCAGCCAATAACTTCTTCAAGGCATTCCACGCATTGGGCAACGAGGGGATCTAGGGTTGCTCTAGTGGTGAACTTACTAAAAAATAAGATGATATGAAAAACATGAGGAAAATGTAAGGAAATGGGAAAATAAGAGAACCAAAGGAAAAAAAACTAGAAAGAAGGGCATGTAGAACAATCCTATGTAACCACTGCGGGAGTAGGCATGTCTAACTTAAGACTCCTATCTCTCTCTTTCTGTGTATAATTTCGTATTTATGTATGTATACAAATTAATTTTTGTCCAGTTCTGGACAACCAGATAGGCCTTGGGCCATATGGTCAGGTAAAATGCGAGCTCAAATGTATAGATTTCCAAAAGTTTCTATTTAGATGGCTGTCATTACATTGTCGTATATTGAACATTGAAACTATCAAATTATCATATAATTTGCATCTTTTTTTCATTAAGGACCTTGTTATTGTAAATCATTTGTTTCAAAATCCAGACCTTTACAAATTGAATGACCTGATTCATTGAATCCATGTTGGGTCATCATAAATTCCAAGTAAGCTATCTATTATTTAACTTAATGTGTGGTTTATCATTTGCATGAATGAACTTGTTCATATGCTCGTGTACCAATGTTTTTAGCTATCTAATGCTCGTTTTTTTACTTTCAGTGCGTTTTGTTATTTTTAGTTGTATATATGGAAAATGTGGCACTTTTTTCATGGAACCTTTTAAAAGAAGTATTTTTATTCTGTATCCTGTAAATCTAGGTCTATAGGGCTTCAGACATGGAGCTTGTGAGGGTTCTTCCTAGTGCAGAGGATGAAGTTAATGTTGCATGTTTTCATCCTTTAGTAGGAGGCGGCCTTGTTTATGGAACAAAGGTAATCATTTGAATTCTTACCAGTGTTTTAGTCAACATGTACTAAATTGAGAAATGGTTCTATATTGCAGGAAGGCAAGCTTAGGATTCTTCAGTATGAAGGTCGTCATTCCGCATCATGTTCAGAGCAAAGTTTCTTTCAAGACGAAAACACAATTGAGGTTATATTTTGTGTTTTAGTCATTAATAATGAATATTAAGTCATTAAAAATGTTAACATTTACCTCCATTTATTGTGTATCATTTTTACATATTTATGCAAATAATGTTTTCCGTTATTGATGATTCTTCTGTTTAATATGGGTAAGATGCATCATAGTTGGGTGATGATATGCATGATTCAATCCTACCTTCTTGGCAGTCAAGGCTCTCTCTTTTAAAAGTTTATGAGTAGATCATCTTTTGAATGGTAGGAGGAAAAATTCCATTAGTAACTTTGATTTCTTCTGTAGGTCGAGAGACGAGGGCTGGAATGCTGAGAAGTATTGATGAGAACTGTACATAGAAGAGTGCAAACATCTTAACTGGTTAGTTTTCTGACTCATTTGACTTCTCTTCACATGCTTTTCTATAGAAGTCATTAAATTGGTTAGTTGGAATGCTGTTCTGTTCTTTATGCTGATTTTTTCCCTTCAAATGGCCTGTATAAAAAGCCGCTCGGCATTTCAGTCCGGTTCCTTCAATTTTTCGGTCCGATGAAGCAGAACTGCACTATTCGCATCATCATGACCAATAAAAGGGATGAGAGGCTCGGCATTATAAAAAAAAATATTGTGAAGCAAAAATGCTTCGAAGATGAACCCGTTCACAGGTGATAGTCAGGAATTCTTGATGGTATTGAGCCGGAAAGACCAAATAGTTTTCTGCCGTTACCTTATAATATCCATTTATATCCATCTCTACTTGGTGATAATTAAGCCATCCGTGCTTTTTCTTTTAACTTTTTTCTCTTGAATTGCATGTGTGAGACTTAACAAGCAGCGTCCATAAATCTTTCCCAACATAAAATTTAACCGTTTGAAGGTGTTTTCATTTAACTTAGGATGGTTTACTGTGATAAGTAGTATCCTTTTAATAATCCTTTCCGCTGAGTTGCATCTTGATCAAGAAGAGAGGGTGTTGTCGTCCGAATCAAATTGTGCATCCCTTCAAGAATGAGCTTAGGTTGATTACTGCGTCCGAATCTAACTGGATTGTTTCTCATTGGTCAATTATTGCTCATGTAAATTATTTTCTGTAAGTAGCTTCCCACAGAACACATTGTCTTTCCATTGACGGCCTGATATTCTCTTCTTATTGGTTCTTAGCAGATCTGAGTTTTAGGGAAGCCTCGAACTGCCACTTGAAACAGGATAACTCCGGAAGTTCCTACTGGTTTTTCTTCACGAATGCTCTCTGTAGTCTGCCAACTCTCTAGCATGTGTCCTCATGCTTGCGAGTCCAAAGGGGGAAGTATATGGTGGAATGGGTTAATTTCTCATGAAAGAATTTTTTTCATATACGATATATGGATGGTATTGTTCTCTGGATCGTCATCATCACCCTTCAGATGTCCGAGTTCACCCTCGTTCGTTTATACTGTGGACGGAAGAATCTTCTTCTACGTGTGTAGCTTTTGGAGGGGCAAGGTCTGATGAGCTGACGCTGTTTCTGCTGATGTCTTGTGGAATCAACTCATTGGGTTCACTTTTCGATCGGTTGTGACGCATTGTAATGCTCAGTAACAGGAATTAGCCCATGAACAGGGCTTCACCCAAAAAAAAAAAGGGAAAATGTTTCCCATGCGAACCCTTTTTTTTTCAATCAATTATCCCTCACATTGGTTGTTATTATATTCTTGCAAGCAGGTGATACGCAGTATCAGAGATCATCTTCATGATAACTAATGCGGAAGCCGGTGAAACCAGTAGGAAGCATCACGAGTCGAATGTATTGGACAGATTTTTTATTATTATTATTATTATTATTTTATTTTTTAATGGTTGAACTCGTGATCTTTCTTCTGGATGTGTTGTAGCATTTTTTTATTTAGCCTCCAATAAAAGTGATTTTTGCTTTTTAAGCAGGGTTGCTGTGTTGGTCCTTGACTATACATTTCTCTGATGTTTCAGATTCAAATGGGAATATTGCTCATTAATATGGTAAAAGAAAGTGAGTTAGCTTAATCTTTCAGAATTTGGGAGTCACTAGAAAGTCATTTGGCATTCATATGAGGATTTTCTACTTGCTGTTGCGTTATAATTGATGTAATCCTGTCTGAAAGGAGAACCAGAAATATTTGGTTTGTCTCAACTCCTACCTTGTAATCTTTTGGCTCCGTCTTAGTTGGGTGATGTCTATGCGGGATTGCAAGGATTGCGGTATTTCCTCTGTTGGGTTGTTGCTTTCTTTTTCTTGTTCATTGTTTTTATGAGTTAAAGGACTGGTAATCTGTCTTGCTGAGAATAATCTCCTTTCCGTGACCCAAAATTGGTTGTGAAATCGGGTTATTTATAGTTAATTCACTGTAATATTTGCATACTCTGCATTGCTGCAGAACCTGTGATTGTCTGTTAAATATGACGCATACTCAGATTCCCCAAGTACACTCCCAGATGATGGGAGGCTCTCTGCTCATATGGTGAGTTACTTAAATTTGCAATTTCTGATTTATTTATTTATTTTGTTGGCCGTACAGATAGATATTTATTCTGATATTTGCTTCTATGTGATCCTGTTATATAAGTCATGATTATAATAAAAAGGTTTATACGGGTATAAGACTGATGTCATGAAGAATGAATGCTAGCGACGTACGTATCTGCTATGCATGAATATCAGAGTATCATGAGAATATCAGATGCCCTTTTATTGTGATAAAGATTGATTTACGATTAGTATCATCTCAATATTGCTACGGTTGATTCCGTTAATCAAGTGGATTCGAGACAGTTGAATCCTCCACTGATTTCTTCTCTGAAATCAATCTTGTTTTATCAACATAATTATGAATCGCAGCTCAAAACTGAATCTTAGAACAATCAGAAGACGTTGTATGGTATGGAATGGCTTCGTGATAACTAAAGAGTCTTGGTGTTGGCTGCATAGTATGGAACGGCTGATAAGAGAGCAGAAACAGAACAAGGCTTTTCTTCTTCTTCTTCTTCTTCCACTTCTGTACGGCGGAGGACCATGCTCAGACGAGGGCCCTCGGCACTGGCTCCGCCGGCGGGAGCTCCGTCTCCCTCAGCTTCAGCGCGATGGCCTTCCCTGCAGCGTTCGCGAGCGGGTGAATCCCGTGCTCCGGCCCTCTCATGTAGGCCCTGCTCTCCCTCTCCTTGGCGAACGACCTCCCAAATCGCTGCTCCACAGCTGATATCCTCTCCACATCACCAAAATGCATGCACCGAAATCTCTGAAGCGGAGGGAGGGGGGGGGGAGAGAGAGAGAGAGAGAGAGAGAGGGAGGAGTGCTTACAGTGGGCGAGGTCTTCCCGGAGCTGGCCGTCGCCGGTGAGGGCCATCATGATCTGAGGGAGGCCCAGGGGCAGCGCGTCTCCCCCGTCGACCTGCCAGAAGTGGAAGGTCTTGCCGTAGGTCTTGCAGACCTTCTCGAGGTCCATGCGCTCAAAGACTGCGGGGATGGAGGGCATGAAGAGGACACCGCTCTTGACCTCGTACTCGTGGGAATGCCAGAGGGGCTTCTCTTCGTCGGGGAGAGAGAGGAAGAGGGTGTCGGAGATAATGTACTCGACGCCGATTAGGCGGGCGGTGGAGTCGGGGCTGTCGTAGATGAGGCACTGCCGCATCTCCTCGTTCTGGTGGGAGCAGAAGTGGTGAGCCTCCACCTGCCGGGTCGTGTCGTCCGCGTAGAAGTGGAACCTACGGAAACAACCACACCACCACCGCAGCACCATCAGCACATCCCATAGAAGATGAGAAGAGAGAGAGAGCGAGAGAGAGAAAGAGAGAGCGAGATGGTACGCGCAGAGGTGCTGATGGATTTTTTTGACTGGGGCAAAAGATTGGATGGCGCCGGTGGCGGTCTCAAGCATGGCGGTGCTGGTGTGGGTGGGCTCCCCCGGGATCTCATGGGTCGTCGCCATCTCCTCCTGCTCCTCCTCAAGCATGTCCAGGTATCCGTTGTAGTAGCAAGCGACTGCCTTTCAGATGGGACCCCGAGTCGGCCAGAACCCGGTCGACGTTGCACGTAGACGACAGATGCTGGAGCGAAGATAGACCACGCGGCATGCCATTTGAGCTTGCACGTCATGACAGACGGCGCTCCCTTCTCCGTACGTGTGGCGACATTCGAGAATCGAGAAGTAATTGACAAATATACCGTCGTCAATATTATCATTGGGAAAGTTATCTGCTGTGTTTCAATTAGCACCAGCAGAATATCACTTTACTCTTACATAAGAGCAAAGAGCTTACTTGGCCCTAAAAATTTGCCCAACAATCGTCTCTCTCTCTCTCTCTCTCTCTCTCTCTCTCTCATTTGTCATATCGCAGACATAAGTTGAGCTTGACAACTTTTCTCTTCTCTCTCTCGCTCTATGTATCTATCCATCTATCTCTCGCGCTCTCTCTCCCTCTCTCTGTCTCATTTGTCTATCACAGACTTATCTAGACCAAATTTGTCTCCATCTATCTCTCGCCCTCTCTCCTGAGCTTCACCTCTTTTCTCTTCTCTCTCTCGCTCTATGTATCTATCCATCTCTCTCTCTCTCTCTCTCTCTCTCTCTCTCTCTCTCTCTGTAACACACCAGTTTGTCTAGCTACATCCCTTCTCTTTCCTCCAAGTTCACTCACTTTTTCGTTGCACGACTCCTTCCCATGTCTTCTCACCGTCGTGATACCCGACATTCAAATGGTACTCGGTGCCCAGAATCAATATATACGCATTATTCACGTGCTTCGTTCGAGCGTTTACCAGAGACAATAACTTATTCGATGAGTTATTAGCGAAACCATCCAGGTTCGCCCTTCTACTTAAGTCACCACTCAATAAACGAGTCATCCTGGCGAGATAAATCATAGACAGCCTAGAATTCCACAGGTTCGTCAATGGGAGGTCGGTCAGAGGACATATACACAGATAATGTTAGAACATTACTAATGAAGTTGACCTCAACTATCTGGACGTGTTGACTTTATTTCACTCCAATTATGGACTTGAGGAACTGGAGTTTGTCGTCAACGTTCTCAAGATCGGAGCATTCTTCAAACGAGATCGGGGGCTCGATGCCCACAAACAGATATAGAGCTTTGACTTCCTCTACGCATGAGGGCTGTGGGGGCCTATTGGAGCCAGCTATCATCCGAATCGCATCAATCTGCTTCCATATCGTCTCCTCTGTGGCCAAGCCCTGCATGAAAAGGCATGGAGTTTCTTGTTTTATTGACGAAAATAGAAATATTGATGCATCAGAGACCCCGAGAAGAAGTCAATATTCGTTGACAAAACTGTCTGCGCATTGAAATCTGAGACATTGATATTCAAAAAATAAACTATGGATTAACGGTATTAGTAGAAGTTAATGAACAAAAATAAAAATTGAGAATTCCATTATGGAGATAACAGATCCTTGAGCAAATCATTGGTCTAATAGTTCTGAAGAATTGATCCTTGAATAGTTAGAATCAGTTTAGTCCTCTTAGACTGTTCCAACCACAAACAATACTTCCATTTGGGGGGAGGGGGGGGTGGGGGGGTTCTCCACTTTTCATCATCTTTAGTGTGCTTCGAAAATAACAACATAATAAAAAAAAGGATAACCAAAAAGACTAAACTTTAATTCAAACCATAAAAGATGGAAACTTCACCAAAACTATTGCAGACGGATCAACCGACAGGAATTCCATTAATTTCTCACCAGCATTAGTTCGTAAAATAATTATCTGACTTTTCGATATAGCCCGCTAAGCCCAATATGCTTTAGAACTAGATGACTCCAAAATTGATCTCTAGGCTTCTGGCTATCCCTTCATATTGCTAACACTGTAGATCCTAACGGATTATCTTAGCATAGTCCTCCTCAATGGTTGGCAGTAAAATAGTCATATGATTCTGCTGAATTCATTGCCAGTTGACTTTCGGACGTGCGAGCCTTTTCAGACAGATTAACAAGGTAAGAAATCAGCCGAGCAAGTATACGCTGGATGTAAGGAACGCTAATACTAACCTTATCATCCCTCGATTGAGATACAACCGACTCCACTTCAGCTGGAAATGATGATTGCTCCTCGGTTGAAGAAGTAGGCTCTGAGCTCGAACTAGAAGACTCTATGAGAACGCTTAGCTTCACCGTAGACACAGCCAAAACTGAGCAGTCTGCTGGAGGGAAAGTTTCTTCCAACAGTTCCTCTCCTTCAGGGAGCGGAGTGACTTCTCTTCCCACTCTTAGAATCGGTATGAATGTCTCTCGATCGCCAGCTTCCTCCATCTGTTTTACGTCTGCAAGTTTCTCCTCCACCTCAGGAGCACAGAATATCTCTTCCCCCGACGAAGCCCCAATTTCATCCGCCCTCGCAGGAGCGGCGACCTCCTCTCCCTCTCCTGGGGCGGAAATCCTCCATCGGCCTGTACCTGCGAGAGCAGGAACATTCCCCTCTTCAAGTCCGCCGCCGGCTGCCGTGGTTTCTTCCTCCTCCGCCTGCTTCTCTTCTGCAAGGGCGGCGGAGGGAAAGCGTTCGGGCAGCGGGAGGAGAGAGCCCATGATCTTCTCCGTCAGGGCGTATCCGGCGAAGAAGACGGCAAAGGGGACTGCGAAGGCGGCGCCGACGGTGGAAGCGAGGAGGAGCGGGGGAACCACGACGGGGGCGGAGGAGATGGCCACGCCGGCGACGGCCATCATCTTGGCTATTCTCCAGCCTCTATTCCAAGCCCTGAAGGGGAACCCCCCATCGCCGCCGCCATCACCGCCGCTGCCTTCGGAGGCATCTCCGACCGCCCTCATCGCACAGGAGGCCATCTCCCTCTCCCATGCACCGTCTCGCGAGGAGGCTCGACAGCTGAAAACAGTTATGAACGCAAGCCCGACACGTGGAGAGCATTGAAGCGGACAGCGAAGGCAATGCATTGGGCCGGCACATATGGGCCTGCTTCCGGGGCCTAGCACAGTGGCGCCCAGAAAGATCTCGAGCTTCTTAGGATCAGAAGGGCTTTAGCATTCTCTCTCTCTCCCTCTCCCTCTCGCTCACTCGCTCGCTCGGTCGCTCTCCATCGTTATCAACAGTTCGAGCTCCTGGAGGTTGTGCACCACTAATTTCTTGAAGCCGTTGGGGAGGTAGCAAGGGGTCTTCTTAAGTCGGAGCCGTTGCCGATGCTGGGCTTGAGGGTGAATCCCTTGGGCTTCCTTTTGACCTGAGAATCTACTCCCTTGGCCCTACGCCGGCTCGGTTGTGGCAGATGAAGAAGACACACTTTCGATATCATCGGGTTGCTGATTTTCTTTAGCACGTGTTCCGATAAACTTCAGGTTTCCTGGAGTAGGTCGAAGATTTCTTCTGGCATCGTTCAATCAATTGTATCGCACGAGTTGAGCAAAGTCAGGGAACCAGAGCAGAAAGCACAGAGAAAGAGAGAGGGGAAACAGAGATCAATAACCTCTACAGGTTTTGAATGCCTACAAGTGAACTCAGTCTAACACAGATTTAGTCTCACTCACAGATACCCTACAGCTGGTCGTATGATTTTCTTCACAAAATATCCAGTTGTTACCAGCGTGGTCATACTGCAGTGTCTGTAACAATATTATGAGAAAGGCACATGAATGTGTTTCTGTGTGGGGAGAGAGAGAGAGAGAGAGAGAGAGAGAGAGAGAGAGGGAGAGAGAGAATGAGAGAGAGAGAGGAGAGGAGGGAGAGAGATAGATAGATAGATAGATAGATGAGAGAGAGAGAGAGAGAGAGAGAGAGAGAGAGAGAGAGAGAGAGAGAGAGAGAGAGAGAGAGGCAGAGAGAGAGAGGAGAGAGAGGAGAGAGAGGGAGAGAGGGAGGGAGAGAGGGGGGGGAGAGGAGAGGAGGGGGGAGGAGAGGAGAGAGAGAGAGAGGGGGGGAGAGAGAGAGGGGGAGAGAGAGAGGGGGGAGAGAGAGAGAGGGGAGAGAGAGATAGATAGATAGATAGATAGAGAGAGAGAGGGAGAGAGAGAGATAGATAGATAGAGAGAGAGAGAGAGAGAGAGAGAGAGAGAGAGAGGGAGAGAGAGAGAGGGAGAGAGAGAGGGGAGAGAGAGAGAGAGAGAGAGAGAGAGAGAGAGAGAGAGAGAGAGAAATAATAAACTTGACACATGACTAAACATAACTCATTTACATTATATCTTACCTAGATTGGTTCATCTCATACAAGTAGTGTCCAAAAAAGCTAGCCTCACAATAATTAAAAATAAAAAAGGGAAAGAAATACAAACTAGGTTGCCAATGAAATGGTGAGTTTGTATTGATTATAAAAAATTAAATATAGTGACTAAGAATAACCATTTTCCTCTACTTTTCATATATCAAATTGTAGAAAGATTAGTATGTCATAAATATTTTTATTTTCTAGATAGATATTTTAGTTATATTGAGATAACAATTAATTCAAATGATTAAGAGAAAATGACCTCTACATGTACATTTGGTATTTTTTTCATTTACAAAAATATCCTTCAATTTATGTAAGTCAGTTGTTACATTTCAAAGATGAATGTTATGTATTTTTTTTATATGGTTGTCAATTTTCTTGAAGTATTTATGAATGATTTTTCTGTTTTTGACTCTTCATTTGATGATTGTTTAGATCATTGAAGATGGGTCCTAACAAGATGTGTGGAAACTAATTTATTTCTAAGTTAGGAAAATAGTCATTTCATGGTCTAGGAGGGCATATTATTAAGACATGTCATTAATGAAAAAAGAATAGAAGTTGATAAATCTAAAATCAAAATTATTAACAACTTCTCCCCACCCTCCTCTTTAAAACATTTGAGATATTCCTTGAACATGAAATTTTTTATAGAAGATTTATTAAATATTTTTTTATGATAGCTAGACTACTAACATCTCTACTAGCTAAAGATGTATTATTTCATTTAGATGCAACAAGTTTAGAGACTTTCACTATCTTGAAACAAGCTTTAGAACATACACTTATATTACAAGCTCTAAATTGGACTCAAGCTTTTGAAATTATGTGTGGTGCATCTAATTTTTCAATATGAGTTGTGCTAAGAAAATACGAAGAAAATCAATAGCTATTTATTATGCAAGTAAGACTTTAGTCAAATCCTAAACCCATTACATGACCATTAAAAAATAATTACTAGTTGTTGTCTTTGTTTTAGAAAAAAATAGATCTTATTTATTAGGAGCAAAGGTCATACTATATATAATGACTTAGCCTTAAAGGATTTACTTAGGAAGAAGAATCTAAGCCATGCCTGATGAGATGGATTTTTCTATTGCAAGAATTTGATTTAGAGATTAAGGACATAAAGGGTTTTGAAAATATTACAGCTGATCATTTTTCTAAAATTTGTGGATATGTAAACAATCCTTTACATTACTCATTTCCAAATGAACAATTAATAGTTATAAGTAAAAAATGCAATGGTATGTACATATAGTTAATTATTTGATGACAAGAAAAAAATCACATCAATAGTTAATGCATGAAAAAGATGTATTATTTTCTAAGTTCAAATATTATTTTTGTAATGACCCTAAATTATTCTATTTAGGTCTAAATCAACTTTTAGAAAGTATGTTTCAAAAGCAGAACAAATGATGCTATGAAATTATTAGACCAAAAAGATGGGCAAACATTAAAACTATATCTTAAACATGAGTAACATAATAAAAAATAATCAATAAATCTAAGTGATCTATTAGATGACATATCTCTAGTTGAAGCCATTTAAACTTAGTCTTGGTTGGGAGAGAGCCCCACCTGTTTGATTCTATTTTATTTCCTTTTTTTTATAGTTTTGATTAGAGGGAGAAAATCGTCAAGTACAAGAGGGAAGCAACATTCCAATTGACTGATGGCTGAAGTATCTCCCCTTTACTAATTTAAAAGCATGGTTTAAAATTTATAATGAGATGGTCATTGAGGACAATGTCATTTAAGTTTGAAAGTGATGTGTGAGAGAGTGAAATCTTTGTTAAATCTACTAAAAATTTTGAAAACTTTTATGTGAAAAGTTTACTCTAGTCTTTATGATAACATCTATAATTATACTTTATATTCACAATTTTGAAACTACATATGCATGTGGCAACCATAACATATATTCACACTTTATATTTCATGTAGGAAAGAAAATTAATCATAATTCTTAAGAATTCAAGTATACTAGGCAATCATAGTCAAGATGAGGGGGTTGAATTAATATCAAAATTGTTAGAATACTCCTCAAATTCCCAAGAATTTTTTAATTGAATATATTTTTTCATCTGCACTTTATAATTTAGTAGGTGTCATTTATTAGGTGTTGAATTTTACTAAACACTTAAGTTTGATAGAAAATGTATATTTTTAGTTTAATGCATGAGGGGATGTCAAATGTCTTGATAAATATTCAGAAGTAAATGAAAATTATAGTGTGAAGCCCCAATGTGAGGAATTAGGTTAGAGAAGTGTTGATCCACCCTCCTCTTGTCAAAAAAAAAACAAATATTGTGAGAAAAAGCTATCTATCTAAGTGAAAAAATAGTACAATATGAAGGTTCCAAAAGTCAAGCCATTGGACAAAGGAAGTGCTTATCCACTCTCTTCTCATCAGGAAAAAAAAACCATGAGGAGAAAGCTATCTTTCCCCACCATATAATACCATTATACACAAATAGGCAAATAAACTTTAAATCATGCGAAGGATTTAGAACTAGGCAATGCATAACAATCTTAAGTGGTAGGTTGACTAACAAATTCATGCCTTTTTGATATAAAAAAATAAAAAAGATGAATGAAAAAGGGAGGATTTCTCTTGGCTAGTTGTGGCTTCTCTCTTCTCTTGGAGAAGAGGACCTCATTCTTCTCTACAATGACACAAAGCTTTGTGATTTTGATTTTTATTTTTTTAGTATTTTATTTTATTTCAATTGATTTTTTAGTTTGATTTCTCCTTCAAAGCTCTTTGTATGTGATGAAAGAGTTGCAACATGATTTTATAATATTTTAGTTTCTATATTTCATTTCAAGTTGTTGATTGATTCTACCTTGTGAAGCAGCACACATGGTATGAATAGTCATCATTTTTGTTTATAATATTTTTAATATATTTTTATTTTATTTTATTTAGTTATAAATCATCTACTCTTTAGGAGAATAGTCATCATTTCATCATAAGAGGAGAATTTGCTAGTAGATTTTTTTCTCCTTTTCCTTTATTTTTATGGTTTGTCCAAATTAATCTTTAGGAGCCCTTAAATCCACACAAATTAGAGGTGGTCTAAAAGCAATGAAGACATCAATAAGAACAAGGGAGCTCGACTATGACAACTCGACAATCAGAGAAATTATCTATTTTCTATCTTTAGTTTTCAACTATTTAATTTTCAATGTGTTGAAAATGGATTAGAGATATATTTCTATCTTTGATTGCTATCGAAACGACCTGAATTTAATACATTTCTTGTTCAAAATAATTTAGAATTTGGTTTAGAATTTGTGAATTTATTTAAACATGGAAGATGTCTCTAAGTTCTGAACTATATTTTAATCCAACTAATTCATCTAAATTAATAGCTCTAAGTTGACCAAAGTGTTAATAGCACTCTAGTATAGATATGGACACATTTCTATTTTAATAGTGGCAGCATGATAATTATTGAGACTTTCTTTACCCTGTTTATAGCACCAAAATAAATCTAGCTAAGGAAGTGCCTTTCATCCCTGGTTGATCTTCAATTTTGTGTCTTGAATGATTTTTTCATTGAATTGAAACTTGATAAATGCATTCATTTTATGGTGATCAATTATTTATTAATTTTGAAAGTTGTTAACATTTAGTTAATGATTGGAAAATAATCACCTCATAGTTGCAAATGTCTAGTTATTTATCTATTGATATAATGATAGGAAATGTTGCACATAAATTACTTTAAAATATGTAAAAGCATTAATAAATCAATGATATCATGAAATATATATTTGGCATGTTCAAGGGTCATGTTGATATTTAATTTATCTTATAATATAAAATAATTATTTTACCTTTTTATTTTCCTCAGTTCTAAAGGCCTTCCTCAAGTGTTGTGATTAAGATGATCTAGTAATTTAATTCAATACCTTTGAAATTTCTAATGTACTCTTCTATTAAAAAAAATCATCATCATAGAAAGTACAAATAAATTAACTAAATTATACACTACTAAACATGAGACTTATACTTAGACAATTTGAACCATGTAGATGAAGAAATTTAGTAGGGTTCATCAAGTTGTATGTGTGCACAATGGGAATGAAAATATAATTCATACTAGAAAAGATTTACCTTATATTAGAAAAGTATGAAAATATTTTAAGAAAAGTTTGTTAAGTAATTTAGTGAGAGTGGTCACATTCATATTTTAATGTTGTGGAAAATTTTAGTTGTTGTGTTATCAAAGAATCAACATCTAAAATTATTAATATTTTACTACTTTTGTACAAAAGCACCTACACTTGCACATATACACTCACGATCAATGCTAGTAAATATGGTATGCATAATTCCTTTCATATGATACCAATCTTTCTCTTTCTCATGTTTTATTTCTTGGATTATCAAATATATTAACCATCAAATATGATAATTTATAATACACTTTTGAGATGTAAAAAATATGTTGCTTGATAGGTTTTGATTTAACTATAGCTCTTTGTGTATGATTTATCAAGATTTGTCAAAGATTGGAGTGACTTAACTAGAAAATACACTTTTATATAGGTGTGATGTAACTTAGTCGTTGTATAGTAAATTACATAAATTTAAAATTTATAAAACTAGAAAATACTATTTTTTAAATATTTAAAAGTAATTTTGAACAAATATATCAATTATAATTCAATAAAAGTTCTAAAAATAGTGTAAAATTTTTAAGTCAATCACATAGATATAATATAATATTTAATAATATTTCAGAATTTTTTATTTAGATTAAGAAATAAAAATAAAATATATTTAAAAATTTACAAAAAGAAAATAAAGGGTGATGACATCATGATGATGTCAGCACCTCAACGAATGTGAATTGAGTAGAAACAAAGTTCCACTTGATGATTCTTACATAAGTGATTATAAATAATTTAATTAGTTAAATTAAGATATCTAAAAGCTAGAAGAATCATAATTGAAAGAAGAATAATTTATAAAATTTAAATCACACAAATTATCACTAAATAAAGTAAAAATTAAATTGAATAAGGAAAAATAGAGTTCCGATGTCATGACGACAATGCCTCGATGATACATCAAAATTTTGAGTGTTCAAGAGGATTGTCATGTAATGTCTATAATCTTAAAGCCTCTTCTTGGACAAGGACAACATGGGTAATCTCTAGATTTTTTTGTGAAGTTTAGAGATCAATGAAATAAGTCATCAAATTATCTCTGATAGATGTCACTCAATGGAACAGAAAAATAACAAGTTTGTAGCTCTCTAGTAGTTGTCACCTAATAGAGAAGAGCTGAATAGAGGTGGAGCACATGTTAAGGGGCTTCATCCTCAAGTCTGCACATCAAGATGAGGGTTTTCATCGTATCTAATATGCTCTTAAGAGATGGTGACTTGTCTCATGATGGATCATCTTTTTTCTGACGACGACTTATTCATCGATTAACTAGAGATAATTTATTTGATTAATTTGTGATCTTTTTATCGTAAATTATTTAACAATTTTAGTAACAATATTTTGCGAATCATATTGACTAGATTTTCATCGATGATTGAGTGATTCTAATAGCTTAATCCTTCACCAACGATTTATAAGAAAGTCACAGTTTAATTAGATAAAAATACAAGTTTTGATTCTAGTAAGATTCAAATTTGCATTAGTTGCCTGTTTACATGAGAGAGAGAGAAATAAGTACAAAAATATTTTTATAAAGTGACAGCATCATGCTACCTCTTTTTGATAAATAAGGAATATTTTAGGTATTAAAATCTTTGAATACATTCAAGAGAAGTGTGATTGTCAATTTAGTCCCACATCGATTATGGTGAATGTTGAGACGAATATATAATAATACCACATTTAAAAGCAATCAATCCTTTTCGCACATGTGTATGATCACTCCTTATCCCTCTTTTTTTTATCTTTTTATTTATTTATCTAAAAATAGGATTAAAAATTTACATTAGTTATCCAAAAATCACTTTTCACAATTTAATATAAATATAAATCTATTTATCATAAGTTAAGACTAAAAGTATATTATTTATTAACTCATGATAATGAAGACTTATCAATCCTCTATCTACAATATGAGATTAAAATATCCACATTATAAAAGACACAATTGCCCCTATTTAAAATCATTCTCTAGAAGGAGCAATCTTGACACTTTCTATCAACTTACCAAAAAGACAGATTGCATATCCGCCATAGATATGGGATGATCATTTCCACACATCCCAACAAAGATATCTTTATATTTTCATTTAGTGATGTCCAACTTTAGTTCTTATTTTGGATGTAATAGAATTCCCCAAAGGGACATAAATAGTGACAATCCTTTGGCAATTATGTCAGTCTTTCAATAATTTATTTCTTATTTGAACCTTTCACCTTACATTGCTTGATAAGTTAGACATTTATGATCGAGTAGTTAATTGAATATTACTTTTGGAAATTAAACATTCCCAAAGATCTCCTTTCAAATGGACCTACGACTTGATTTAAATCTCAAATCACCAAACATGACGCTATCGTAATGTTAATAATTGTAGGGTAACTCTAGAAGATTCACCTTCTCCAAGTTGCAAGTGAGGATATTTAGCCATAATCTAATTTATCATTTTCAGTGCATAGAAATTGTATACCTAGTTAAATTAGATAAGTAACGGTTGACCATTTGTCTCACACGCTTGAATATTATGCAGCAGATAGGTACCATGTGTATGTATAACCGTAAAACATGCAAACATTAATAATACTTCTTCATAGGAATAGGTAGACATAAGAAAATGGATGCCCTTAAATCAACACATTCCATTCACCTTCTCCAGGTTGTGAAATTCGCTTATTTACGGCTTTCTTTCCTCAGTGACATTCCATTGTCATTTCCTCAGTGCCACTATCTTTCCCAACATCAATATGGCTTCTAATGTTTCAACTCTCTTTGGTGATGGAATTGGAGTACTCGCTGTAGACTGCAACGAACAAAGCTTAAAAGATATAGTAGGAAAGCTTGAAAGCTACGGGTATACAGGTAAGCAGCTACATCTGAAATCATTTGTTTATTCTCTCCCTTTGTACTTACCTAAGATATGATATGGTACACTGAGTATTCAAATTTGAAGAGCTCTTAAGGAAATGGATTCCATGTTTAATGTTTATTCCCATAATTATTTTTTCCCATAGTAATTTTTAATCTTAGATAATTTTTAAGAGTTGTCACTGGCTCCCACACTCATGCATCATGAGGCATACGACTGGAGACGGCGAGGATGTGGGGTATAAGGGACATGGGCGCAGGGGTAGTGGATTGATTACACCGAAAGAGAGACGCTGAGGGGCTAGTAGATCTATTATAAATTGATAAAACGATGAATCGATTGATACCCCTTTTAACATTTTCTTATGGTTGTTTACCCTTTCGTCATTGTGGAAATAGGACGTCGGCTTTGTTTAAGGACGAGATGGTTTCTGGGAGATCGACTGCCTAACATGCACTTTCATTCAGTGACTCCTTGCTCTAGGGTGAGCTCTGCGCTGGACATTCTAAACAAGGCCAACGGCAGCTTCAACCTAGTCCTAACCGAAGCTCGAATGGTGGACATGGATGCGTTTGCTCTTCTTGAGCAGGTCAAGTTGACCTTCGGCATCCCAGTTATCAGTGAGTACATCCTTCAACGGTGCCATTAACCTCTTAATGCTGCCCAGCACCGTACTTAGTTCAGTTCTGCGGTGCAGTGATGTCAGCCGGGGGAGGGCTAGGGCTGGCGATGGAATGCCTCAACGCTGGGGCCTCCTTCTACCTCCAGAAACCCCTGGATTGTGCTGCTGCTGCAACGATCTGGCAGCATGTCTCATTGAAAAGGAAAACGTTCTCAGCCGCGACTGCGCAGATACTGGAGAACAGCGGTCCTTCATCTTTCTCAGCGGAGAGAGGAGAGAGGAGGGGTACCGGAGAATCGCCAGCCAACTTTAAAGAAGAGGTAGACGAAGACAGGGATAATGAAAAGGACGATGATGTGATAAGACGACAGGAAAACACGGTAAAACAGAAGACGGGGAAGAGAGTGTCCTGGACGGGGGAGTTGCACCTGCTATTCACGCACGCTGTCGACAAATTAGGCATCAATAGTGAGCGCCTTTCCAACCTTTTTCCGTTCGAAGCGTCTTCTCCACTGTCGCTTATATTTTCCTTCATACAACCAAGTTATCTCTAGTCTGACCACCTATCCACCTCCTCCGTCCTCCCCATTACTCCACAGAGGCGACCCCAAAGAAAATATTGGAACGGATGAGGAGACCGGAGTTGACTCGCTCCAATGTTGCTAGCCATCTGCAGGTTTGACTAGCATACTTCCTCCCATACCCATCTTGGGAAGCATTTTCTGATAAATTTCTCGTTATCTTTTGGTCAATCAACTACACTTGGAAATGCGCAATGTTTCTATTATGATGTTCCATATTCAAACAAAGTCCGCAAAACTCTATAATTAAACTGGTTGGCTTATTCCAGTCGTCTGTAATTCATTTGAGTTAAAACAACCTAGTAACTTACTTTTAAGAATTGAAATTGGTTTTCTTAATTTACGTATCACAATTATGCTCGCATTATAGATCTTATTGCAAATTGCCATTAAATAGATGGGAGTATCGCCCACATTGGAACCTGCGATTAAATAGATAATAATGGTTTACTGTAAATCAGCTTCTTTTTCTGACAGTCTAATCACTAAAACATATCCTGTCGAAAACGAACTATCACTGTACCGCCTGTACTTGACGAAATAATGGAACATATCAACAATGATAGTTTCCACCTCAACGTGAAATAATGGAACTTATCAACAATGCAGAAGTACCGCCTGTACTTGACGAAAAGCAAACACGGGAGCAGGAAAAGGTTTTATGAGTTTTCCTTGAACAGGAAGCGATCCGTTTTTGAGTCTGGTCCCAAACATTTGACGAAGAGCCACCGGCTTCAAATGGAAGTCTTCAGTGAAGGCCGCTTAGCTGACGACCGGAGACCTGTGGAGAAGGAGGTAGAATCCCAGTCTGCAAAGATGCCTTACACGGGTCTCCCCGTCAATGTGCAGGGAAGAACTACAGGAGAGATGGACGTGCCGCGGCGGTCAATACCATGGCCCGGGATCAACCTTCCCGCCATCTCCAGTGAGATAAACACCTTCCATTGAGAAGGCTTTGATCATTTGTTATGCGGTGCATTCAATGACTCATTACGTTTCCAGATGCAGATATTCTAAGTTCAAATCTGAATGAGGCTAGGCAGCACAGAGATTTCGGCCGCAGAAAGACCTACGTCGGTCTCCAGCTTCAGGATGGTATTGGACAGATCAGACTGGCTCAGGATACGTATTTGGAACCAGAGCCGATAAATCCGGCAATCGGAGGATCACAGGATGAACATGTGGACTACATGATTCTTGATCAGCTTCTGCAAGAAGAGGTTGCTGCTGGTGAGAAGAAAAGCAGTATGCAGATGGATTTCCAATCTTCAAGCCCTAAACAGAGTGATTCAATGACCCCCAGCAATGGTTGGCATCTCTCACCTGATAAACCAGTTGAGGAGCTTCAGGCGCGGAATGAGGTTTCAACCAATGACTTTGTGGACATTGTGCTGGATAATATGATGGGTCTTCTGTTAGATCCTCAGGTAGTCATATCATTTTTTCCTGGATTTAAAAAATGTCCTTAAAATTGTTGAGCCATCAAACTGGTAGAAAATGACTTGAGTGAAACTGTCGTATACTTACTATTATGTTGACCACTGTAGGGTACTGTAGCGTGAGTAGTCGAGTACATTCCGTCTTTTAAACAGTCACAGAGACAGCATAGGGAGGTGCTTACAGTACAACTATGATTGAGTAAAATAATCATTATTTATAGCATGTATTTAATATGTTTGATTAACATAGATCTATTCTAACGATCATATGTATTCCATGGGTAACACTTTTTTGGCGCTTACTGTTTTCCAATTTGGTCCTTTGAGCACCAAAATGATATTATCGAGTTGGAGCATTTTAGACGTCCTCAGGACCAAAAGTTTAATACAATTGAATTCATACGAACTTTATTAGGATCCCATTTTTTGTCTATTTTTAATTAAATTTGAAAAATGTATGCCGACTAACATGTTGCACTTGAATTGTCAGGATGAGGACGATGGGAAATTTTAGGAGGCAGTTATTTCACTGCCTTGCAGAATAAAGTCTGGCAGACAGACTTGAGGGCACGGATCAGTAAAACAATTTTGCACTTGTTTATCATTTCTTTGAGGCATTTCTCGTGCAGCAGCTATCTTCTATATTCCTAGGACCTCTCTCTCTTCTCTCTCTCTCTCTCTCTCTCTCTCTCTCTCTCTCTCTCTCTCTTCACATGCAGCTTGGAAGTAACATATGCAAACCCCAATTTCAAGGAAAAAATAATCCCGTCCTTGTTCTGATTATGTTTTGTGAGTTTCAAATTTGATACTGTGGGACCTTTTACACATTTTATTGATGTTTTCTTGGTGCATTTATGTCGTCATAATTCAACATTTATCGGAGATTAGCATAGTTGGAATGCGTTCTATTGAATAATGCTAAAAATGAAGTACCGACAAATTCTTTGACAAAGACGTGGAACGGAAGGGGCAGAGGGAGAGTTGAGACTGGCTTAGCAATCCAAAATGTAGGAAATCCGTCACATATGGGATTCGATTGGTTTCGGCCGCCCCGGGCAATTCTGGGCGTAAGATGACAACAGGTAAGCTTAGTGAGAAGGAGCTGCCTCCTTGGTCTAGAGGACTATTGAGGTTTGTTGCACAATATGGAGACAATGTGCACAGCTTCTCCATCCCTCCCAAAAGGATGCTCTTCCAGATCACCAGTGATGCCACCACGTCAAAGAGCCTTCGTGAAGCAAAGGGCATGAACATGAAAGATGTAATGATTTGGATGCTGCTAATTCTTTGGTATAAACTTTTTATTCTTAGACGAGTTGCTATAATTATGGTGGATGGCTAAATACAAGTATGTTTATGGATTCTGCGAAGCCATATGAAAGTTTCTCCTGCTATTCCTTTTCATTATTTCATTTCAATAAAGTTGTTGGCCCACCACTTCTAATATTTCATGAAAGAAATTCCTTCAGGGTGATGTTCAAAAGAAAATTTTATGTCACTTTTCATAGTTAAGGTTGTTTTTAATTTACAGTAATTAGAGAAAAACATGATTCAAAGTTTCCTAAATTTCATAAAAAATGCTACTAAACGTGTTATCTTGATGTAATAAAGCATAAATTGGGGAAAGAATGAAAGTCATTAAAATTAGACCGATCGAAAAAATCATCATTCAAAAATTTTATTTAAAAATTACTTTAAATTGTCTTCCTCAGTTTTATGTGTGCAATGTAGAAAAAGTAAATATTATAGTTGTATGTATTGATTAATACATAATAGCATCATAAATGTTTCATGCCTAAAATATACACTACTATTAAAAAAATTCACTAAATTCACTTTGTGAAGTTAATCAAAAAAATCTTATTTTTTTAATGATGATAGGAAAAAAGATTGCAACACAAAGGAGAAACCCAAATGTATAGTGACTCACAAAAATCGTATCCAAAAATTAATTTGAAAACATCTAAAGTAAATTTAGAAAAAGATCATCCATTTGAAAAGAAATAGATGATTAGTAGAAATTGGTCAAAGTTGAATGCCAATCTATTAAAAAAATTATCATACAAGGTTCAAAGATATTAAAAAAAATTTTACTTTTTACTTATCAAAGATATAAGATATTTGGACAAGAAACTTCATTTTCTTCTCTCCGAACACTCAATAAATTTATGAGATATGATAAAACGTAGAAGTTTAACGGTATATTGAATTAAGTAGAAGTCTAACGGACAATCCTTGGAACTTCAACAGTGGACTAAGAGACTAAATGAAATAGTATTAAGACAATTCGATCTTGAGCACATGTAGTAGCTTCAGCAGATGAAAAATTTGAAAACCTTATTAAAAATCATTAGGGTTTCATCCTGTCCAACCTCTTCATGTTGATCTGAAAACCAAGCCGCTGCCAAAGTGTACTGTGTGCCTCTGGTTGGATTCACAATCTTCGCATTGCAATTGGCAATGACATGATCACAAATGAAGGATAACTGTAGGAGTACAAGGCCAGACATTTCTCATGGTTGCGGAAGCGGAATACATGGACACTTTACTGGTACGCCAACCTTTGAATGGCGTGTTGAGTACCTTGTTTCCAGAACTGCAGCGCACGCACACACATACACAGCTTCAGAAATATGAGTTCATTAAATTGGACAACAAGAATGGCCATAATCTAACATGAGATCATCCCAAGTTCGAAAGGGCACAAAAAAATATGAAAAACAAGACCAACCATGCTTCCAGAAATGATTGTTATCTTCCGTTCTATATAGCTCCAAATTGTGATGCCTTATTCTTTATACCAAATGGAAATGTTACAATCTCTTAGGAAGTAATTTACATATATAAAGAATCCACTAACGTCCACTTTGGCTGTAAATTATTAAAAAAAAGGTGAAATACAGTAAATTTAATTGTGATGATGTTGGAAAAGCACCCGAGTTCGGGCTTATGGTATTCGGTTCAAAGCCCATTTTTAACCTCACACAGCCTCTCTATATGTATCTATCCCCCTCTCTACATGTATATACAGCTATCCCTACTCTCTCTCTCTCTCTCTCTGTCTCTCCCACTCTCTCTCAGCATGGGATGCTCAGCTATCCTCGTTTAGGAAGACAATATCATTCTCTCAGTAAAGGCAATTTTATCCAGGGTAGGGTGTATGTGTGGGGAGAGAGGAAGAGGGAGAGGGAGGGCCAGAGGGAGGGAGGGAGCGAGGGAGAGAGAGAGAGAGAGAGAGAGAGAGAGAGAGAGAGGGAGGGGAGAGAGATTTTCTTGAGGTTGCTCTAATTTTATCCATCGACTTGCTGCGGTAGTCTCATTACTGCCTTCTATCCTCCTGGGAGGCGCTGAAGAGATCAGCCTCCTCTACAGTATTGGCGTCCTCATCCTGCAATTTCAAGAGCCAAATCATTAAGAAAATGTATGCCCAATAAATAAAGCGTCTTCCTGTTAGTTAGTGATTAATTATCTTTCAAAACCAGGGCAATTGAACATCTTGCATTTACCTGATCATCGAACAGAAGACTCATAATGGCTTCTTGAGAGATATCTCCAATATCTTGGGATAAGTTATCGAGCTGAGTGTCAAGGAATTCATCAATTGAGATATCCTCATTCTCCAGCAATTCCGCGGATGGCTGATTCAATGGAGAAAAATGATTTCCGCTAGTCTGGATCGTCGGATCATTCTTTCCGAACCCGCTTGACAAGAGATCCTTGTGTATGTTCGTCCTCTTCTCTGAGGAGACAGCTTCTTCTTGCAGAAGCTGGTCGAGAATCATGTCTTCTATAATTTCATCTTTAGATTCACCTTCTACCGGAGCAATTACCTTCGGTCCAGGAGATGTCCCCAGTGTTAACCCAAGCTTTTCACTAGCAGTCTGAAGTTCCAGACCAATATAGTTGTTACCGCAGCCTGAATTCTGGGGTTCGCTAACGTCTGACGTCGCAATGGTGTTGCTCCCAGGGAACTTTAATGCTGAAGTACCGGCAGCTACACAGGCACGGAGTCCTACATTATACTCCACCGCGAAAGCCTGAAAGTTTTCTGCTGTACTGTCCTCGAAGTAGGAACAGTTACGGGACGTTTCATGGGAACACAGTCTTGCCTGCTGTGTCGCATTTCCCTGTGCTGCAGATGCCGGAATTGGAAGAGCCTTAGGGATATTTGTGTGTTTCATAGATGCTACCTGAGGTTTGATTGAGTTATCAGCAGCTCTCTGGGCGTCGGTTGCGAAGCTCTGGTTAAAGCTTTCCATTTCTAGTCTGTGGATCTCCGTCAAGTGCTGGGGGCCACACTCGAACACAGATCTCTTCTTGGTCAAGAAAAATCTGCGCCGACTCCTGTTGCCTTCTGGCCGGTTCCTGCTATTGGTGATTTTCGCCAAGTGCTGGCGGTACTTCTGCATCGATGTTCAACAGCGTCTGGCATTCAGAGACAGGAACTAAAGACTTGAAGTTTTTCTCTTTTACAAATCAACGAGCTTATGGCTGACTAGAGCATATCTACATTCTACGCATTTCAGCCAGCTATCAGTAGCTCAATAAACAGGGTTAAGTCGTAACCAAGAATCGTTATAGCGGTCACTGAGAAAGATTCAAAGGTGAAACTGAGAGCATCATACTTGTAAGTGACTGGCAACGTTGGTGCGTGTCAAGTCTCTTCTGCCCATTAGTTTAAGTATCTTCCTTGGTGCTGCTCCTGTCGGGAAGCGGGGGAAGGAAACATGAATGAGTCATCTGAGGAAGAAGGTGATCTGCGGAGTGAAATGAGGGAACGGCTCTCACTGTTTATCCCTAATTTATCCACGGCGTCCAAGAAAAGAAGGTGCAATTCGTTGGTCCATTCCACTCTTTCCTTCTTCTCGGTCACCGCGGTTCCGTTCATTCCCCTTTTGACCTCTTCATCGCCTTCATGGTCGTCGTCGTCTTCTACGTCCCTTCTCTTGACGTTGTCCGGCGATTCTCCGGTACCCCTCCTCTCTTCCCCTGATACGGAGAAGGAAGGCGACGAACCGCGGTTTTCCATTCTCCTCGTAGCATCGATCGGGAACACCCTCATTTTCTTCACTGCAACGTGTTGCCAGATTGTCGAAACCGCAGCGTAGTCCAGCGGTTTCTGGAGGTAGAAGGAAGCCCCAGCTTTGAGGCATTCCCCCGCGAGCCCCAGTCCTCCTCCGGCTGACATCACTGCACCGCATAACTGAACTAAATTACGGTTCTGGGCAGCTCTGAACGAAGCTATTGGCACTGATAAAAGGAGGGCTTACTGATAACAGGGATATCGAAGGTCACCTCGACCTGGTGGAGGAGAGCAAACGCATCCATGTCCACCATTCGAGCTTCTGTTAGGATGAGGTCAAACCTTCTCTCGTCCTTGATCAGAATGTCCAATGCGGACGTCACCCTGGAGCAAGGAGTCACTAAATGCAAACCCATTTTACTCGTTGATCGCACAGAAATCATATTCGCCTTAAAGATAAGAAAATCACACTTCAACATGCTTTATTCCAATAAGCAACGTGAATAGTGTCATTCTGATAAATCGATCAGCTAAAATAGCAGTCAGTTAATTAATCTGTAACTTCATGATAGATCTACCATCCATTTTTGCAAGTTTATACCAAAAATGTCATACATGATGTGCAGCTTGGAAAAGGGAAACGTGCTATGGCAGTCTCAACATAGATTTTCTGTAAGATATAATAATTTTGATCGCATCATTTTCCCTCAATGTTACAACTATTAACATATTAAATTCAAAACAATTGGTAAAGAGTTAAATAGTGTTGTATATCTATAATCACAAGTTTTTATTTATTACTTTTAGTAACAAGTTTTGTGATGTGCCATTTCTCTTCGAACCCCTTGGTAATTATATCACGTAAACGTACAAACCTAGAATGCGCATTGCCATAGAGGAAATGTCGACTTCAATGTAATGTCAAAGTATTAACTCATTTATCTCAAAATTATTTGTAAATGGGATATACGCATATACGTACAAAAGCACAGGTTTTTATGTGTTAGTGAACCCCATTTTCAGGTATACCCAAATGACTCAGTAAACAACCATCATTTTCTCCTTCCTCTGATGCCTAACTGCACCCAGCTCTCCTTCAGGAACAAAGCTGAGCTTCGTTTTGGTATAGACCTGGGCTCAGAACCAGATTGTGAAGAAATCATGCTAGAAATAATCGTTGAATACACTATTCAAGAAAATCTAAAGTCTTAATACCCAAGGAAGGTTATTGATAAAAGTATATAGCGACCAGATGTAAGATGTGTTCTATGTTAAGCGCCAGAAATATGTCGAGAATCCCCCCCTCTTCAATGAAATGAAAAATATGAACAGAAACAATTTTCTTTGAGTGTAAATACGACGCCAAAACTAAAAAGTGCCCATTGAACTTACGTGAAGAATAAGAAAAAGACGAGAATTCAGATATAAAATATTATTAGACCCACTTCATGTCAACATCTACCTGTGTATCCATAGCTTTCAAGTCCTTGTACAACATCGTGCAAAGATTGTTCATTGTCATCTATCACCATGATTCCAAAACCACCAGGGAAGAGACTCAAAATGGAAGCAGCCATGGCGAGACTGGGAAAAGGTTGGAGGAAGAAAAATTCTCTGATCGCAGGTGAGATGATGACGACGGACAACAAGACCGTTCCTCAATAAAGTACAAGTTCGAGGTAGGGGGTACTGTCTTTAAGTCACGTACTTGAACCTCTCTCCTCTCATTCAAAAAGGCAAGTGTCTAGCAAGCTTAGCCCTTAGCGTGACAGTTGGCAGTAGTCAAGGTTAAAATGTTTCAAAATAATTAATGAATTTCCAAACATGGCCTATAAGCCGGTGCTCTTACGTGTTCGCCTAAAATCCGCGCCTCCAACACGGAGCTTGAGAATCTAGAGAGTTATCCTGCAATTATCTATAATATCGCCTTTTCAATGACTGCTTCGCAGGGGAAAATTGTATACCCAGTCCCTCCCCCGCAAGAGTCACGAGGCTCGACAAGTTCCCAAGACCCACCCTGGTATCATCTCTAATTTGAATCTTGTTCGTCTATTTACGGTTCATATCAGGGCAGCGTGGAGATGTCTATTATGGTTGGAAAGAAGGGTTAGTTGTTTTCGTAGGAGAAACCGCACGATTATTCCTTTCACGATCTTCCAGCGTTCTGGGTATTCGTCAAAAGGATAATGGCTTCTCCATCAGGTACGAATAACCATCCGTTACAATTCGTTCAACATATGGTCAGAAGGTCATTTGAGTTTCAACTGTTCCTTGATTCGTAACATTATTTTTGCTTTGTTCACCTCACTGTAGCAAATAAGCATATATATTTCGCTTTGATATATCCATCATTGGCTTGAATGACCATGCGTTGTTTGGCACCTGAGCTCTCATTTTTTTCGTGCATGCATTTGCTGAGACATTTTTCGCAACGATTAAGATTCTTTTGTGATAAAAAAATATACTAAAATTCAGGCTGAATAAAACTACTGATGTTGACATTGTACAGAATTAATTTTTCTAAACAACGTTTAGTGTGACAATATCGTCCTGTTTCTTTATTTTTAATGATGTTCCATTAGAAAACGTAAGTAATGTTGATTAGTATGCTCTATAGTTATGTATAAACGGATCAATTTATTTTCCTTTCGTTCCACGCATATAGATTTAAGTATTACATATAAAGCTTAATCATAATCTTTTTACTTAATAAGATCCAATAATGCTAATAATTTTCTTGACTAATACAAGGATACTTAAGCATCATAAACGCCATTTTTCTGAAAAACTTGCAGTTACTATTGATTTCCCCAAGAAATCCACAAAAATACAATATGGCATTGAGTTTCTCTGTAAATCTGTTACTATTCCTAATGTAAGAAGAACAGAGATCGACAATGTGCATTCCTCCTTTGAACCCAAATATACACATAGGTATGAAAAAAAAAACATGCACAAGGGTCTAGTCCAATCAATTGGTTAATGATCCAGTGTAAAACTAAATCATTGATGTGTTATGGTGGCCACGGAAACGAGGGTTTAGTGACTGCACCAACGAATTTTAAGAAGATCATTTCATAATTTCATTCAATTTTTATGTCTCAAAATTAGGCATTTTATTAACATAAACAGTTAAAATTCTCATTTACACCTTCCATTTCATTTATTTAGGACCATGTGGAAAATGTCTCAGACAACAGAAAATTAACTAAAATAATCTAAAATATACTAAAAAGTAAAATATATGGAAATTTATTGCAGCCTTCAGGTGACATATGTGGTTATTCGGTCTTAAGGAAATGATTCCACCATTATCCTAGTGCAGAAAAGATGCATGTGTCACCTCAAAACAAAATAGAAATAAAATATTAACAGAAAGATAATTTAAAACTAACTTTTTTTCAGATGTATTCACTAGATGATACATGAAACCAGATGGAAAAGTGCATTTCTTGGCAATTTATACATCCCTTGGGCATGGTGGGATGAATTATAGTTGTATCCAACATTCATGTTTATGCAAAAAGAAAAATAAGGTAAATTAGTAACTCAAAATTCACAAGGTAGGAAAAAACATATTCTTGGAGACTAGAGCACTGTGAAATGAGCTTAGGATCTCTTTTTGAATGCCTATCAATGGGGAAGGATCCTTTTTGAGCCACCATTTATAAGTGAGTATAGAGAGAGAGAGAGAGTTCTAAGAGGAGATTTATCAGTCTATTAGTTATTTCTATTTATATCCGTTTTTTAGCCTTTATATATGTACTTCTCTTGATTTAAAATCATTTTGGTTGCATTGTTGTGGAAATGATTTTGAAGAAATATTTCCATTTCATAGATCATAGAGGCTAATTTTACCTTCTTAAAATCATTTGTGATTATATTGTGTAATTTTATGCAACACATGGGATGTTCCATGAATCTTTTACGTGTGCCTTTAAATTACACTTCCCTATGGTTTAAACAGTCCTACCTTCATATAGTGACTACTTGAATAGGCTTAGGGTATATTCAGCCATAAAAGACTAGGCACTGAAGGTAGAAAGCTAACCATTGAGCTAGCAGTAGATGTTGGATAGTCTATTCTCGCAAAAACCTATTTACCCAAGGACTACGACATTTGAAGTAAAAACCTATTAAGTGAAAAATATTCTAACATTACATACCAATTGCTAAAGCTGCCCACGTTTTCAAGAGGCTTCACCAGCCTCTCCGAAAAACACTCTTGCACGACTGTGTGTAATCATTCATTATATTAATTTTAGTATGACATTGGCTACAGTTTTTTTCCTCTTCATGGCTTTGTAGATGACAATATAAAACTGTTGGAGCTGACTGAATACCATCATGGTGCCTTCGTTAGCTGTTTAAATCATTAAAGTTAGCAATACCCCTAAGCAAGAAGGTTCTTGGAAGAGTTAGTATATATGCAAGACCCCCCCCCCCCCCCCTCTCCTCCCATCTCCCTCCATCGTTATATCATGCTTTGACCCCCTCGTCGTATACATAATCGTGTTTCTTGGAATGCACGATCTAAGCAACTTGTCCCCACATATGTATCTACTCTGAATTAGATCACAACCGCCGGAAAATAATCACCATATGTTGGTTGATATTATCAAGTTAAAAGATCTTAGGGTTCTTATCAATTGTCACTCTAGATTCGGTAGGTACTGCCCGGCGGGCAAGATGGGTGCAACGTCATTCATGTTTTCTCCCCAGGACCAGCAGAAATCACCTCGCGTTTCTTCACGTCCATTAATGGCGGCCTCTTTTCTCGTTTGCAGGCATCTCCAGGGATCCATGCACAAGTGGCGCATTAAGGGTGGGAAGAAGGGGAGGAAGAAGCACAAGAAGGTCAACGCCGCTCATTAATTGGAGTTAGATCCTCCAGCACTGCGTACTCTAGATCAGGAGGAAGAAGGAAGGCTCCCCCGTCCCTCCTCCAAGAAAGAATTAACAGAGCTATTGCCCACCAGCCCTCTTCCCTTCTCACGCTCGCACTTCGCTTCAACGACGCGGCGATCTTCCTGTGATTCTGAGTTTCTCTCATTCTGAGCAAAGGTTGGATCGTTAGTTGACATGATCTTTCTGCTGAAGAAATCGTCACACTATTCCTCTGCATGTTTATAAACACTTACATTAGCTTAGTTGCTATATTGATTGGGACGAATGTTGTGATCCTTGGTTCATTTCGTTCAGAGTGAGGAACTCGGATTTAGTGACCTGCTTTAGGCCAGATGCTGATGATCTGAGAAAGCCCAGTAGTTCTTCTTTTTATCCCAGACAAGAGCCTTTGAGGCAGCATTTGCGTGCTTTGCAAGCCCTTTTGACAATAAAATTATACTAAATATAATAAACTTCTGCATGAGATTTTTCTGAGGAAGATTTATATGGTCGTAGTTCTACGAGTAGATGAGCATCCAGAAACCAGAGAGAGAGAGAGAGAGAGAGAGTCTGAAAATCTCGTCTGGGAGGATTAGACAAAGACAACATGTCTCCGGTCCATCCTGGAGCTGAACCCGGATCAGGATTGAACAATCTTTGAATCTATGGTCAGAAGAGTCGGCCATTATTTTTCTTCCTTTGTTCATGAAATATGTGATTTTTTTTATCTTTTTTCTAATACTTATTTGTGGCTTGAGGGCTGATCTCACTGGATTATCATCATTGCTTATTTAGGAAACTCCTTGTTGAAGCACCCCCGCTCATCGATGACACCGCGTTGACTTGTTCAGGTTAGGCTACAGAAGAGCTGAAACCGAGGTCGGTCGTCGTAGTGCAGTCAGTGCAGAAATTATTCAATGGAGAGGATCAATGTGCTCTTGATACTCTCACGTCAGCGATCGCCGCTTCGCTGTTACGTCATGCTTTGCAGCACGCGTTGACTTCTCTCAGGATCAAAGAATGAAACTCCTCGAGTCAAAACTTGACTGGCTATGGACACTTTCCTTGAAGGATATTTACACCTCTCGTCCCTTTTTTTTTTACTATTAGGGTGGAAATATTTGGCGTCATTTCCATTTATATGCTGTGTAGCATAGTATTCTTTTGTCCGAAGGTGCGTTGACTTATTTTTTATTTTTGCCGGGGAAAGGAGGGCCAAGAAGTCAAGAAGAGCAACCTCGGTGTGAGGAAGCGGGAGAAGCCTCGAAAAGGCCGCCAGTTTTACCCCTCTTCTTCATTTTTCCAAAGTCAACCCTGTTGTTTCTTTTCTCCATCAGATTAATTCGGCAACCCTCTGTTCCATTTCCAAAGCCAACGCCTTTAGCTCTTCTTCATCAACCCATTGTGTTCGGTTCTTTCTCCCTTGTCAAACACCCTCTGTTTCCTTCTCCCCAGAGTCAGCCACCGCCGGGGGAATCAACCATCCCCTGATTCAAACCACTCTGAAGAGAGAGAGAGAGAGCTGCTTGCGAAAACTTCAGCGTGGATTTTAGAGAGAAACGCCAGTTTACCCCTGTTCTTCATTTTTCCAAAGTCAACCCTGTTGTTTCTTTTCCCCACCAGATTAATTCAGCAACCCTCTGTTCTCATTCAGATTCCGAGCACTAAATTGCATGAGGGATGAATCATAGAAAAAAAAATAATACGTTTTCAAGAACCCTTCCCACCAGTTTTATCCCTCCATTTCTGCGTTAGTAGGGTTAGGGCTTGCTCATCTCCATGGATCCGAGGTGCAGGAGAAGAAAAGTACGGATCACTCATCCATGGATTGTTGCGGAGCTCCACAAACTTATTAGCACGTGCATGAGAAACCCTAGCCCGGGCTCTCTCTCTCTCTCTCTCTCTCTCTCATCATCTCACAATCTAGGCCTGCGGCTGCGTCTGCAAGAAAAAACTTTAAACAACTTCACCCTCATTTCTCTCTCTAACGGCGGCGGGAGAGAGAAGAGGTCGCCGGGAGGAAGTGGAGAAGCTCGCGGGAGCCGAGCCAGGGCTTGACGAGGACGACGGCGTCGAAACAGCGGCTCCGCCGGCGAACGGCTTGGCCGCCAGAGGCGGTGGTGGCGATGCGAAGGAAGTACTTGAAGCCGGAGACGACCTGGCTCTGGGCGCGGACGACGCAGAGGAATACGAGCTCATCGCCGCCGGCGCGGCGGTTGCGCTCCCGCACGGCGTAGCGGCCGAGTTCCTGGACCTCCTTGTTCTCCTTCACGTTCCATATCTCAGTCCTCCCTCCCACGTTCCCCCCGGCAGCGACACCACCGGAGGAGAGGGCCGAGGCCGTGCAGAGGGTCAACAAGACGATCACTGGCACGACGGCACCGCCATGCGCCATGGGGGACGGCGAGGGAGAGAGAGAGAGAGAGATGTGGGAGTTATAGCAAAAGGCAAAGGATGGACGGCGACGGGTGGCGATGGTATGTGGTAGAAACAAGGATAGAGAGAAAGAGAACGCGACGGGTGGCGATGGCGTAACGCCGCATGGGCTGCACTGCGCCCGGAAGGATCAGAACGTTGCCATGCAGGGTACTTGCTAGATGATTACTTCACAGAAGAGCCACCGTGGCAGAGAGTCTCTCCCTCTCTTTCATCTTCTTCGCCCGTACCTGTAAGAAAAACTTGGGCAATCTTATCCCTCTCTCTCACTCTCTTCTGATCTTCGTCCGTACCTGTAGGAAAAACTTGGGCAATCTTATCTCTCATCATCATCTCCGTCCGCATCTGCTAGAAAAGGCTTCTGACGATCTCTCTCTCTCTCTCTCTCTCTCTAGCTCTCGATCTTCGTCTGCATCTGCAAGAGAAACATCATAGGCCTTCATCTTTCTTTCATGCTCTTCACCTGGCATCTGCAAGAAAAACATCATAGTCCTTCCATCTCCTCTCTCATGATCTTCACCTGCATCTGCAAGAAAAAACTTCAGACGATCTTCATCTCTCTCTCTCTCTCTCTCTCTCTACAGACGGCGTAGACCATCTAAAGAAAGCTCCATAGAAAAACCCTCCCCCCTAGGCTCATTATAGGGATTTTTATATCTCTCATCGCTTCTCCGTATACATCCAACCAACCAACCCACCGACCACGTAACCCGCCCCCACCCACCGACCACGGCGCCGCCCCCGCTATCTGTCGTAGGGGAACTCGCCGTCGTCCTCCGCCACCTTGAACGCCTGTGGCTGCTCCCCCCCGCAGTACACGCTCCACATCTTGAACAGCGCCCTCTCCAGATTCCTCACCTGCACCAACCTAGCTCCAATAAGCCGCCGCCGGCGCCGCCATTCCCCTCGCCGCAACGGTCGCCGGAAACACAGAGAAAGAGAGAGAGAGAGAGAGAGAGAGAGAGAGAAACAGAGCGCTCCCTTACATACCCATCGGGCGGTGTCGAATAAGGGGCAGCTCATCCGCACCGCCTTCAGCCGGCTCCTCAGGGACTGAAGCCGGTGGCGGTTCTCCGCCAACGCCACCGCTCTCTCCTCGTACTCTTTCATGCTTCTCACAGAGGAAACAAGAGAAATGAAAAACCCTATCGACAATGAGACGGGATAGTATTCAGAGGATGAGGTTTTTAGGGTTCTTCTACCTGTTCACAATCATCTCCTCGCCGACGCCGGTGGACAGGCAGAGCGAGCCAGCCACCCGCGTCGCCATCTTCTCCAGCGGCAGCGTCACCATCGGCAGCCCCGCCCACAGCACGTCCGTCCCAGTCGTATGCCCATTGCACAGCGGCCTGCGCAAGAGAAACAAAAATCATCAGACCAGAAGAAGATGAAGACGAAGATGAAGATGAATGATCATGATCATGAACATGATGACGATGAAGATGATGATGAAGGAGATCACGTGTCGAGGCAGAGGTCGGCAAGGGCGGAGCGCCGGATGTGCTCGTTCTTCATGGCAACGTCGGTGAAGATGATCTGATCCGGACGGACGCCCTGCGCCGCGGCGTCTGCGAGGGAAGAGGCAGGCCGAAAATCAGGAGGTGAAACCCTAGATGAAGAGGGGAGAAGAAGATGTACTCACAGGCACGGAGCCTCATCTCCCCCGCCGCCGGAAACCTAAGCAGCCAGAGAGCACTGTTCGGAACTCGCTTGAGGATGTTGCACCTGGAGGAAGAGCACAGATCGTGACGAGAATCAGTCCCACACAGATCGAAGACGACGATCCATCTCAGATCAGGAGAAGAAGAAGAAAAATACCAGGTGTTGAAGATCTCCGGATCCATCTTGTAGAGCTGGTTGAAGCAGGCGAAGATGAACTTGTCCTCTGGCAAGCCGTAGTCAGATCGCTTGTGGCGACAGACGGGATCCAGAACATCGCAACTTTTCTGGAGCAACAGCAGCACGATCCAGAGGGCGGGGTGGGTGTGACGGCTTTGCAGAGGAGGAACGGGGATTTCACAGAGCTCAAGAACCCTAGCACAGTGCTACAATTTACCTGCTTGTAATCGTTGACGAAATAGCAGTGCGGGAGATGAACGAGCTTCTCCGAGTATATATGGGCGAAGCGCAGAGGAGAAACGAACTGCAAGCCCATTAAACAAAGAAAGAAAGAAACGAGGACGGATCTTCAGTACAATGCATGCAGGATTTGGTTTCAAGATGAGCGTTGACTTTTATCCAGGGATGACTAGAACAACAGAACCGAACCTCGTCAGTCACCAGGTAGTCAATGTATGGCGCCCCAGTTGTCCCAGGAAAACCCATGTAAGAAACCTGGATCGGTGCCGGCTCCATGGCAAATATTTCATTCCTCGCGCCCTACAAGATCGAGTACAGAGGAATATTTAGCCTTCATGTTCGAAAGACTAAAAGTTGACGTTTAAAAGTCAACGAATAAAAAACCCAGGATCCCCTCATCCAAAAGACCCTAAACCACGGACATGGTCAACGCAAATCCTACTTGATGATCATAATAAAACCCTCAATTCACGCATGCTCCGTCGTCAAGGAATCACACTCCCCAAAACTGGAATAGAGATCCCGACCAAATGAGTTGACTTTTAATTCGGTAAAACACGAGACGAGGGTTAGAATCAACTCAGATATTACCTTGGTATAGCCATTGAGATTAATCAGGATCTGTATCTTGTCCTCATTGATCATCTTTGCGATCGAATCAGACGTCATCGAAGAGACATCGACAAAGTGCTCAGCCTCAGACTGGATTCTCTGCCTCCACTCGGTGCCGTCATTCTGGCTCAAGGCGTAGCAGAACACCTGCACATACTTTTCTAGTGAGAGAAAGTGCACCCGATCGATCTACAGATGGGGAAGGGGGAGAATTATATTCAACAGAACCTCAACATTCTCTCTGTTGTGCATGCCAAAGACCGAGCCCATGAGATGAGAGAGAGGGTGATTCCCAAAGTCACTGCTAACATACCTGCATAACCATCGTTTTCCCACATAGGGGCAAATGAATATATAGAGAGAGAAAGACAGAGAGATAGATAGAGAGAGAGAGAGAGAGAGAGAGAGAGATCTACCCCACTCTGAGGCGTCCGCTTCCGCCCTCACTCTTCACGGGCACCCGAGGCGGGTGGGTAAACGGGGGAAGGCCATAACGGGAAGCGATCAAGGAGCAATGGGCGGCGTATTTTCGGCTGCAAGAAAGGAACACACTTACGACTCCTATTTTCATAAGTATAGGGACCGAAGATCGAGGCCGAGGGAAGAGCTAACCTGATTTCCAGAGCAAGAACTGGATCGAGAGGGTAGGCTATGGCGTGGAAAGGTTGCACACTTGGGAGGGTTGACAACTGAGTTGAATTTCAGGAACAGCCCAGAAAAAGAAAAAGAGAAAAGGTGATGGAAAGAAGGATGTGAGCAGAAAGAAGTGAAAGAAAGGAAAAATTATGAGGAGGAGATGGAGGAGACCTTGATCTGCCGCCTAATAATCCCCTCTACTTCCATGAACATCGCATCTCTGTTCTCCCAGTTGCAGACGCACTGAACAAATAACGGAGTGGGATGCTAAGCAAATGCAGAGATAGCAAGTAGAGACTGAGCTCAAAGAGAGCAATCGTAGATATCTATTCACAGGAATATCTCAGCACCCCAGTTGCAGACGTGTTCAAAAACTTCCTTCTGATTAGCATAGAAGTACCGAAGTGGTAATGGAAAATTACAAGGTTTTGAGGTCAGATAAGTGATAAGCCTCCACGCACATATTTTAGAAGGAAGAAGGCCCAAAGTCCAATAAGAGAGTAATTACTTACGAGAATAACTGCCTAAATAAAACTGGAAGGAAGTTATAGCACGGAGGAGGATATTATTGAACTTCCTATGATTTCCTTTTCTATTTGTTTTTCTTTTCATTGTATTTTGTTCTCTCCCATTATTCCTCTTGTAAAGTGGATCCATTAGATTATTAATGGATCCACTTATAGACTAATGTAATGGGCCTCGCCCATTAACTCATGTAACCCGTATTTAAGTGGGAAATCATGATAATCGACGAAATTAATTGGGTTGCGAGAACCCCACTCCAAGAAGTGGCTGCTGAGTTCATCATCTTGGAAGAGGAGGATCGTGAAGACTGACTCCTTCATTCTCCAAGTTGAACAAACCTCAATCAAGAGCAATTATCAGCATGGTATTAAAGCAGTGCTGATTCTGGTGGGATCAGATAATTTGTGTTTCTTGTTTCTTAAATTTTGCTTCTTGGAACAACACCAAGGAAGAAAGAAACCTTTCGCAAGTAGTGGAGCTGAGGCATCCTAGAAAGTACGAAGGAAAAACTTTCAAAATGCATTCAGGGAAGGTCTCTTTGTCATCTATGGAACTTACCTCTCCAATAAAAATTGGAGAAAAGGAGGGACGATATCATACCCCACCAAATATTTCACAGAAACTTAGTTTTAATGGGATAAATCTTCATCAATGAGAGCAGTTTGTTGATCTAACACTCTCTAGGAGAGACTTAACAGATCACCTTACAGAAGAAACATTGAAGCAATCAGATCCAAAGTATGGAGGATGGGAATCAAAGGAGGCTAATATTCATATGTGGCTACTAAGTACAATGACACCAGAGATGTACAAGAATTTTCTTTTCATGCACTCTGAAAGAATTGTGGGAGCAAATCCAGAAAAGTTGCCCAAAGAAACTCAATGATTTGAAGATTTATGGCTTGGTGGCTAAGGCAATACATTTAACGCAAGCAAATCCGTTAAAGAATATTAGTGTGAATCAAAGGCTATGGAGGGAGATTGATCATTATTGGCCAATAAAGAATTTCAATTCTGAGGAGTGCATGTATACATTGAAACACATAATATATACATTCCTAATGGGACTAAACTCTTGATTATGAAAGCCTCAAGAGTCAAATTCTCCACCATGAGAAAATACATGATCTGGGTGAACCCATTCAGATTGTTATGGAAGAAGAGAGTACATTAAATCTACTCACCAACACTAAAAAGAATGAGTCGACAGCCTTCACCTCCAAGAAGCATGATCGACCAATCCATTCCAGAAAATTGCCCAATCAAGGGAATTAATTAGAGCAAAAGGAGTGCAATTAAGCTCCAACTACTGCATCACAAGGGAGATACTAGAAGTGGGAGAACAAAGAGAACCTCTGGTGCCCATATTTCAAGGAGAAGCATCATACAAAAGAAACTTGCTGGAAGCTACATGGACGACCACCCCAACAGGGGAGGGCATATGTGGCTACTTCTCAACCAATAGAAACTATAGAAGGCCAATATGTGATGAAAGAACCTCCCAATCCTTGTAATCAGCACAAGGGTGATGAATTTGAAAGACTGAGGGAGGAAGTAGAGAAGCTCAAGAAAATGTTGAGCTCGACGTCCTTGGTTCGGTCATGTGAGAATAAAGTTTTTTCGAGATCATATGCATTCAACAGTTTTAGCATTTAACAAGTTTCTACGGTGAAATTAGATGAGCCTTCAAATTAGGCACACATAAAACATTTCTTAAAGTACCTAAATGATATATTTTCAAGCTCCCAATAATCCCTTCAACCAGTAGAATCTCAGCACCAATGGTAATAACTTTTCCTTGACTCTAGTGCCACAGACAATATGACCTCAAATATGTGCAAATTTGTTGATTATGCAAAATGTGATGGTCAAAGAAAAGTTATTACTATTGGCGGTGAGATTCTACTGGTTGAAGTAATTATTGGGAGCTTGAAAAATAGATCATTAAGGCAATTTAAGAAATGTTTTACGTGTCTAATTTGAAGGCTCATCTAATTTCACCATAGAAACTTGTTAAAGATATTAATTGTTGTTTTATTCTTGAGGACAATGGATGTTTCATTGTGTGACAAGGTATCGGGGCTGAAGATTGGTCGTGTTAAAGAAGGAGATGGGTAACCCCGATCGATAACTGACTCCAAGGTTCCAAGAAATTCTTCATCTCAGCTAGTGTGACCTTTAACAAGCTGGAATCATTTTATGGGTTGAGGGATCAACAAGAGACAGAGAACTAGATCACCGATGCTGAGTTACAGGATAACAACGAATTCCTAGTTCAGGAGACACCAATTCCTAGAATCATAGAAGTACAAGTATAAAGAGATAACCCAAAGTGGAGTCACAATATATACCAACAGAAATGAATGATTTACCTGCACTGCAGAGAGAACCAACAGAGGAAATTAACCCAAGTACAAGAGGCATCTCAAATTGATGATACCAACCAAGAAGAGGACCACCAATTCACTAAAACAAATGATGAGGGACAACTGGATTGGCCCATTGCTCTATGCAAAGGGAAGAAAAGTTGTACAAGGAAATCACTCTATCCTATGGCCAACTACATATCCTATGATAGGCTAACACCATCGTACAAAGCTTTTTCTCATAAACCTAAAGACAATTATTATCCCCAAGATAGTAGAAGAAGCTCTATCACACAAAGAATGGAATCATGCTATGAATAAGAAAATTGAGGCACTAGAGAGGAACTATACATGGGATGTAAGTGGGTGTATACTCTCAAGTATAAAGCTAATAGAACATTGGAAAGATACAAGGCAAGGTTGGTGGCTAAAGGCTATTCATATTCTTATGGAATCAATTATTTTGAGACATTTGCTTTCGTTACACAGATTTAGAGGATGAGAAATGCATCAATTCGATTTAAAAATGCATTACTTCACGTAGATTTAGAGGAGGTTTACATGGATGTACATCCAAGTTACACATTTACTCGTCAAAATAATGTTGTTTACAGGTTGAAGAAATCTATGTATGGTTTAAAACAATCAGCCCAAGCCTGGTCTGAGAGATTCACTCAAGCTATAAAGGAATTGGGATATGTACAAAGTAATGGGGATCACAATCTCTTTATTAAGCCCGGTGCCCGAAACAAGGTTACAGCCAAAACTGTGTATGCAGATGATATTATCATAATAGGAGATGATATTATCGAGATTAAATGCCTTGGCCAAAACCTATCTAGGGAATTTGATATGAAATCTCTAGAGAGACTAAAATATTTCTTGGGAATTGAGGTTGCATACTCAAAGGAAAGGATATTTCTTTCACTACACAAATATATTTTAAATTTAACTCAAGAGATTGGGAAATTAGAGTGTAAACCTGCTGATCCCAACTTGAGTATTGGAGAAGGTAAAAACTCTGGTCAAGTGGACAAAGGCCCATATCAACAGTTGATTGGAAAGTTGACATATCTAAATCATACGCATCTAAATATAGCATTTGTAGTGTGTATCCAGTCAACATATGAATGACCCAAGGGAGATACACCTACATACGGCATATTTAAAGACAACAACATGGCAAGACATTCTATTCACAAAAGGAGTAAATACATCTATTGAAATCTACACATGCAGATTATGCAAAGGTCTGTCATAGATCACAAATCGACATCTGGTTATCATACATTTGTGGGTGGAAATCTTGTGACCAAGAGGAGCAAGAAGTAACAAGTAGTCACACAATCTAGTGCCGAAGCAAAGTTTGGGGTATTGGCCCAAGGGATATGTGAAGGTTTATATGGATTCGAGGTTGCCAACATATTCACAAAGAGACTCACAAGATCAATATTTCAAAAGATGGTGTCCAAGTTGGGCATGGAAACATGCATACCCAACTTGAGAGGGGTTGTTGAACATCCATATTTGTTTTTCTTTTCATTGTATTTTGTTCTTTCCCATTATTCCTCTTGTTAAGTAGATCCTGTTGAAATGGAGAAATAAAACTCGTCACAAAGGACAGAGGGGAGAATGGCAGAAACCACTTCAAGATTCTTTCAACTCTAAACCCCATTATATAGGGAGTAACAATACAATTGTTTTTGCAAAAACCCCCTCAGCTAATTACAATATTTGCTTATGACCTAGAACTTCCAACTTTCCCCCTCAAGATGAACATTGAAAAAGGTCATTTTGACTAAGTTGGTGATGACGAAAATCCATTGTGGTAGCAACTCTTCCTTTAATGGTAGTCGAAGATGACCACCGCTGAGGTTGTGGATTCGCCGACACCTTTGGCTCCTCTGATGCTTGTCATACCCTAAGGACAGCTCACCATGTATATGATAACACCAAACGCCTGTGACTTGATCATGATGGTCGTTATGTCCCAGTGCTGCAGAGCCTGCCTCGGAGTCATGAGGTAGTTGACAAGGTGGCACCAAGCACGCAGAGGGTATCCCTCAACTCAAAGATCTACATAGTGCCAAGATCTGACCCAAAGGCTCCAACAATGACAATTGATGTGATGATGCGGCTCAGCTCTCATGAGAGGTGCAAGCCAGCAACCCCCCCCCCCCCCCCAACTGATCTAGTAATGAACTCACATAGAAACTGGAAGGTGAAGGGCATTTCGACGAAGGCAAAGGTGAGAAGACAACACCAAACAACATGAACTGTAGCAATGTGAACTGTGAAGAACTTTGGTCACCAAACTAGGGAAAACTGAGGAGGACGGAGTACGACACTAGACTGAGACAAAGCGTGGATAAGAGAGGCTGATTTTACCTCTCTCAAGAACACTGATGAAGATAAAAACAATGGTAATGAACCTAGATATTTCAACCTCTAGACAGAAGGCTTAAAGCAGACAGAAATGACACCAATGAACCTGAAGATGTCATTGACGAACCTGCTGCTGATGAACTCAGATGTACTGTCAAATAACAGATGGAGATCACTCTCGAAGACACGAGAAAGAGCAAGATCAGTGCTCTCTCGTCGTAGAACAGCGTCGCTGGTAGAAGACCTCACCGGAAGAGGAGGCGACACTGGAGTGGTGGGAGAGATGACATCGACACTGGTGGTAACTTGTGACTCCAACAAGAAGAAAAGCTCGTCGTCCCTAGACAAGAGGACTGACCGAAGTAGAACCGCTCTAAATGGAGGAAAGAAAACCTGCTCGAAATGATAGGATATCACACCTATAAATGAAGAAAGATAGCACGCCTCAAATGACGTAAGAATTGATTCACGATGAAACCCCAGCCGGACAAAGCCGACGCTGAACAGAAGCAGCAGCAGTGGCGCTCCCTCAAGTAGGAGATGCCAAACAAGACCAATGCCAAACACAGAGGCAACAGCAACAATGGTGGAGGCGGCAGCAGCAGCACTCCCTTAGGTAGGAGATGTCAAACAAGACTTTAATGGAAGATACCATGTTCAAATAGAGAAATAAAACCTCGTCACGAAGGACAGGGGAGAATGGAAGAAATCGCCTCAAGATTCATTCAATTCTAAACCCCACTATAAAGGGAATAACAATACACTCTCTCTCTCTTTTTTGGCAAAAACACCCTCAACTAATTACAGTATTTCCCTATGACCTAGAACTTCCAACATATCCATTAAACTTTAATGGATCTGCCTATAGACCAATGTAATGGGCCTGACCCATTAACTCATATGACCTGTATTTAAACGGGAAATCATGATAATCAATGAATTAATTGGGTTGCAGGAACCCTACTCCAAGAAGTGGCTGCTGAGTTCATCTGCTTGGAAGAAGAGGATCATGAAGATCAACTCCTTCATTCTCCAGGTTGAACAAACCTCGATCAAGATCAATTACCAACACATCCTATAGAACAGAATGTCAAGGATAAATAAAAAAAGCCCTAATGCTAACCCTTAGTTATACAGAATTATTTATGTGATGTAGAATAAGTAATATCATAACAACCTACTCAAAGAGGTATTACAGCTGAAGTAATGACGTATGATGGTATACATGATTGATTGTTCAAGAACCATTGGTATATTATCCAATACTATTCCTACACATTCCATACCTCCAACAATCTATTATCTCATATTTGACATGAAAAGAATATCCAAGATACTAACAGCTGCACAAAAAACAATTATCCAAGATACTAACAGTTGTCTCAAAAGAATATCTATACTACCATCGGTAGCTGTCTCAAAAGAATACTAACAGAGGTTCCAACCCATGGTAGTGTGGATCAGGATTCCATATTTTTTCATTCAAGAAGCAAACCATAATAAGTTCAACAATTTTGATAAAAGGAAATGTGACTGTCACCTGCAATGTATGGAGAAGATTGCAGGTTGCTTCTGGAAAATCAGGGCGCAATGACAATGCCTGCTTGTAACTCTTTATAGCAGCATCCACGTGTCCACTGCGAGCACCCAAGTTCAAGGTGACGTGCTTAATAATACAAAACTTATAAAAAAGTGAACCACTCAAAACCAAGGCATGCCATGGCGCATATGGTACCTATCCTTATATGCTGAAGCCAAATTTGCATGCGCCTCAGCCATAGTTGGCCGGATAGTCACTGCCCGGATATAATCCTGAATGGCTTCATTAACTCTACCCATCTCCTTGAATGTGTTGCCTCTATTCACAAGCCCATCAGCTGCTAAGGGATCTATACGGAGCACCTCATTATAGCAAGTTATAGCTTCAGCGTAATTTCCCTGTTACGTTGGAAGTTTCAAGGTTCAATCAAGCATCAAGGATATCATAAGAACCAGAATAGCCTAAAATTGAAAGTGGAGAAAGAATAACGAAGAGAGTTATTCATCAAACAGGGAAATCACGACCCAAACATGCACAAATTATCATGGAAGAAGTTTGACAGAGAGGTACCTGTTGTTTATATATAATTGCCAGGTTATTGAAAGGAGCAGATAACCCAGTTGTCACATTTAATGTAGCCTTATAGCATGAATATGCAGCATTCATCATGTTCCTGCACGTCAGAATTATGTCACGAAGGAACAACTCTTTTCTCAATATGCAGCGGACAGTAAACCCTCTCAGATGTTAACGCTTACCATTCCATGTATATATTCCCGAGGTTAGTAAGTGCTTGCGGGTGGCTTGGTTGTAATGCCAGGCATGACTTCATGAATCAAATTTACCAGTATAAATTATTGAAGAAAAAACATTAGAAGAGTATAATAAATTAAATAAAGCAATAAAAATTAAACAAGCAATCATGTATATTGACTTACTCTGTAGCAATTGATTGCCTCTTCCACCCGTCCAGAATCCTTCAGCGCATTCCCCTACATATTTAGAAGACAATAAAAATCATTCATTCCATTGCATTCATGTCAGGATAATTAGGACCCACGCAGAAAAGAGACAACCAAACTAACCAGGTTGTTATATGCCTCTACAAATCCCGAATCACAAACTATAGCTTGCTTGTAGTGAAGGATAGCCAAATCCATCTGACCTTGTTCATAGTATATACTAGCTAGATTCCCTGCATATTGTTTAATTAAATAACAATCTGATGATCATAAAACATGAAATTAATTTTCCACTTCAGAAGTAATTGGAAATGGAGGACCAACTCATAAGTCGGTAGCTTATAAAATGTGAACAAACACAGCATAAAAAACTGAATTGAACAACTCACCATAAGCAACTGAATAATCTGGTCGACCTTGGAGAGCACGCTGATAGCATGTGATGGCCTCTGGAGCCATCGCCATTGCCTGGAAAAGGCAAAAGAAAGATCTGTATCGCACACCCCAGAAACTACTTCTGGCAGTTGATGTGACAGTATTGTCACAGACCATGAAGGCTTACCTTATACACATTGCCTAGATTCAGGTAGGCATCAGGAAAATTTGGTTTGAATTTCAACGCTTCCTGGAAGAAAAGGAGATTCCCAAACTCGGTTAATAAGCAAGAGTTTCAAAACAAAAGCACTGACAACAACTAATTAAACACAATCATCAAATACACATTTTACAGTCAGTTTAGCTCATTAAAAGAGAGGAATGGCACTTTATTCATAAAATATTCACAGAGGATAAACAGCTCTTCTGGAAACCAAGATTCGCCAACTTGGTGTAAATTCAGTACGCAGAATCGAAAAACCAGGTTGGATGGGGCCAACATGACTGTGACATCTAACAACTTCGATTTTCCAGGATCCAACTAGCACGAATCCGTACATACTCTCTATGCAAAACGTCAACAAGAAGACAAGTGATCCCACTGTAAGTTAGCGGCTGAAACTAGAGAAAATGAAAGATAACTAGCTAACTTGGTTTATTGGTTCACTATAATAACCTTTGAAAATTAATTTCATATGGTCAACAGTGCGGATCAAACTTTGATGAATACCTGAATCAGTGAGAAGTTCCCAACGGGATGACTATATATACTAAGAGGGACTAACAGCACAAGAGCAAGAATGTTGAATAGAGAAATTCAGCAGGACAGTTACAATCTGGTCGAGAGTGTCTCCTGTAGTAACTAGGATCATCCACAGCCAATATCCTCAAATATAAAATTCTACAAGACGCACATAGGTCTGGACATCCAAGGAAGGCTAGGAAAAAACGACCTCAGAATAGTTTGATAACGGTTGTTTGATGTCATTAATCCATAAATTTTGAAAACAATTTGTCAAAAAATATGAGGACCACAGTTTTTCCAAGACACGTGACTTACGTTTTTCCAAAAAGAATTCCCTAATTGTAGGAATGGTACATCCATAGGCCCATACAATTCAGAACCAAATTCTCAACTTTACAACCCTCTGGATGATACCAGAATCGACCAACCATCATTAAACAGGTTTTCTCCCTAACTGCACAATAGAATCCTCGACACTTTAGATAGCAATCCTAAGAGTTTTGTCAAAAACAACAAGGGTTAAGGATTACACACCAGGGATCTGACAAGTAATTCCCATTAATACATGGAATGCACCTTAGGATGGGAGCTCAAATCAAATATTTTTTATCTTTAGCAACCAAAAAATGATGCATGACACAAGATAAAGTAAATCAGGAAGCAACAAAATGTTCATAAACAAGGTGAAACACAACATCAGAAAATCAGGAAAGCAAAATCCCATGTTTCCTCCAACAGTTTCTTTGGTGGGATAGCTGAGAGAGACCACAGAATTTACATCATTTCAGTGATTGCATAACATAATTGCCTAGGTTTCTATGTAATTATAGCATGGCAAAAGAGAAAAACAAAATAGAGATGAAATATTTGAATTAAAACATTTCACCCTTCTAAATGCTCCTGCTGGGAGTTTATAGATGAAACGTAAGCTGAACCGGATGAACTTTCCAGTGAAACTTTTTTGCAGAGGGAAAAACACTAGTTAAAGAATAAAAATGATAATAAATGTCCAGCCACCAATACTCATTAGAAAGGACGAGATGACAGGTTTGCAGAAATAATGACTATCTCGGAATGGGGTGGAACTCATTTTACCCTGTAGTATAAAACTGCTCTGCTGAGATCTCCAGCTTCCATGAAAAGACCAGCAAGATTAGACCAAGCAATTGCAAAAGTGGGTTGTATGCGTAGTGCTTCGACATAGCAGTTGTATGCCTGTATTGATCAAATGTAGCAACAATTAGTCAAATATACACTGTAAAGTCAATTGCTAATGTATATAAGGTTATAATGTTAATGTCTACAACCATAATGTCAGTTTATGCAACAGTTAACATAGGAAAATTTTCTGCACAGGACAGAAATGGAGGCCGCAGAAAATTTCAGGCTTCTAGATAAAAATGCATGAAAGAGATTCTTATGCGACTCCTCCCATCCTGCTATCCGCTCAAAATTCATAGGGTAACTATACTTTTCAACATAAATAAAATCCTAACATTGCTCTTTCTGTCATTCAAATGTTCTACTATAACCATATGACCAGGAATTGAAGACCAAAAAGAGAAACGTACACCTTGCATGCAAGAGGTTAAACTTGATATCAGCGTTTATAGAGCCCTAGGGCTATTTAATATCCTTTAATAAACAAAGTGCATAATTGAACATTTATGGTGCAAGTACCTTCCTGTCCAAAATGAGAGCACAATGATTAAGCTAGTGTCTCTAATCCCAGTTTCACAAATTCCGCCGTTTTCAAGAAAGATCCTAACCAAACAATGGACTGTCTCACTCAAAAAAGTTTATATGACAAAAATATGCTTCATTAATGTTGGGGGAAAAAAACTTCAATGGGAGAAGGAAGCATGCAATCCCACTCTGACTTTCCTCCCCTCATTTTGTAATGACAGTATTCACAAATGACCCGCAGACAATATCCATGCTACATGTTCCAGTAGACAGCAGGAAACTGGGCAAAAACACCATGGCCTCTGACTCAAAAAATATCTACCTAGGCAAGTAGAATTGAAGTCACTCCATCATCACTTGAAACAAACCAAATCTGACAAAGTGTGTCTGTTTGAGTTTTCATTCAGTTAAAAATATTTTGTCGCTTCCAACTCATTCAACTCAAGTCTGAGCAGAACATCACTTGTTTGCCAAGGTCCATGTGATTTTCAAATTTTCAATGTAAACTTTCAGGCAGAGAATTATGTCTATTTCTTAATAGTGACGTAATTTATAAATTCCATAACATCATGTATACTCGCAGCCAAAAAATAAAAATAAGTTAGTACGCACCCATCAAGAAGAGCGGAGAATGTAGGAGAAGCATGATTACATCAGATGAAACAATGACATCTTAAACTTACTTCATGTGGTAAACCCCGTGCTTTCATCAGATTACCAAGGTTGCTATGAGCATCAACCTATGACAAATAAGAAGAGAGGAAATGAGTCGACCAAAGCGAAATTGCTCATACCAGAAAAGAGAAAAATATTAAGATATTCACCAATCGGGGGTTCAATGCAAGAGCTTGGCGACAACATTCTGCCGCCTCATTAAGCCTTCCTTTCCGCATGTATGCACTTCCCAAGTTAGACCATGCATCACAAAAACTGGGTCTAAGCTGTAACACAAAGAAATAAATGACACAAGTGATAGATTAAGAATGGGAAATCTCTGTACATAATTAACAATAATCTAAAAAAATAAATTTTATGTCGAATATTTCTATCCCCTCTCGTGCTAGTTTTTGAATGGAATGCAAGAGATAAAGCAGCACATATGCACCTTAACAGCAATCAAGTAATAGTGGATTGCCAGGTCGACATTGCCTTTCTCCTGCACCAAAGTAATAATTAGAGGTGGCTTTCTTTATTTCATTCAAATGGTGCTTAACTTTAATGGTCAAAATCATTCTTTCAGATAGTCACCTTCCAAGCATTGGCCATATTACCATAGCACTCGGCAAATTTCGGATCGATTGCAATTGCTTCCTTGTTCTTTGCGATGCACATCTCAAAATCATGCAACTAGGGGAAAACAGAGGTTCATCAGAAAAAAAAATGTGGATGTAAATTTTGAGAGGAAGAATCCATAAAACATTCATGTAGGACAATTCATGAATACAACGGAAAGGATGTTAAAAAGGTAAACGATGGAGAATATAAGTTACCTGGAAATATACAGCACCAAGGAGAAGAAGGTTATCACTGCGACGTGGATTCTTCTCATAAATTGCATTGCAGTGCTCCAAGGCCTGTTGATAGTTTCCAGTCTTGTAGTTATGATGCGCGAGTGCCAATTGCATGTCCTCATCAACTGCAATGCAAAGTGAGGCCCTTCCGTACGAAATTTGACGCTTATATATTCGTGAAAAGAAATCAAGAAATATGGAAGAAATTATCCATGTTAACTCGGTTGATCGAAAATTCTCGCTCACTCACAGAAATTAATATCTTTAATCTCAAAAAAGAGACAATATTTCACTCCTGAAATCAGAATAAAAGTGAAAATTATACGAAAGAGCAGTAGAAAGCCATCAAGACCTTCAGGTGGCTTCACTGCCTGCAAGGGTTTAAAATCCAACGAAACATCGAGCGGCGGCTGAAGGAGCTGCAGAGGCTTCAGGGGCTGGATAAGAAACGAAGATGACTCCTCGACTTCGGCGCCGACTAAGGGCCCCCTCGTAAACCCGAGCGCAAATCCCCCGGTGCTGGATCCGACCCCGAAGATCTGCGGCGCTGGCTGCTGCTCCCTGCCATCGTTCTGAACCGCCAGCAACATCATAACACCGCTCCCCCTCCTCCCCCTAAAAACTCTTACTGGTTCGAGAACGAAAATCTAATCAGTTGACGAAGCCGATCTGTTGTAGCCTACCGACAGACTACCAGGCCAAATCATAGCTCTGCAGGCAACCTGCATATGGACAGGAAGAAGAACAGGTTAAGCTACCAGCTCCCAAACCCTAGAGAGCCCCCCCCCCCACCCCCCATGGAAGAAGACGATGATTCCTTGCTTTCCCCTTTCTCCGTTTTCAACTGGCATTTAATACCACCCGTCACCCACTTCACGCTCTCTGAGCTAGACAGAGAAAGAGAGAGAAAAGAGGCGACTGAAATTCACAGAACGTTCTCTCTCTTACCGCTGAGGTGATCTGGGCCGTCCATCCTCCTCAAAGGGCAATCGGACAAAAACAAGTCGCCGACTTTCGCTACGAAGAGCCCGGTCTGGTACAGGCCGGTCTATTTAATGGGCCTTGCGCCTCAAATCAATATGCCCCATTGCCCATGTACTCGAGTTCGGGCTTTAATGGTATTCGGCCCAAAACCCATTTTGCAACCTCTCTATCTCTCTCTCTCTCTCTCTCGTTCGGGCTTATGGTATTCGGTTCAAAGCCCATTTTTAACCTCACACAGCCTCTCTATATACATCTATCCCCCTCTCTACATGTATATATAGCTATCCCTACTTCTCTCTCTCTCTCTCTCTCTCTCTCTCTCTCTCTCTCTCTCTCTCTCTCTCTCTCTCAGTCGGGGCAGCCCCCAGCGTTGGCCCACGCGGCATCATATTATTGGGTGAAAATCGAACATTCTTTTTTTTAAAGTAGGTACATAAATATATTACTAGAGGATCGTATTTATCATGTAACCTTCATTTATACGCTTTTAATAATAATATATATTATAATTATTTATTTATTTCAAACCCAGTCCCGCGCCCCGATCGGTCGCATTTCCTGATCGATTATTATTTATAATTTATTCCTCGAATTAATATGATTTTCCTAAACCCTTTAAACATATGTAAATTAAATAAAATCCCTATTTTTACTGGATTTAGGAAACATAGCTTCGATCATTCAAAATATACCCTTCCATCAGCCCTCCCTTCACTTCACTTCTGACTAAAAATCTTATTACTCTTTTGCACAATAATCTTGTTGCTCTCCCTCCCTCTAAAACTGGGGCCTCTCTGGACCGATCCAGGGCAACCATGATCAGATCATCCGCTCTGGGTACCACGCGGATCTGGCTCTGGATTGGATGACCAGACTGCTAAAGGACGAGCGATCTGAGTTAGAGAGAGAAAGGCGGAGGGAGGTGGGGTGGGGTCCTTGACAACCGGGATTTACCCTGAAAGCACCATCCTTGTCTAGCTAGGTGGTTGCAGTGGTCCCTGTCCAATTCGGACAAGGATCTATAGTCTGGGGTGGCCAAATTTGGCACAAACTTCCGACCAAAACCTGCATCCAGATGTCGGGTTCCCATCTTAAGGAACGCACCATGAAGAACAAATGAGACCATTTTTTTACCTGGTCCATCCCCCTGCTCCTCTTCTTCTCCTCCTCCTTCTTCGGCAGCTGAAATGGAGCTGGAGCTTGCTCTTAAAAGGAAAGAAGTAAGCTCCAAGAAGCTGCAATCGAGGGAGCACGACTGGATCGGATAGGGAAAGCTGCCTCATCCTTTTCTGCCAAGATTCGGCAGCTGCGATCAGACCCGAATCGGATCGGCCGGATCGAGAACCGGGTGGCGGTCAAAAACTGAATTTGACTGCCTGAGATATCTGGGTTCGAAGAATTGGGGAGGTTGGTCCATCTCAGAACAGTAAGAACATAACTGGTTCGGACAGGGGAAGGTGCTTCGTCCTTTTTCGCCCAGATTCGGCAGCCGATATCAGAGACAATTGGGTTCAGCCGAACTGAGAACTTTGTGGTGGTCAAAAACTGCGTTTGACTGCAGGAGAGATCGGGGTCCAAGGAGTTGACAAGGTTGACTCATCTCAGAACAGTAAGAACACAAAGATGATTACGATGATGATGATGATGTTCTGCCTCATACATCTTACATGTGGTGCTCAAAATCTCCGCACCACAGGATGCCATTAGTAAACTGATGGGATTTTACAGCGGCTGCCTGTGAGAGAACTCTTCCAAAGAATTAGATTTCAGCGTGGAGAAGAATGAGTAAGACCATCCATCTGCTTATGTACAGAGGCCCAGTCTCCTCCCTCCTCCCGCCGGTCAAAGTTCGATCTTCGTGTGGCCTGAAGGCAACAGTGCCGAAAATAGGTAAGTTAGAGAGAGAGAGCGAGAGAGAGAGTGAGCAATTCAAAGAAGGCTCAGATTCACCCATTGGCTTATGTACCATGGAAGCCCTGAGAGGAGGAGGAGAAAGCCTCGGGGCCCTGCTCGAAGCCCACATGCCCGAAGCACTGGAGATCGTCGTCCCACGGAGGCCCGAGCTGGAAGATTTAGACACATTAAGTAAATTTCTCCGGTGAATCTGAATTCCATGGGGGAATTGGGGAAGGAGGTGAGCTACCTGAGAGGGAGCATGGGCGAACCCCTCCAATGGCCCTAGAGAGCACTGGCCTTGGAGCAATGGCCCTCCAATGATGTTCTGATGCTGCTCCTGCGGTGGCGGCGGCGGCGCAAATGTGAAGCTCGGGGCCGACAAGTCAAATGGGTACCCCGATTCGTGCAAGGATGATGAAGGCGGCCGATGAATCTGACCCATCATCAAAAAGTCAACCCAATTTGAGGAACCAGGCGATCAGATCGAGGACGAAAATGGCGGCAAGAAAATATTAAATCTTTTACATCTTTGGCGAGGAGGCTCTCGAGGTTCAAATCCAGGCGGGGGTTCACCGTCGCCAGTTTCATGGACAGGAACTGCACGAACAGAAGACACAGAAGATCAAAGATCTTGGGATCAAGAGGAGGATGAGAGGAGAGTTTGCTAATTCGGGTAATAAATCAGAAAAATCCGGCCTTGGATTACCTCAACTTGGCGCTGCAATGATTGGACGTAATTTATGATCTCATCCAGCATCACGGCCTTGCCGGTCATCTGCAATGGCACGGTTCCTCTCTTCTCAGGGGCAAATCGTTGAAGAGATAGATAGAGATAGAGAGAGAGAGAGAGAGAGAAATCGCCGCCGATCTGTACATAAATGCACTACCTTGCTGCAACCCGGGACGAGATCCTGAAGAAACTTCATCCTCTGCCTGATCTTCTCCCTCCGAACCTGAGAGAGGGGAGAAGAACAGGGGATTAGGGTTTCTGATTATGAAAAGCTAGCGAGAGAGAGAGAGAGAGAGAGAATTGAGAATTGGGTCTTGTTTTTTTTTTCTCACCCTCTCTGCGAGGCTGTGGCTGTCGGTGGCCTGCCCTCTTCTGGCTCTAACGTGGATGAAGTCCTGCTTGGGGGCATCTGCCGGCTTGGAACTCTTCTCCCTGCTCTGGCTCTGCCCTCTGGCGGCGCCGCCGTCCTCCTCCTCCTCCTCCTCCGCCGCCGCCGCCGCCGCCGCCGCCGCCGCCGCCGCCTGAAATGAAGGAATCGTGGTCACCAAAAATGAAAGTTCTCAGCGGAGCCCTTGCATTTGCCGAAAGACCCACCTTCCTCTTCCTCCCGCCACCGGAGAGCCTGGCGCCGCCGCTGCCGCCGCTGCCGCCGCTATCTGCGAATCCCGTCGACGACTTGCCCACTCGTAGGCGACCCTCCGGCACGGAATTCAGCGCGATGGCGCCGCCGCCGCCGCCACCATCGGCGGCGCAGCAGAGCACCGTCGGATGGGGTTCCGCAGGGATGGAGACGGTCCTGAGGCGCTCGATCAGCTCCCTGATGACGAGGTTCTCTTCGGACGGCGGCTGAAGGAAGCTCGACGACGGCCACTCGAAGATCCTCTTCTCCTCCATGGATTTAGAGAACAGAGAGAAAGAAGAGAGGGGAAATTTGCAGAGAAGGGGGAAGGCGAAGGAAGGTGAGAGAGAGAGAGAAAGGAGGGCTTGGCCACATGCAATTAGAATTCAGACAGAGAAGGGTTTGGGGAATTGGGGTGGAGTGGAGAAGGGGGAGGTCTTCGCCGCGATCGACGGCGAGCCGACGCCGGGCCTTGGACGCCAAACCAAGCAGTGCCCACCACCTCTCACCTCTCGCCCTCGAAACCCCTTTCCGGATCATCCGACTTTTCCAGCGATGGAAGCTCCAGAGGCGCAGAGAGGTAGTTAGAGAGAGAAAGTCAGTGCCGGAGGTGGTAGATATCAGAGGGAGGGCGGGGACCGGTGGGGATCCTCCCCCCTAGCTCATTTTCTTTCCACGGGTCCAGTACCCGGTTAGAGAAGACGAACAGTAGTGAGAGGAGAGAGAGAGAGGTATCTTTTGTCGAGGTAAATGAGTACCTCGTTTAGTGCTCTCGTCAAAAGGATCGACTTTTCATTTTTAGCTGAGCTCGCTTTAGGTTCTTATTCAAAACCACCAACGGCTAGAGAGAGAGAGAGCGATAGATAGCGAGCGAGAGAGAGAGAGAGAAATAGTTCAGATACGCTTTGTCATCTCACACCCCGAGGCTTCAGAAAAGAAGACCCTATCGTCTCTAGTGATTGCCCAGAGACAGAGAGTGAGGCTTTCTCTCTCTACTGTTCTTATCATGAAAGATTCGGGAGGGTACAAAACTAGGCTTTAATCCCCTTCTCCTTTCACAACCACAAAAAAACCCTCATTTTTAGAAAACACTGCATTCCAGTGAATTCCTCGGGATCGAGAAGATGATACCAAAATAAGAAAGTTTGCGGGATTATTTACAAAAAAACCCAGAGGAGGAGGAGAGCTTGTGGGGGCAAATAATATAAAATACCGAGGAGGATCCAAATACAAAAATACATCGTGGTGGTTGCCTCTGGATTGCTGTTGAAGGCCACATGGCGGATGAATAGAAACCCAAATAAAATATGTTGATACCCTTTTTTTAATACCAAAAAAGTTGGGGGTCGGTCTGAAAATTCACCTCCCCCGCAATCATTGGCACCGAGGAAGGACGACAGAGACGACCTTGAGAACGGTAAGAAAATATTCACCGGACGGCCTGAGCTATTAAATGGTCGCCACCACCCCCCTTAAAATTATTTTTATTATTATAATAACCCATCTACATTCTAAAATATCGGTCGTACCTCTCTGCCTCTTCACCTCTTCACCTCTTCACCTCTTCACCTCTTCACCTCTTCCGAGACTCTTGACCTCATACGGGGGCTTTTATGTCATTACACATTGAAAAGTATGTCAGTGTCCGTTGCTGGCCGCCCCACGCGCACCACCACCGAACCTTTCAGGCTCGCACGTGCGGGGGCGGAAACTTTATCGGGCACTAGAGGCGGTACAGCTGGCGACACCAGATTCGTCAAATATGGGGTAGGAGGCAAGGTTAATGGGCCGGACCTACGGTGGGGCCTGGAAAGGAGGATATTCTTATTGGGCCTGTCAGCTCAGGCCCACCAGAAGGAGACGTCATAACCCATAGGCACTTAATGGCCCGCTAAGCCTGGTCCGGCCCGGGCGAGTCAACTCCTCCTGCCACGTGTTCGACCCTCCCTTTTTGGAATAATGTCGGTGATACCTAACTTAATAAATTATCAGTAGTTTTATAATGCCCGGAAGAAAATCTACGTATTAGCCGCAACTAATCCCATAAACCACGTGCTATGCAAATCAACATCGTCTCCTATTCATTTAAGTAAATGCCCCCCCCCCTCTCTCTCTCTCTCTCGAGCGACAAATGCCGACCAACCCATTCCGCCCTCTTGATTACACGTCGAATTACTTCCCGGTGCAGACGCCGTCAGGGGGCCCAGGCGGCGGTCTGAAACCCGCGCCATCCAATCCCCCCAGATCGTCGAGAATCTCTTCTCTGCAGCTACCAGACAGGATAAGGCAAACCCCGGTCCATCTCTCTCTCTCTCTCTCTCTCTCTCTCTCCGCCTCCCTCCCTCTCTCTCTCCTCCTTTCTCAACCGATACATACGTACATTCATGGAGGGAGAGAAATACCGGGTATTTATCACGTGGGGAATTCTGTTCACCGTCGCCCTATGTGTCTGCCGACATGGAGACCTCCACAAATTGTCGGTCATTCGGAGGGACACATCAAATGTCGGGAGCCCCACAACCGACACACAAAAAGGGCATCTTTTGGCCCTGATTTTTTTTTCTTGGGCCTAGTTTTTTTTAAGGGCCATAAATTATAATTTAAATTAAATTGGGGTCATTATAAGAATAATAATTCAATTAATATTTATTGTAACAAGCTTAACGAAATGAATGATATACCCCAACTTTTGCAATCAACGAGCCAAGAAAGTTAAAAGCCCAATGGGCCCAACAAAATTGAGGGGCCAAGTACTAAATAGATGGTTCTAGACTGCCATTCTAGGTTCATGGCCCTTAAATAGCCTTAATTGCCCCAAGCATTTTATGTGGAGGTAAAATGAACTTTGAACATTAGAGTACATTAACTTTTTCTCTTGGGTTTTCCATGAATGATTCAAAGAATGTATCATCTTTTTGGGAAAAAAACCCAGCTTTATTTATTTAAATGGGATTTTTCGTTTTTTCTGAGCTAAAATTATGAAAAAATATAAATTAATCATAAAATGGTATAAAAAATTCAAAATTTCTCTGTACCATTATTGCATCATGATTTTTTTATTGTTTTAATGTAACTTATAATGGATCCCTAATTTTGATGGGATATTTTTGATGTTTGATCACGATGAATATTTTCATTAAAAAAATCAAGGAAATAATTTAATGATGATAATTAACTCACTATTTTAACAATATCCATTGCCATTCCTCAGTAGGTTTGACTCCTTGGATCAACTTATATTGGATCCTGATTTTAATGTTTGACCTTGATGAATATGACCAAAGTTATGGCAAAAACAATTTTATAAATATAATTAACTCATTATTTTACCATTCTACATGTTTTGTCAAAAAAGCCCCACAAAAATCTGATAAATCCCTACAAAAAATGCCCTCTTATGGGGAGAGTACCCAAATCCATTCATCAAGATGTTACCCTTCATATTTACTTCTCACATTCATCTATATATAACTATAGAGAGAAGAGAAGAGAGAGAGAGAGAGATAGAGAGAAGAGAAAAGAGAAGGGGGAGAAGAGAGAGATAGAGAGAGAGAGAGATGAGAGAAGAAAGAGAGAGATAGATAGAGTGAGTGAGAGTGAGAGATAGAGAGAGATACATCAGAAAGTCGGATTGAACTCCAAAATTAAAGCGGCCATTAAATAGTCCTGATAAGTGGGCTTAGAAACTAAGCAATTATTAACCGTTTCATTAAAAGAACAAATGAAATGCGTCGTTGTAGATCTAATAATGGGCCAAATGGGCGACGATGGGTCGGATCTTTTCCAAGCCCCGACATAGGCCTCGTTCATTAATTCATACAAGGGTATTAACCTAATACAATACTTTTGATGTATCAAGAATATTTGTAAATAATACAGGGAAAATATATAAAATTTTGCAGAAAAACCAGTGGTCTCTCCACGCCCGTCGTCTACACCAGACTACTCCCCTCACTCGCGGGATCGGGAACGGGAGAGGTGCTCTCTCTCTCTCTCTCTCTCCCTTCTTTCTCTCCTCTTTCTCTGTCTTTCTTTGTGGGAGTTAGCGTTTTTGCAATGGAGGTGATGTACTATCTGCTGTTCGGGGTGCTGGCCTTGGTCGTGACGTGGCTGGAGGTGAGCAAGATGGGCAAGGACCGCATCACCACCTCCACCGCCTTCGGCTCCTTCAAGAACAACTACCTGGTGGTGTACTCTCTCATGATGGGTAAGAAGATGAACCAGGCATAATCCATTATCTCCATTCCTGTGGGATCACTCAGATCTACCTGCCGAGGAAATGGCACACTTAATTTGGTGCGGGACGGAATGTCCTGTTTTCCCAGATCTGGGGTCTATTAGGTGCGAAATTTAGTTCTGGAGATTATAAGTAAAATAAGTCTGGCAAGTCTGCTCCAAAGGCTTGCCTGAGTAAGCCAGTTTCCAGGTTCATGTGCGTAGGACTTTATCGATGACATTCAAATTCTCTTCGTCAGCCAAATGTGGATCTGGATTTTCTTGATATTCACGATTTTCCAGCTGCAGCTAATTTCCCTTTTTATGCAGTATTTAAAGTGCGTCTGATGCATGTTCATGCTTCTTCTCGTATTTCTTTGATATGAAAATGTGAGATGGTGACACCTGTTTGATCGTGCATATCAGGCATGGTAATTCAAGTTTGTGAGGCTAAACTAACATTTGTCTTCTGTTTCACGTATTTAAGTTTCCTTTTTTGTTCTCTACCTCATATCTATTTATTGGCATCTCTGTGGATTCTTGCAGTGAGAGTGCTCTTTACTCTCCAATGTAAAAAAATTCAAGAATAATAAATATAATTGAAATCTTGCGATGTTCAGATTAACTATTCAAATGTGCAGCCATTCTTCCCTTCTAGGCAAAAGGATCCCATTCTGCTTACTGAAAATTTAATGTTCGCCCTTTTCTAATGTAAATGGCTTCAACTAGGGCAAACCAACATATAATGCACATGCTCTTCTGTTTCGATGGTTTGCATTATGTAAAGGAAAGAAGATAGCGGTTGTTTCCCCAGGGTAGCTTATTTTAAAATTGCTCTTTGATTTCCGCCATGCCTTGTGTATGCCTATAAAGGCGAGCAAATATAATTTGAAAAATGTATGATTAATACTGCATGATGAAATTTCCATGTTTGTATGAGTAATAATTTTAATACTTTTCATTGTTTGGTTTCTTTTTGGCTTACAACACAAAATGTGCAGTGGCCATCCATATAAGATGTTTGATTTGTGTTTCTATTTTCTTGTGTAACATAATGTCATTTAATATTTTATCGTATTCTTCTTGTAGCTTGCCTACCTTTGTTCATTTTTGTCATTTGAAAATGAACGCTGTTAGACCCAGAAGGTTTCTCCACTCCTAACCATGAATCTTTTGTCGTGTAAGCTTGTGGCCTAACAAACTAGCTTCCAACTGGTTGGAAGCTAGCTAGAAATCTGTTCGTGTCTTTCTGATCGCTTTTCCAGTTTCCAGGTCTAACCCAAATTCTTCGGTAGCGACTTGTAGTGAGATGACAATGACATAATACGATGTTTTTTCTTGGCATCTGATTTTCATTCAGCGCTCTGAGTTAAGGGGCTGTATTGATGTTCTGGTATACAAATAGCAAGATCTTGTTTACCATCTCTGAGCCAAACCAAGTATCCTACTAAATGTGAGCACCAAAATGTGGTGAAAATTTTAAGAAAATTGGAAAGGCACACTGAACAGTATGACACATGAAACGAGTTGATCGTATTGAATGAAATGTTCGAGTCTAAATTTTAATTCTCTTTCAATGGATGACTATGTGCTAGATCTCTTCTAAGGCATAGTTCCCCTGGCTTCCAAAGCTGGGGATTGGTTGCAGGGTCCCTACGTCTATTACCTCTATAGCCAATACGGCTTTGACAAAGGAGACATTGGGAGGCTCTTCATTGCCGGTTTTGGATCGTCTATGTTGTTTGGGACCATTGTAGGATCTCTGGCCGACAAACAGTGAGTTTTTCATTGATTCCTCCTTTGATTTGTTTATTCGTATGCTTTCACTTCTCTTTATGGTGTTTGGTTTACTATTTGTGTTTGTGTGGAAATTCAGGGGTCGGAAGAGGGCTTGCGTGACCTACTGCATCACTTACATACTAAGCTGTATCACCAAACACTCTCCACAGTACAAGGTTCTAATGGTGGGCCGTATCTTGGGTGGGACTGCTACATCGCTTCTTTTTTCTGCTTTTGAGTCGTGGCTTGTGGCAGAGCATAACAAGGTAGGATGATTACGGGTTTTTTTTTCCCGAAGCCAATGCATGATAGAAGAGTGAAAATTATTACAGGAGAAATTTATCTGGTAACATTGTGGAAGAATAAGTTTCCGACGCTTCCAAGGAAAAATGTGCAAATATTCAACACCATTTGCGTAGTGATAAAGTTTTAAATCTTTCTGAAAGGCCCCAGAAAAGATTGAAAGCAACACCGCATTTTATTGAAATTTTGGTTGCTCTTGTCGTGCATCGTTGTGTAGAATAGAATCATACCCGAATATACTACCTGGAGGCATGGTCTATTGTTTCATTGACAATATTATTGCTATCATTGCTGTCAAAACAAAGCTATTAGGGTCGTCCAGCTCAGAACTAATCGGTAGTGAGTGGAGTGGGCCCATATTTATAATCATTTGCTTACATTTGTATGGAAAAAAAATGTATGATTGTATAAGAAATCCCTTGCATGGAAGCTAACTTTTGGGCTTTGACACGAGGACAGCATATATAGGCTACACAGACTCTAAGAAAAACCATCGTTTTGAATGTTGCATTTAACTCACTTAGCCATCCAACTCAATTTTGAACGATATTTTTAGTAGAGGGTGCCCATTTTTGTCCCTAATAAATTACTTTGTTGTATTAACCAATTCAAGAATTCTGTCTCACTAGGATGATGTCATGACTCGGCTTACCCGGAGTCATCTGTAATGATGAAGTTATTATACTGTCGATTTCATTTAAAAGCTTGATCGTCCGCTATCAATTTTTAATGTTTTGTGAGGCGCATAAATGTTCAGATTTTAATTTCTAAGAGAAAATAGCCTAGACATATGAATTATTAGTGGCAGCTCTTAGAAAAGAGCCTGGACAAATGAGTTTGTCTGTGTTTCTTAAATATTTAGCGTTATCCAGTTTTGTCATGATAATTAATGGAAGCCTGATCCACAGAGGAGCCTTCCACCTGGTGGTCTCCAGTGTTTACTAAAAATCAAATCTCGTGGTTGGTTTCTCGCAGAGGGGTTTCGATCCACAGTGGCTGTCATTAACATTCTCCAAGGCCATATTTCTTGGCAACGGCCTTGTCGCCATTGTCTCTGGTCTGTTTGCCAACCTGTTGGCTGACAACCTGGGCTTTGGCCCTGTGGCTCCCTTCGACGCCGCCGCATGCTTTCTGGCAGTCGGCATGGCGATCATCCTCTCATCCTGGACTGAAAATTATGGAGATCCTTCCGAGAGCAAGAACCTGCTCACTCAGTTCAAGGGTGCTGCCACCGCCATTGCATCTGGTGAGTCTTTTCTCTGCTCATCATCATCTCCTATCTGCCGTATTTTCCCTTCTTTGTATATAATCAGCAGGCTTTCTCATTTCATGGGTCAGATGAGAAGATTGCCTTGTTGGGTGCGATCCAGTCCCTCTTCGAGGGATCCATGTATACCTTCGTGTTCCTCTGGACCCCTGCTCTGAGCCCAAACGACGAGGACATACCACACGGCTTCATCTTCGCCACATTCATGCTCTCCTCCATGCTGGGGAGCTCCATTGCATCGAAGCTGATGGCCCACTCTTCTCTCAGAGTCGAGAGCTACTTGCAGGTCGTCTTTGTGGTCTCCGGCTTCACCCTCTTCCTCCCCGTCCTGACCAGCGTGAGTACCTTCTTCCTCCGATCTCAATGGATGAAATTTGTGGGCTTTGGTCGAATCCAGGGATCTGATGGGTAGAAGCTATTGATGTCGAACCCGCCCAGTATCTTGTGGCTCCGTCCTCGGAGAGAAAGGGGGGGAGTATCTCGCTCGGAGGCTGTCTTCAGCTCTTAGGGTTTTGTGTGTTTGAGGCGTGTGTGGGGATCTTCTGGCCGTCTATCATGAAGATGCGCTCCCAGTATATCCCTGAGGAGGCCCGGAGCACCATCATGAACTTCTTCCGCATCCCTCTCAACATCTTCGTCTGCGTCGTTCTCTACAATGTGAGCATCTCTCTACCCCCCCTCTCTCTCTCTCTAAGCCTTCGAATGGAAAATCTCCATGGAGTTAACGAACATTGTTGGGATTGAGCTTGAATTGGGAGTCAATAGAGATAAATGTGTGAATATTTCCTTATTTTCTTATAGGTTAAAAACCATTTCCAGACAGTGTCTTGTTCACTCTCAACTCTCTCTCTTTCTCTCTCTCTCTCTCTCTCTCTCTCTCTCTCTACATACAAATATATGACTTAAAAATCAGAAATTTCAATGGAATCAATAGACATATATATATATAGATATGTTCCATGTCTCTTGTCTTCCATTTTTGCTGATTTTTAAATTTTTTTTTTACAGGTGAATGCATTCCCAATCACTGTCATGTTTGGGATGTGCTCCATCTTCCTGTTTGTGGCGTCGCTGCTGCAGCGACGGCTGATGGTGATCTCTGAGAACCAGAAACCAAGTGAGTTCCTCGTGAACCACCTGAGCTCCGTCATTCTTCCTCTCCCACTGTTTCTCTCTCATCACCCCTCTCTCTCTCTCTGTGCCCCTTTGCAGAGCCCGTTGACTGGCTGGCCACCGACAGGGGCGATGAGGGAGAGCCTCTGGCTGCATAGCCCACATCAATTCGCTCTCTCTATGTCCGTCTCTCTCTACTTGGGGTTCATCTTCCGTGGTCTTCTGATGGGCAGGTAAATAAACTTGGCATTAGAAATGGCGGTGATGATTGGATTGGATTGGATTGGATTAGATTAGATGGATTGGATATCAGAGAACACAATGAATGAATGAATGATCCCTGTGTAATTAGGCTGGGGAATCTCTACGGAGCTTCCTTGCCCAGCCATCATTCCTCTGTAATTAGGGTTCCCTTCATCTTCTTCCATATATTCCACAGATTTGGTGGCTAGTCTATCAGCTTTTCTCTCTTCTGGCAAGCACGGCTGTTGACTCTCTTCACTTCTTTCTCTCTCTCTCCCTCTCCTCTTTCCTATTTGGCGCAACCCATCTTGCCACGTGGTCAGGATCGCCCACACCTCTCTCTCTCTCCTCTTTTGGTGAGTGTACGCACAGGGCCCTTTGGTTGCGGCGGTGGTCGTTGAAGTCAGCATTTTTAGCTTTAAGTCCTCCATAAAATGCCTTATGTTAGAAAAGGCCTAAATCTTTACTGGATTTTACGAGAAAGCCCAAAGGGAGTTCAAATGTGACACCAGCTAACGTCCATTAAAAGGTCCGACATCGATTTGAATATATTTCAGATCCCCCCCAAAAAAGTGTTGAAATAAGGAAAACCCCCTGTATTATTGTATTTACGAGTATCTCCATTGAAAGCTTTCATCGCGAGTATTTTGTCTCTGGGTCAAAAAACTATCATTAAAAATATAAAATACCCCAATTTTTTTGTCTACATTCTAAAATTCCGTAAAAATAATAAAAATGATTTTCTTAATGCCTCATCCAAAGGCTTTGGGAGAGAGAGAGAGAGAGAGAGAGAGGGTGCTTTCTAAATGTGGGCTCGATGAGACAAGCGGGCCTAGTTGTTGGCCTTCCTAAAGACACGCCTGTGGGGTTCGGATCCTAAAAGATAGCCCCAACGGCACCGAATAGGACCCGAAAGATTGATCCGCCAAACGGCGTAGATGAAGAGCAGCCAGCCTGCCGAGGCTGACGGAAGGGGAGAAGGAAGAGGAGGAGCGAGGCAGGAGAGAGAGCGGAAGAGAGAGCAGAAGAGAGAGAGAGGCAGCGCCGGTGAGGGGAATTCAGGGTCACCGGAGGAACCTTCCGGCGATGGCGGACGCGGCGGCGGCTGCGGATTCCGAAGGGATCGACGGCGTCCGCATGACGTGGAACAACTGGCCGCGGTCGAAAGTGGAGGCGAGCAAGTGCGTGGTGCCGATCGCGGCTTCGATCTGCCCGATCCGGCCACATTCAGATCTCGCCGTCCTCCCCTACCCTCCTCTCCGATGCAAGCCGCCGTGCTCCGCTGTGCTCAACCCCTTTTGCCGCGTGGACTTCGCCGCCAAGATCTGGATCTGCCCCTTCTGCTTCTCCCGCAACCATTTCCCCCACCACTACGCCGGCGTTTCCGAGACCAATGTCCCCGGGGAGCTGTACCCTCAGTACACCACCATCGAATACGCCCTCCCCGCATCTCACGACCCCGCCGCCGCAGCCGCCGCGGCGTCGCCGGTGTTCTTGTTCGTGCTCGACACATGCCTCATCGAGGAAGAGCTGGAATTCGTCAAGTCAGCGATGCGGAGGGCCATCGGGCTGCTCCCGGATAATGCTCTCGTGGGTCTCATATCCTACGGTACGCAGGTGCATGTGCACGAGCTTGGATTCTCGGATCTATCCAAGATTTACGTGTTCTGTGGAACAAAGGAACTGGCAAAGGAACAGATTCTCGACCAGCTCGGGCTCGTCCCTGGGCAGCGGGCTGCCGCCATGGTTGGAGGGACAGCCGGTTACCCTAAAGGAATGCCTTCTAATGGAGTAAACCCTAAAGCAACATCCGTTAATCGGTTTCTGCTCCCAGCATCTGATTGTGAATACATTCTCAATGCGGTGAGTTTGTCTTTGTTTAAATGGTGGGTTTCATTTTAAGCTATAGCTATTATTAATACATTTTCTTGACAAAATTTTCTCCTTCTCTCAGCTGTTAGACGAGTTACAGAGAGACCAGTGGCCAATTGAGGCGGGAAGCAGGGCTCTCCGTTGCACAGGTGTTGCCCTGAGTGTTGCCGCGAGCCTACTTGGGGCATGCTTACCTGGTACCGGGGCTCGCATCATTGCTCTTGTTGGAGGCCCATGCACGGTGGGCCCTGGATTGGTATGCTCTTCAACATTCTCCTGAAATATTGTCTGATAGAAACAAAATTTTCTTTAAAATGATAGAATTATATAGAAATTACTAAAATACAAGTTTATCGTGGCTTGCCTGGTTGAATTCTTTGCTGAGCTATTTAAGATAAGAGTAGGAGATCAAGGTGCTCAATGAACGTTGGGAGATCATTTGGGAGAAACTCTCTCTTCCACACTCCCCCTCCCCTCTCTCTCTCGCTCTCTCTTGAAGTTTGGGATTTTTTCTCTGAATATTTTGGATCTGTCCTATCTAATTTTTTTTTGCTGGTATCTTTTCTGAATGGAAACGTAGTTCTGTAGACAACAAATATTATGGTGCTATGCTTTGAAAACCGGAAAATGTAATGTAATGTGTGGGCCAAATTAGGAAAAGGTCTCAACAAAGTGGGGATTGCTGAGATTATGGGCCTCTTAATGTCTTGTATCAGACTATGTCAGCTCTGAAGTTAAGAATGTGTTGTTGGTGAAGGATATTTACTTTAAGTTCATAGGTGTACGGAGGGTTATGGTGGCTATTTTCTTTCTTATCATTCCCTTCCTGGAGTGTAAAGCTTAGCTGCTTGTTTATTTTATTGGAAGAGAGTGTAAAAGTTAGCTGGCTTCACTGATTTCTCTTTCCTGGTTTGATCACTTTCTCTTTGGTATTTAAATTGCCCCTTACCTTGTGCTACTTACTTTATGCAGATCGTATCAAAGGATTTATCTGAGCCAGTGCGCTCACACAAAGATCTTGATAAAGATGCTGCCCCACATTTTCACAAAGCTGTGAAATTTTATGACAGTATTGCTAAACAGCTTGTTAGCCAGGGTCATGTATTGGACCTTTTTGCCTCTGCACTCGATCAGGTTTGGAGTTTTCTATTTGAAACTTCATCATTTCATCCTCACAATTATTTAAGTTTGTACATTTATTGCTATATTCCGTATATTGGTAGAGAATGCTAAAATGACGTTGCAAGTGCTTTTCTTATTAAAATTACTGTAGATATCAAGCAATATAAATTATGCTCTAATTCATTTATCGGGAAAGTCACCTTGTGCTTTGTTTTTGAGGATCCTGGTTTATTATTATCTTAAGCAGTTGAAATCAGGGATTAGGTAAGGTGGATGATAGTTTTACGTCGTTAATACATTTTGGCCAGTTTGAATGTGAAATAGATATTTTAAGAAGTAATGCTTCTAAAAATAAGCTCATGTGTTCTTCTTGGAGAATTCTTCAACAGTAACGAAAAAAGAAAGAAATTTCTTATTGAATCTCTATAAACCACGACTTGTCACTCATGTCCACCATCCTGCCAGATGTAGATGCATTCAGAAAGCAGCATGTTAATAACTTGATTGTAATATGACTTTTAATGATGCTGCCAGGTGGGAGTTGCAGAGATGAAGGTGGTTGTTGAAAGGACAGGTGGCCTTGTTGTTCTTGCTGAGAGTTTTGAACACCCAGTTTTCAAAGATTCTTTTAAGCGGATTTTTGAGGATGGAGAACAGTCTCTTGGACTTTCTTTCAAGTAAGCTTTCTACAATTCCTTTGTTTTAGACCTTTATTTGGCACATGCTAGTTACCGTTTCAGCCTTATACTATGTGAGCGAGGGCATTCTTTTTCGTTTCACCTTTATACTATTTATTACCCTAACACATGTTTGAGAATATTCAGTGGTCTTTTCTTGAGAATGTCATGATTATTAGTTTGGGATGCATGTACACCGTGCCTCTCTGGCGCACATGCAGTTTTGGTTCGCATTCTAGTCCATGTTGTTGTCCCTATTGATCCAGATGACATCATCTCATCATACATGCTACTAGAAAACTGTGAACACAAAATAGGTAATCGCTTATTCCATTATATTTTGTGGGGATCCGTTGGAGATGATGGCCAGCAAAATATAGATATTTCATCAGAGTTTTACATTGGGGCCTACATGTTTCAGTAGTATCATTTATATGCAGAGTAATTCATTGTTTCTTCTATGTTCCAGCGGTACACTTGACATTAATTGCTCAAAGGAGATCAAGATTCAAGGGATTATTGGCCCATGCACATCCTTGGACAAGGTTGTTCATTTTCACATTATTGTACAATCTGTTTACTTGTTGAAATCATGTCTAATGTGTTACTGTCTTCTGCAGAAAGGAGCCACTTCTTCTGATACAGTCGTTGGGCAGGGAAATACTACATCATGGAAACTTTGTGGCCTTGATAAGAGTACTTGTTTGACTGTCTTCTTTGACATCTCACCTAGTGAGAAATCAAACCAACCTGGCCTTACTAATCCACAGCTGTATCTGCAGTTCCTAACCACGTAAGCTGCTGCGACCTTTGTAATTCATTATCTATACGTGCCACTTTATTGGAAACTCTTTTGTATTGATCCAATCTCAAATGATTTGTTGTTGTAGTTATCAGAACCACGAAGGTCAGATCAGGCTTAGGGTTACAACTGTCACTAGGAAATGGGTTGAGAGTGCTGCTAACACAGAGGTTGGTTCTGTTCATTCAGCGATTGGATGTATCTATTGGTTCTGTGAACACTGTTTTCAGATGTCATACACGTTAGATATGATTTAAATGTCTCTTTGCTAGGATATAATATAATAGATATTAATGGAATTCACGGTATTGTAATGTATTTAAGTACTTACGTTTTGGTGCTCTCATAGACTTTACAGGATTTTTGTACTTCCGCTTATGGTTGATGGCTTAATTCTGGTGGTCTTCTTTTTTATGATCGGTGTTTTGCTGTCATTATCGCCAATGGGGAAAAAGGGACGATTCCTGTGATCTCTAGAATTCATCATTCAATGAATAAAAAGGGCTCTGTGACATGGTTGCTAAACTTTTAATGTTTCTGTTTTTGATGTGAGGATAGATGCAGGATAACCTTATTCTTAGACTTCGCCCCAAAAAGTAACGATGAATGGTGTATAAGTTCACCGTCATTCAGTGTTTTAACCGTACATGGTTACAATGTTCTGGAAAGTTGTAAGCTGGTGACTATTAGTTTTTTTCTTATTTTCTGCGAACAAATGACCCATTTCTGCGTAAAAAGCTTATAGAGACATCGTTTTTAAAGTCCAGGAATGTGCACTATTAGAAATAGTTCATGTATGATTGATTAGCATCTCGCGCAGTCCTATCATAACTTGAAAGAAAATTCTATTTGTAGAAAGATAATTTAGCTTATCTTGATTGGCAAATATGTGCTTGGTATATGTTGATAGTCTTGAATTTTTCGTTCTTCAGGAATTGGTTGGAGGGTTTGATCAGGAGACTGCAGCTGTCGTAATGGCTAGATATGCATCATTGAAAATGGAATCAGAGGTAATTGATTGATCTTATCCTTCTCTAGTCTCAAATTGGGTGACCAAGGATGAAAAAAGTTGACGTCATAAGCTCATACCTTTTAATTAGATTTAGTTGAGTAGGTTAGTGTTGCCTGTGCATCCTTTTTTTTTTTCCTATTTAAACCATCATATCCTTTTCTCCTGTGCATATCCTGTTCTGCCAACCTTATAAAGCTATTTCAATTTCAGGAAGAATTTGATGCAACAAGATGGCTGGATCGGTCTCTTATACGACTTTGTTCAAGATTTGGCGATTATCGAAAAGATGATCCATCATCTTTCACATTAAATCCATGCTTCTCCATTTTCCCACAATTCATGTTTAATTTGCGGAGGTCACAGTTCGTACAGGTGAAGCAAGAATATCTTCTATGATCTCTTGCAGAGTCATTCCTTGCTCAGTAGTGAGTACGGTTTTTTTCACGCAGGTCTTCAACAACAGTCCTGATGAGACTGCATATTTCCGCATATTGCTGAACCGGGAGAACATTACCAATTCTGTTGTCATGATCCAGCCTTCGCTCATCTCATACTCCTTCAACTCGCCTCCTGTTCCTTCTCTGCTGGACGTTGCATCCATAGCTGCGGACCGCATACTCTTGCTAGATGCATATTTCAGTGTAGTCGTCTTTCATGGCATGACTATTGCCCAATGGCGTAATATGGGCTACCAGAATCAACCTGAACATCAGGTGAATATGAATGAGCTAACTTGTATAGTCTTTTGGAAAGTTGCACCATACTATTGTGGATGTTGCATGCTTCACTTTCAAAGTAGTGATTAATATGTGCCCACCATCAACAGCAACACAGTAGCCACCAACACAATACTTTGCAGCTTTAGGGGAGGGAAAAGTGATTGAAAAGACATCGACTCTTCAGTTTTTCAAGAATCCCTCTTGATTATACGACCCTGGACTGCTTTGTGATCATCATCTGCAGTGGGCACATTATCTGAGTGGCTTTTTTTTTTGTGATTGTCAATGATGTCCAGGCCTTTGCCCAGCTGTTACAAGCACCTCAGGAGGACGCCAAAATTATTAGCACAGACAGATTCCCTGTTCCCAGACTAGTTGTTTGCGATCAACATGGTTCCCAGGTATGTGAAAAGCTTTCAGCTTTCTAATTTGGTCTATGTTCCCCCTCTTATTTGTCCTTTGCATGATCCTGGTGAGATTTCATCGACCCTACTTCACATGGGCGGACAAGAAAATGGCTCTAAAATTGATAGAGGGGATGGATGAGAGAGGGTTTGAGGAGAAAACCGTGGGAAGATATGGAGACAGGACAGGGTGGGATCTACCAGAGGTCAAAACGCTCGAAACCCTTTTATTTGTTCTTACTTTGATCCATTGAAGAGGAACACTTTGATCCAAGCCCTCTTTTGCTTCATGTTTTGAGAAAAAATCCAGCCCTTTTGGATCAAATCGACCTTTTCAGACACGTAGATGCTTCTACTATCATCACAGTCACATAGCAGGGGCTAGCTATCTCAGTCAAACTGATTTAATCTCAGGTCCGGTTGGTTCTCCTTGGAATCACCTATCACAGCTGAAGAACATTACTTTATTTGGTTATTTATTTATATATTGAAAAAGCGTGAGAAAAATAGCTGAATAACACATGGCTATCCGATTCAACTCGGATTTCCTGCCAGGGTTGTTAGGTGTTGGAATCAGATGGTTTACGCTGACTAATTTATGGGAAAAGTCGGAAGATCACTATCTGACTTTTATACTGCTGATGATAACAAATGTATATTGGTGACGATTGATTGCCCTTTCAGGCGAGATTTCTGCTGGCGAAGTTGAACCCATCGGCCACGCACAATTCCGCCAACGATGTGGCTCCCGGCTCGGACGTGATCTTTACAGACGATGTGAGCCTCCAAGTTTTCTTCGAGCATCTCCAGAGGCTGGCTGTGCAGTCGTGAGACCAGGGAAAAAAAAAAAGGAGCAGGTTCTTATCAGGCTAGCTTTTTTTTCTTCTTTTTTTTTTGCCTACCATTCTCTCTCTCTCTCTCTCTCTCTCTCTCTCTCTCTCTCTCCTTTCCTCTTCTGGTTGACCAGGTGATTCTAGAATCTGAGCTCCCCCCTCTCTCTCTCTCTCTCTCTCTCGCACAGCCCTGCTGGTTGATTATATATTGATAAATTGGTTCAAACGTTGGAGGCTTCGACAAAATAAAGACGTGTGATGATGGATGATTCTTCTTTGGAGTGAGGCCAGTAAGGGTAGTAGGTAGGGACTCATTTCACTGTTGTGTTCTTAGTCTGTGCCTTTCTCTTTCTTTTGCCACAGGACCCATCTCTCTCTCTCTCTATGTATGTATGCCCTGATCATCAGTAACTTTAGACCCTCTATGAATGACCGTAGAACAGAAGCTATTTTCCTGTGTGTCGGTCGCCTTGGGCTCCAGAGTAGGAGCCATCATCTTCATCGGATTGGTCACTTATCAGAAGTACTGCTACTGGGCGTTTATAGAGAGAGAAAATCGAACTAAATTAATTATCGGTGAAAGAAAAATGCAGCCGTCTAGGGGTATAGTCATGGAGCAAAGATGGGCGGGATGTATTGTTGTGGGTCAGCACCATTCGTTCTTCTTTTGGAGGGTAGAGAGAGAGAGAGAGAGAGAGAGAGAGAGAGAGAGAGAGAGAGAGAGAGAGAGAGAGAGAGACAGCAAAGAAATCGAAGGAGTTGTGGAAATTCTGGAAGAAATCAGCACGTTATTTAGAGGGTTAATAAAAAAAGGCATAGCAGAAATAAATAGATAAATAGCAAATAAAAAAAGAGGAAGAGCATGCTTAAAATAGCAATAGCTACAGCAAAATTAGGAATGGGTGGTGAGTCAAGAGTTCATTCATTTCACAGCTCTCCCCTGCAAGCCATGAAGAGGAAAAGCTGGAGGCAGGTTTAATAAAAAAAACTGATGTATTACATTATTATTATTATTATTATTATTATTATTATTATTATTATTTTAAAAAGTGAAATTGTTTTGACCCAAGTTGCCTGAACAGGAAAAAAAACGTGGATTATAAATATTTTAGAAGGCTCAAAATGAAAATTAGGGAGAGAGAACAGCATGCACAACCAAAATCAGTGGATCAGGTGCTCTAGAAATGTGAAGCGTGTGGGCTACGAAGATCTGAATACCTAAAAATATACGAATCAAATAAGGCCCAGATAAAGTACACCATGAATAATGTCTTAGAGTCCTGATTTCAATAGCTGTTATATTTTGAAGGCATTTTTTTCTTAAAGCACACCATGAATAATGTAAGTCTTAATTTTATTTTATTTTATTTTGTTAAAGCGACATGATTTTTAGGGATGTTCTAACTGATTCTTCAATTTTTTTAAAGACCACCACACTGTAACCCTAATAAGATCTTTGGTTATTAGGACTTTTTGTTCTTTTTACAAAGAGTTCAGAGAGTTCTTGTAGATTCAAACAATCCTTGTAGATTTAAGAGATGCTATTTTGATCCTTGTTGATTCGAGATTCGTCGAAAGTCAACCACTGTGAATTCAGATGTATTTCTGACCTTTGTGGATTCAAAAATCATCCAAACCATCATTTTGATCCTCGATGATTCGAGAATTGTCAAAAGTCAACCACTGTGAATTCAGATGTATTTCTGACCTTTGTGGGTTCAAAAATCATCCAAACCATCATTTTGATCCTCGATGATTTGAGAATTGTCGAAAGTCAACCACGGTGAATTCAGATGTATTTCTGACCTTTGTGGATTCAAAAATCATCCAAACCATCATTTTGATCCTTGTGATTTGAGAATTGCCGAAAGTCAACCACGGTGAATTCAGATGTATTTCTGACCTTTGTGGATTCAAAAATCATCCAAACCATCATTTTGATCCTTGTCGATTTGAGAATTGCCGAAAGTCAAAAATTGTAAATTCAGATGTATTTCTGACCTTTGTGGATTCAAAAACCATCCAAACCATCATTGTGGATTCAAAAATGAAGAAAATCATACCTTGTGGATTCAAGGTCTGATCTTCGTTCTTCCTCCCTCTCCAAATTTCGTATGTTGTAGATTCAAGGTTAGATTTTCTGTGAAACCACAACTTCCAATGGGCCAACATGATCTCGTTATTTTACCTGAGTGACATCTTCATCTCATCTCTTTTATTCCCATATCATCGGAGACAAGAGTGTGGCGGGTACCTCCACCCGAATGCAACAGTCCCCATCTCAATCTGGTTTTCCCCCGGGGCGTGTTCTTCAGTGATGATTTCATCTCCACAATCTCAAGATCTCTCCAGAAAGTTCCCATTGGACAATTAATTTCTGCACAATCCTGAGTTTGAAGCAGAGAGGGATTCAGTGGATGATCGTCGCCGTGGTTGTCTTCCCCAGATAAGACCTCAGCTTGCCACCATGGAAGACCAACCTTATCAGATCAACATAGGTCCAAGCTTTCCTGCTCCCTTCCTCCCCTCCTCCGACCGTGGAGAAGAAGGCCTCCTCGCAGCTCTTGATGAAGCGGCCCTTCCCAAATGCGGCAATTACCAGAGGATCGGTCTCCATCACTGCCGACTGCTCCAGAAATCTCCTCCTCCTCCAGATATCCAGCACCCGGCCACCATTAAACCCGTCTGAGCAGGCATCAAAGAGGACGCCAACAGTGACCAGATCAGGCCTGAGCTCTCCTCCATCTTCTTCTCCGATCTTCGAGAGCAGGGCCTCCAGATCCCTGAAATCCTTCATCTTGGCGTGAGCTAATGCGATGCTGTTGGTGAAGGTTATGTGGGGGGTGACTTCTGCGGCCTTCATCTCGCCGGCGATGGATTCCATCCCCCGGCGGCTCAAGAGCAGGGCGGCGGCGAGCAGGAGGAGCCGCCACACCAGATGGGTCCTCCTATTCCTCCCTGTTCTTGACGCGATCTCGTTACCGAATTCTTCCAATCGAGCAAACCGGTAATTCTGGATGTAAACCAGAGCCATCTTCCTGATCAGATCCTCCCTTAGGGGAGCTCTGCAACCGGAGAATCTCCTGTACATCTTCTCCATTTTTTCAAGGTTGCCCACCTCAGCGTAGGCCTGGATCATGGCGGCGACGGCGGCGGGGAGGAGCTTCATCCTCCTGGAAAGGAGGGTCCGGTGGGTTGCTTCCATCTTCTCCAGGAGGCCTCCTCCGGCGAACTCCATGATCAGGAGGTTGAAGGTGGAGGCGTTGGGGGGGCAGCCCTCTGCGATCATCTTCTTCACCCATCTACTCATCTCGTCGTACATCCCCTTTCTCCCGAAAGCTCGGAGGAGGCCGTGGAAGGTCTCCGGCGAGGGCGAGAGGCCCAGCTCCGGCATCCGCCGGAGCGCCTCGCCGGCGCCAGCGAGGTCGCCATCTCCAGCGAGCCCATCAACGAGGGAGTTGTAGACCGAGACGGGAACCGGTAAATCGAGCGCCGCCATCTGTCGGAAAACAGAACCCGCTTCTTCCATTGCGCCGCCGCCACAGAGCAGGCGGGCGAGCCTGGAGAAGTTCGCCGCCGTCGCTCTTCCTGGGGACCTCCTCCTCCTCCACTCGTCGAATATCTTCAGGGCCTCTGAGGGGCGACGGCTCTCCACGAGGAACCCGGCGGCGGCCCAGAGCTCCTCGCTGCTCCAGTCGTCGCCGCCGCCGTCGTCGACTTCCTCCATGAGATGGAGGGGGGTGGCGACACCGCCGTCGTCGTCTTCCTCGATGAGGCGGAGGGGAGTGGCGGCGCCGCCGTCGGAGAGGTGGGTGAGGAGGTTCTTCAGCCGGCGGGTGTGGTGGATGTTCTCAACGACGAGGGTCCTGTGCAGGAGTCTCCGGCGGTGCTCCTCGTGGGGGGCCGGCGAGGGAGGGAGGGAGGTCGTGAGGTGAGGGCGGGGGAGGGGAGGGGCGGAGGGAAGTGAGAGAAAGTCGGGTGGTCTCACCGGAGCAGTTGACGGGTTGGGTTGGAGGGGGCGGTGACGGCGGCGGAGGAAGGTGGTCCTCTGGGGGGGGGGACCCGCGATGGCAGCCCAGGCGGCCACGCTCATAGTTTCCGGCGTCCTCTCCTTCTCTCTCGCGGTCTTTATCTTTCTCTCTTTCTCGCTAGAAGCAAAAGTCTGTATAGGGGAAGATGGTTGGGAGGCTATTTTATTAACTGTTCTATAACATGTACAGAGAATGTGCTATAAACTTACTAAACGAGAAAGACGACGACGGATTAGAGAGGAAATAGCCTCCCAACCATCTTCCCCTATACAGACTGAGAGGAAATCGACGGATTATAACCTATACAGACGACGGATACTTACTGAGAGGAAATTGAGATTATAACATGTACAGAGAATGTGCTATAGACCTAATTGAGGTTCTTCAGACGACGGATTAGAGAGGAAACGAGAGCAATTAACAATAAGAAAAATCTCAATTTACAGGTCTCTTCTATGTTAGGCCCCTAGGGGGGGGGTAGCCTACCCAAAGCTTGACCGGAACTGAAGACTCTGAAGCAAACTAGGCACTCGTGAATCCTACGGTTGGCGGAGGAGACCGTGCACGGCGCCGCATTCACCTCAGAATCTGCGTCGTGGATCTGATGGCCCAGCTCAGGAGAAGGGCCCATCCCAATAGCATAGGACCAAAGAGGGCGCAGCTACAGTAGAAGAGGGAGTCATTACAGAGAAGGGAAATGAGTCTAATGATGTAAGAGGATCGCAAAGGTGTAATATAGGGAATACTAGAAAGTATTCTAGGGCAGCTTGGGCTGAGGAAAAAGAAGGGACACATTAGAAAGTATTCTCTTTATGCAAAAATTCACCATAAGATTCAAAATAAAAAGAGGTCATTTATTGGATTTAAACAATGGTGGGTACATCTTACTATTAGATTTTCTCTTAGAGTAATTGATGGTAGTGAATACTTAAGCCCACCATGGTATGCACACATTGTCAACTACTTGTTCATAAGAAATTAACTAGGGATGTCTTATTTTATAAATTAAAATATTATTTATGAAATGACCCAAAATAATTTTATCTAAGACTAAATCAGATTTTTAGATGATGTGTGCCCAAAGAAGAACATATGAGTCTATTAGACTTTGGTCACACATCAACATGTAGGGCCCACTTCTCTAGTTGAAAAACTATTATCAAAGTTTTTCTTAGTTGGTTCTATTGGCCCAATTGATTTAAATACTCCTTGAATTTCCTAAAACATGTGCAAGATGCCAAGCATCAATTAACATCTCTAAGCAAGATACAATGCCTCTAACCAAATTTTTTTAGTAAAATTCTTTGATGTGTGAAAACTAATTTCATGAGTTCCTTCTCATCATCTTTTTGACACAAATAGATTATCTTAATCGTTGATTATGAGTCTAAATGGGTGAAAGCAGTACCCACTAGAATCAATTACCATAAGGTGGTCACTAAATTTATTTAAAGTTATTTTTTCTGTCGATTTGGTTGCCATGAGCCATCATCAATGATGGAGAGCAACACTTCACAACTACTCAACTTTCTACTAAATAAATATAATGTAAAACACAAATGCCCTTAAAACATGATCCTACAATTATAAGAGTTAGATGAACTTAGAAATGATGTATATGAAAATTTTAAGATTTGCAAACCTAAGACAAAGACATTCCATGATTGATACATACATCGAAAACACTTCTCTTGGAATAAAAAAGTCTAGTTTTATAACTCTAGAGTTTACCTCTTCTATGAACAATTGAAATCCAGATGGAATAAACCCTATTATATATTCCATGTAGAAGAATGAGAACTTATACTCATTGAAGATCCAAAATCATGTGAAAACTTCAAAGTTAATGGTCAAAGGTTCAAATATTACTTTGATAAATAACTTGGACTCAGTGATTTAAAGAGGGAAATAACATATGGCTGAGGACATTAAACTTAGTGCTTACTAAGAGACAACTCAAGCTATATTTTATTTTCGCGTATTCTATTTTATTTTTGAGATTCAAGTAGTTAGCATGAAGTTGATGCAAAATTAATATTCATCGTGAATAATTTATGTAGCCAACTTTTGAAATTTATAGATATATTTGAAAAAATTCACTTCCTTTATGCAAATGCATTGTTCTTGTTTTCTTATATTTATAGGATTTTAACAAATGACTTAATATTATTTTATTTATACATTTAGGATTATCATGCATGGATGATGTCATTGAGAAAACTATGCATAACTTTTGGAAATTTTTATGTAGCTTTTAAAAATATCATGGATAATTTTAGAATACATAGTTTCTAACTGCATCAAAACATAAACCTTTTTGCAACATACCTTAACATGACTTTATTCTTTCCATGCATCATACTACTAAGTTGATCAAGTAGGAACAATTGAACCTGAATATATTAGATGATTGATTATATTTGAATACTATAAGGGTACATGATATATTTTATTTATTCAAATCGAGTAAGGTTACATTTCAAAATTTAAAATTTTGAATCTTGGCAATGGGAAAGGACAACTACCATAAACTTGAGTTTGAGCAATGGATCCATATGATCACCTAGAGGGAATGTGAAGGGAAGACCACTGAGTCATACATTCTATCTCTCTTCTATCTCCTCCTACCTTCATTCCTATGTTTAGTCCCTCAATGCTAAAAATAAATAAATAAAATGAAGAGAATAACAAATTAGATGAAAATCATGCTATGTGTGAGACAGAAAGAGGAGAAGAAAAGGAGGCAAGTATGCAATCTTCAATTCACAAGAACAAAGATTGAGAGTAGGGGATAGAGGTTATTCATAAAGGATATGTAGGTATTTGAAACCAAGATAGATTATTTTTTGATGGAGAAATGTTAAGTTTGCTAGCTAAGTGAAGTGGAACCTAGATAGGCATCCGAAGAGTATATGGCATGCGAATTTGAAACATAGAAAGATATATTGTTCTGAACATCATTAGTTTGCTCAAGCATGGAGGCATGACTTATTGTTAGTACTAAATAAATTCTTAAGTGTGTTACTAAGGGACTAGTAATGAGGTAAGACGAGGGGTGTCACGAAGTGACATCTGCATGTATGATAATTCATGCATATTTTTCATAATTAGTATTTAAAGATTATAAGAAGAGCACGTGTTTATAATATAGTTACATTTGTGTGATTCCAAGGCATTTGTAGGAATACATGCTTAATTCTACAATTTCTACATATTTTATAGTAGGCATATTTTGTTGAATTGCTTCTATTCAAATATTATTCTCAACCTTCTGATGAAGATATATATATATATATATATGTAAATATATTTAATAATTTATTTTGACATTTTAATCACTATCAAATAAGTATTTCTAGTTTTTTCCATATGTTATTGTGCTTTAAGTAAGGCATAATTTTTCTTAGTATTAATCATCTAAGTCCAATTTTGACTCACCCTTATAGGTGAGTCAATTTATACCCAAGAGGCATCCACTCTCCTATAAGTGAATCGATACATTGGATAATATGATACTACAGTTTCTTATCGACTCACCTTCATAAGTGAGTTGATATTGACTCCCACTTGACTCACTTAAACATGTGAGTTGATACTTGAGTTGATATAAAACTCATTAAAAATCGACACTGTTACAAATGAGTTGATATGTGTGGGATATGGACAGCTGCTTTTTATGAAGAACTAAATAGTAAATCAACCTAAACTCAACTTGAATGAATCATTGATTACTCTTGGTTAAGTTGGTCCAACTAGAGCATTGAAGCAAAAGAATATAACTTTGATGAAGAAAAAAAAGGCATGAGAATGTGGAATGATACAAAAGGCTGGAGACGAGGAAGGTGGCCAATAATGTAGATCAACATCGATGGGGTAGGGAGGGGGAGTTGTACAAGAAGGAAGGAAGGAAGGATTGTTTGCTATCTCTCTCTCTATAGGCTCTATATCTCTTTGCTTCTTTAACCTCTTTGGAGTGTCCAAGTAAAATGAGGGCAATTTAATGGTAACCTTGTTCCGAGCATTCAATTATTATCTTTTATAGACATTAAGCAACAATTGGAAGCTCAAAAGAAAATCCTTCATCAATTGAAACAGAACCTCCTCTTAGCACAAGCACAAATGATCATTTATGTAGACTACAAACATCGAAAAGTTATGTTCAAAATGGATAACTATGTCCACCTCAAAATGCAGTCTTACATTCTGTTCCTTAATTTGAAGGTGCTACTAATACCTCTCAAATTCGCCATGTCTTCCATGTTTTGCAACTAAAATGAGTCATGGGAGTCAACAAAGCTTACCAACCATTACTTCCCATCCTAGATGAGGAGCTCAATTGGGCTGTTAGTCCTCAAGAGCCTAGTGACTTGTTACTTCCCACAAGGCATTGAACTACTTGTTTAGTGGCATGATTCAAATATGCCCCTAATGAGCCTAATCTACTCTTGGCATAGGAAAGGGGGCCCATCAATCTTCTTAGCCCATCTCGATAATAAAAGATCAAAGTGCCCCAATTGGGCTGAGGAGAGCGCGGTCTCAACAAACCCGGCCCAATTTAGTGTTACAGTCCAAAAGCCTGAGCAAAGCACAAGACGATGGGATGCGAGAACTTGCAGTGGATCATGTAAAGGGAGAAGGAACAGCCTCAAGAGAGAGAGAAAAATCATGTAAGGAAACTATTTTGGGAGCTAGAGACTCGCCATCTCGTATCGGCAACCCCAAGACCAACGGTCTTAGTTTGTATTTTTTTGGTCTTTATTGAGTTCATCTTCATCCTCTCACTCCTTTCCATCTCTCTCTGCCCATTTTCTCCCCTTGTATACCCACTTCCGGTCCACGTGAGCTGACTTCACGACAGATTCAGTCAGCGAGACATTCAGTTGGGTCTTGTGCATGCAGTCAACAAGCCAGATCCTTGACCGTGTCAACGAGAGCCCATCAGAGTCATTGGAGAGAAAGGTAAATGAGTCTTATGACGTTAAGGAGGTCAAAGGTGTTAGGGTTACAACAGTGTAACAAGGGGGGTATCAAGACATTCTAGGGCAGCTACAACTGATGGAGCGAGTAGGGGAACCCTAGAACGCCCCCACCAACTCTAAGGTCCTTCAGGGCCCAATGACATTTCCTACTGTTAATTTTCAATTTCCCCTTTTCTATTTCCATATTTCTGCTGTCCTCTCCTGCCCAAATTCAGGGTCCTAACGCTCGAAAGCACTGGATGGAAAATAGAACAAGATGAGAGATCATTGATGCCCAAAAGATAAGGAATTTAGACCTAGTTGAGGTTTACTTGAGGCATTAGAGAGGAAACGAGAAAAAATCACCCAAAAAAAAATCAATTTACAGGCCTTTAAAGCACTGGATAGAAGATAGAACAAAATGAGAAAACCTTAGTACATGAAAAAAAAGAGGAATTTAGACCTAATTGGGGTTCTTCAGAAGAATTAGAGAGGAAACGAGAGCAATCAACCAAAAAAAAAAAAATCTCAATTTACAGGTCTCTAAAGCACTGGATGGAAGATAGAACAAGATAAGAAGGCCTTTATACAGCAAAGAAGAAGAAGAAGAAATTAGACCTAATTGAGGGATGGGCAGCAGAGGAAGGGAACCCACTGGGGCCTCCCCTTAATCCTCCTCCTGTCATTCTGGTTGCTGGGAAGCCTCGCCGGAGAATTCCACTCCTTCTGGGCTTCTCTTTTGGCAAAACCCTTGTTCAGCTGCTTAGAAGCTCTGGCTGCTTCCTCTGGTGGGGCCCAGCTTCCACTGGTTGCCTGAGGCGGCTTGGTCAGAGGGTTTAGGGTTTCCTGCTTGCTCTCATTGTTCGCTTCCATTAGGAGGGATTTCAGAGGGGTGTGCAGCTTCCCGGAGCTCCAGCTCTCCAACTTGGGGAGAATCTCTCCCTTCTGCCTTTCTGGGAACGAATGCCGTGCCTGTGTTGACGACTGCTGGGGGTCAACTGGGCTAATATCGGAAAGGGTCTCTGAGATTTCTGAGAAATGGTCAACGGAGGCGGCCCGCTTTGCTAAATTGGGCTCTTGTAATCCTCGTGATCGTTGAATTTTGAGATCAGCCACAGCCATGGCGTCAAGATCCTGCAGGGGTTGTTCCATTGGATCTCTGGTAGAGAGGGCTGTGTCCCGTTTACCAAGGAAGAAACAAAGGAAATTTGCTTAGTAAAGATGGGAACAGATTAATAAATCATGAGAAAGGAGACCCAAGTCATAAATTTCTGCTGAAGAACCAACTCAAGAGTATTGTCATGGTAAGTAATTATATAAATAGGAAAAGGATAAGAATTTGAAAGCCGCATCCTCATAAGAAACTGGAGCACGTTACTCCCACAGCGAAGTAATGCAAATGCGGCAAGCAGGACGATTAAACAGGTCGTCAAATTGTTTAGATTCAATGAGGTTGAAGAAGTGGCTAGTGTTTTGATGTCTCCTTTCCAAATGAGGCAAGCAGGACGATTAAACAGGGCCACAGGAACTTCTGTTCATTGAATCATAATAACGTAGAATAAGAAGTAGGAGCTACAGAATCAGGTTAATTCATCCTAAGATGGTGCCCTTCTATCCCCACCTCCTTTACATCTATTTCAGGTTTCACAGCATGATTTGATAGTCCCAAGCAGATCTGGCGTCCATGCATCCAACCAGAGGTACATATAGCAGAGTGAAACCAATCCCATTTTGGTCATATCTTCAAATCTATCATCACTAGTGCGTGATCAGTTCCCAATGCAACTTTTATTACATAACACATGATTTTTTATTATTTATCAGGTTAATCGCTATATGTAATGAGAATTACATCTATCAATGCTCTCCTAGTCGTCTACCTTGTTGACCTTTTGGCTCAATAAATTGGTTTCCTGTGCCATGTAGGAGGCCGCATCATCCCCTGATGTCAGCATTACATTGGTCGAGGGGTCACAAAAGCTTTAGTTGATCTCCCAGCAGAAGTGCAAGTTGGGATCAGCAAGACTTAGCATTCTCCATCGTGATGACTACACCAGAGATAAACATCAAAAGGTTTACTTTTGGGATGAAATTTCCCCCCGTCTTGATCTCCAGCTTTATTCAATTTTCTTCCTCCAATTCATTGTGCATCCATGGCCATGGCTTAGTATCACGGAGTTCTGAGGGTGGATAGGAAATTGACTAGTTCTGGTAACTGTGCTGTCGAGGTTGCCACACTTCTGCCCAATCTGGAGATTAGAAGACCACTACTGCCTATATTACCATATCTATCTCCACTACCAGAACACCTCCATTTTAACTAGTTTTTTTGTCCAGAACTCGCCATATCAATCTCCAACCTTGAAACTTGACAAGAAACAGAGATGATTCGTGCATCATTCATTCAGTTGACTTTCTATTCGCCTCAATCTAGTAACCTTTTGTGCTTCGTATCCTTTCCGATTAACCTTACTAATCATTTTAGCATGCACATTATCTGTTTCCGGGCATCTTATCTTTTGCCCATTTTTGCAGTGCCAAACTCTACCTTAAATGAAATAAAATTAGTAAGAAGGCATGAAAGGGATGGGCACCCACTGCAAAATGGGAGAGTGCGCACAGAGGAATTGAGTGGAACGGGTGAAAATTGAAGTTTACAACAAAGCTCTTCTCTTTATACATCTTTGAAGATTGACAGGCCATTTGGGCTGTGGAATTCGTAAAAGAGAACTAGGACAGCGAAGGTAGCAAATGAAAGGTTCATCCTGATCTTCAATGCACAATATCCTCAAAGAGGCGGGACTCGTGCTCATATAGTTATGCCTTTTGTCTCTAGCATGATCACTTGATGAAATGTGGAGGAAGGTGGGATAAATGGCCGATACTACTGGAAGGATTCCTCTTTGGCTGATAGGTTGATAATTGATATCCCTGAGATTTTGTGAACATCAAGGATGTTTGGTCAATCTTACAGAGCACAATTTGCTCTATTATGCTACATTTCAATGAGGAAAGACAGAACTTTCCCTTAGTGAAATTAAGCAAGAAGATAAATGCACTAAGAAAAAAAATCGTATGGAGAAGAGTCATAAGAACGAATGTCAGAACTTTCCCTCACAAGTGGGATCGCCAGGGTTCCCAACGTGTGAGAAAGCCGGTTAAGTTTCAAAAAAAAAAATCGACAGATGTAGGCTAAGTGGACAGAACAAAAAATCTATAGAGTATGACCTTGCATGATCGATAGAAGATTCATGGAAATGAATACTAAAATCTCTTAATCGAGAAAGAGATGGATGACCCTGCATGTTCGAAGAATAAACGTGGGATATGGTGCTCATAATTATGATTGGAACCATTAGGTCGACAGTATTACCATAACAATGTAAGATTGCTTGGAGTTGATTGGCGTGGTGGAGAAATGCTATTGTGTACATCCACGTGAACAGGGAAGAAAGTGGTCCATTAACCGGTTTCCTCGAACAGTATCATCGGCATAACTTCTAATCTACTTACCTCCTGGATGGGACAAAAATTTCATCGTTAGTGGGTGTTATATTAATTGATCATACCTTCAGGGGCCCTTCAACCCATGTCCGGAAATGATCTATTCATATATACATATTTCAAAGGAGGATTTTCCCCACCACCTAAAAACAGAGTCCTGCTCTCCTGTTTACCTTATTTTATACCACATTTACGTTCAACACACCCATAAAATATTTTCTGAAGTGTACCCAAAGCTTTTGATTTCATAAGTGCAGCTTTTGCTGACACAACAGTTTTCAAGGTTCTCATAGAGGAGCTTCATGCGTGCACAGCTTCCACTGGATATATTTTTGAAAGAAGCTTTGAATGCATAAAGTCAAACATACATTCACAACATAAGTGAATTGAGTTTAATCGATATATGCAAAACCTTATACGAGAAGGAAAGCAAGGAGGAAGATATTCGGACCTGAAACCGAGACCAAATGGGCTTCAATAATATCTGTTCGGTGAAGAGTGTCCATGAGAGTATTTTGAAGCGAGAAAGATTCAGCCTTGTCCTCTTTTTTTGGAATGAAGTGGCCTGCTCTGTCTTCAGACCGATGACCAAAGCTGGAAACAATTTCTTCATTTCCTCGTCTTGGTTCCTCTGATGACACAGAGTTACGAGTCCCAGATGACAAGGCTGTCAGGGTAACGTTGTCTGCTGTTCCAAGAGTTTCCACAAACCTGTCACTCAATCGCAGATCATTATTCTGATGTAGTCCACCATATCCATATTCCTGAGAAACAACGATGGGTGCTTCACTGGGGAGAATTTGACGATGTAGACTGGTAGGTTCTGTCACAGTTTCACGAAGATGTCTTACACTCACAGAATCAAAGCGAGATTGTTGCATTTCCTCGGTGATGTCACTTTTGGACAGAGTATGAACTCCTGTAATTGACAGACTACCTTCGTCTTCTTCTTCTTGATTGGTGTCTACTCCTGCATTATCATCAATCCAAGCCTCCAGACTAATAAAATTACGTACCTCACTTCCCATGTTCACAGGTGAAGAGGTTTGAGAACTACCATTGAGCATGCTGACAGATCCAGTCAATGACTGGTTCCTTTCGACTTGACACTCTTCACCATCCTGAGAACAGGGGGATTTTAAGTGAAAATGATCAGTTGTAAATTCGGGGTCGATCATCTTATCTGACTGCTTTAAAATAGACTCTTTGTCTGATTCTTGATGATAGCTTGCACCATCCTGGTCATTCCCAGAGTTTTCTACATCAACATGGCCGTCATTTTTATCTCCCTTAGCCTGGATGAGGAATTTAAAGACACTGTAAGTACTGCCCTCTTCTGAAGTTAACTCATCTGATAAATCATGGGAAGCTTCTCCATCTGCAGGATTGTCTTCATCTGCGATGTTCTTGTTTTCATCTGCTTCATTTTCTATGGTTCTACTTCCTTCATTCTCAAGCTCAGCGTAGTCCCCATCAGCCTGCCCGCAACTAATAAAGGGAACCAAATTTTGAACTGCTTCATTTAATGTATTCCCCAGTTTTAGTTCTTCTAGGCCTGGATCCGCTGGCCTAAACTCCACACAAGTAACCGCTGTCTCAAGCGTTGTGTCAGCTTCTGGAAGTCCTTGGTCCTTGGAGGCTTCATGGTTAACCTTCCCTGATACAGACAACACGCTTTCTGATTGGATAGCTCCAGTATGAACATCTTTAAGATGATCTCCAGCCGTGAAGCTTGTTTTCTCATCAACAGGCATCCCGAAGAAGGATTTGATCTCCTCATGAGATGAGAAATGTTCGCGGCTGATATCAGAAATGGCATCCTGGCACAAATCCTGAAGCAATTGAAAGACAGGGAGGCTATGATCCTCTGAATTTTCCTCCAAGATAGTTTTTTCCCACGGTACTTCCTCTAAACATGGTTCAGTTTCAAACAAAGATTCATCTAGCAAATTTTCGACGACCTTACTAGACATTCCATTTACAGAACGATCCAGAGGGTTGATGACTAAAGTAGAAGTAGATTCAACATCTTTGTCCAATTCTTGCACAACAGTAGCTTCTGAATTTGGTTCCTCTAGGGTCATGGGAGTATCAGTTCCTTGGTTGCCTATCTCCTCTCCGCAGATGTTGCTGAGTTGCGGCTGAACCTCTATCCCAGAAGAACTATTGCGGTCCAATGACCTCAATTCCGCATGAATGAGATCATTCCCTTTGCCAGTTCCATCAAGAAATGATTCCAGACGAAAATTATATTCTTCCCAAGGTCTTTCCACTGCAGCTGATTTGGTTTCAACCAAAGCTTCGTCCGGTACATTATTTTCTGCATTAGCACCCATTTCATTTTCAGAGAAGCTTACAGGAACTATTGAGTTCGAACCAAGTCTAGAATTCTTTCCATCAATATCTGATTCCTCTGCATGAGTAGATTCTAAGCTGACGGTCTTCAAATTCATGGAGATGTCAATTATTGGAGCAGTCTCCTGTCTGCAGGTGTCGCTGGTAGGGTTTGAAAGGACCCCGATCTCAGAAGAATTATTCCTCTTGAACAATCTCGTTTCTGTATCCATGGCATAAACACCTTGAGCTTCGATGGAAGGTGACTCCAGATTAAAATTACTCCCTACGCGGAGTCTCTCCTCCACAGCGAGTTCAATCTCAGCCAGAAATTCATTCAGTACATTCTCGTCTTCCTCAGCACTCGTTTCATTCACATAAGTGTCCAGAGGGGGCGCTGCAGGTGAAAGAGAAGAAGCATCTCCTCCATTATCACCGATCTCCGCAAATAATCTCGTTCCCTGAACATTTGAAGCAAGGGTACCTGTGGTAGGAGGTTCATCAAGCTTCTTACTATGTTCTACCACATCTACTCCACGTATTTCTTTTCCATGTGCAACATCAGGAAACTCGAAGGTCTTATCTGCAATGAACGAAGACGAATCTTAACACATTGCGAATAAATGTAAGTCCGGATCAGTGAAGTGATTTGGAAGACTAATTCCACAGTACAATGGGCAACAGAAATGGAATGCGAATTCGAGCGGAAATAGGAACTTCTATGGTGCAGGATAATCTATCTGGTGCGGGAATCTAATGGCATTAATAGAATGACAGTCGAGGCATCAATCCAACACATTCAAGAAACCTTAAGAAAAGCGACCTAGACCCGACTGATTTCCAGGGAAGATCTCCGTCGATCTTCTAGCGTTCAGCACCAACAAGCCACAGAAGAGTTTCTCTTCTAAGTGAGAGGGAGATATTACCAGCATATGGATCCACAGGGTTCCCCGAAAGGATCTCAACCAGAGCTTCAACTCCATAGACGCCTACGGGCCCTGATCTCTTCCTCCCTTCTCCAGTCTCACAACTGGTTTCCACAGTACCTACTTGCAGAAACAAAATCCGGTCTCACTTTTCAAAGGCAAAGGAACAGACGCAGGGAGGGGGCGGCGGCGACGGTGGGGGAGCAGTGAAGAGAGAGAGAGAGAGAGAGAGAGAGAGAGAGAGGGAGGGAGGGAAGCATAATAGAAGTACAGTGAATCTGATGCTTACATCCGGCGGAAGTAATCAAAGATTTCTTCCGATCGAGATCCACCTCGGAAATCTTCCCAGAGTGAGGATCAGGGGGAGCGGCGGTGGCGCCGGCATTGGCGTCGTTCTCCTCCCCGTCGCTGCGACCGCCGTCTTCGTGGTGGGAGGGGATCAGAGGGAAGCCATCGATCTTGCCACAGTGCCTCCGGTGTGCTCGCCGCTGCCTGGCGCTCGGGTGGCTGTTGGGGAACCTCCACCTGCAGCTGTGGCAAACATGGAGACCACCATGGTCCTGGGGGCTCCCAGGGCCTTGCCCATCGGCCAAGGACGCAGAGCCCATTTTCAGCAAGAAGAGGAAGATGGCGACTGCGACGATGATGATGGAGATTGAACGCTAGCCAGAGCGATGGATTCCATCCAGACCTGGGAAATAGAGCTTCCTCCTGCCTTCCACCTGCATTGCCGGCTACTTCACCGCTCTCAGTCCTCTCTGTGTCAGCTCCCTGCTGCCGTAGCACGCAGAGTAGAGTGATGGCGGTGTAGAGAGAGGAGAGAGAGACGGATGGATGCCATGACGGTAGAAAAAACGGCGGGAGCGGAAGGGTAGATGCAGCCAAAAAGCCCGCCTTTGGAGGAGATGTTTAATATTTTTTAAGATTTGTCCCTTATAAATTATTTATACTCGGTTGTACTTATAAAAGTAAAATAACTGTAAACCAATCCCAACAGCGCTTGTCTTACTGCAGCTAACTTCATGATATTTTCCTCGATTAGAAAGTTAATGGCATAATCAACTAATAAGACTTTTTAGTTTACACGATCACCGAGCCAATATTAGGTTACTACCCCCAAAGGATTGTTTTTTAATTACAAACATTATAGGGGGGATATGAAAGTTTTTTCTCATTTTTTAGGCTCCTCCATCCTCATGCCTTAAATGCAACACTGACCAAAGAAGACAGCCGTCGCCTGACTCCCTCCCCTCTCTCTCTCTCTCTCTCTATCTATATATATATATATATGTCTCTATGTATCTAGGTGGACTGACATATGATTGGTTCTGGCGGACCATTACTCGGCAGCAAAATCAGCGGAGTATCCTCGCCGAGTTAAGAGGGGGCGGCGCCGCTGGTGCATTCCGGCGAGGGGAACCGCAGCCCGCCGGTGCCCCAGTGAAGGGCTCCCGCCGGCACGAAGAAGAAAACGGCAAGCAAGCTGCCTCCTCTCGCCTCGGGGGCACGGCGGCGCGGTGGCACACGGCGGCACGGTGGTGCAGCGGCAAGCAGGGGGAAAAGGAGAGGGTGAGAGCCGTACTGGAGCCGCTAGTGTGGGGATTGCGACAAGTGAGGAGTGGTAGCAGGGGGCACGGGCGGCCGTTATCGGGGTTGGAAGACAGAAAACTGTCCACAGGTGGACAGCGTCATTCTCCGCTCACGTGTTTTCCTCACATCATTTGGATGTTTCTCTCTCTCTCTCTCTCAACCGGCGACGAGTCGGGGCAGCGTGTTGTGATTGAACGGTGGAAAACCTAACTATCCGTTCTGGGTTCGGGCGAGGGACAATTAGGCTTCTAAATTAATCCAAACACATTAGTGATTATTTTTATTTAGAAAATAGAACAAATTTACATCAATATGAAATCTAGAGAAATCATACGTAGATCTTCTACGTTGTAATTTAATCATTAAAATATATAACTATATTATACAAAATATGAAATTATATTATGATGTAACAAGAGTTGAGGATATTAGAAAACTTGAGCCTTGAAATCACAAGTTCTTGTGCACCTAAATATTTAGGATTTAGAAATCAGGCCATGAATTCACAAAATTTAGAATCCATAAAAATATTCAATTGAATCTAGAAAGTCACTAGCAAAAAGACACCACAATGAAGTAAAAAAATTCATAATAACCCAGATATTTTAATGCGTATGGTGAGGTGATTTTTAAATTACCTTGATAATCAGTTATTATTCACCTAAAAAATAAATCATTTTTTATACAAATTAAACTACTTAAAAATAGGATAATCACTATAACTAAGACGTTTTTATGACTCAAAAATAGGAAAATGACTAAAAAAGACACCTTGATGAAGGAAAAAAATCATAATAACTATTATGTTTTTATGGTTACAGTGATGTGGTTTTAAAGCAGTTTGATAACCAGTTATTATGGAACTAAAAATTCAATCAATTTATATAAGGAATTAAACTACTTAAAAATCGGATAATGACGAAAATGAAGATGTTTTTATGAGTAAAAAATAGGATAATGATTAGAAAAGACACCTCAATGAAGTAAAAAGATTAATAATAACCAAGATGTGTTTAATGGGTATAGTGAAGTGATTTTTAAATAATTTGATTTTCAGTTATAGTGGACCTAAAAATTAAATAATTTATATAAAAAATTAAACTACTTAAAAATAGGATAATGATGAAAACTAAGACTCACATGGATTATTCACCCCTCTTTGTTTGAACTTGGTATAACTTTGGGTCTTTTAAGGTCTTTTCATCATTGTAGCTCCCAATTCTCATTTTTACGATGCTTAACCCACCCATTTTAGGCTTGTTTAAATGTTTCGCATGAATTTTTACATCATATTAGCATTTAATAATGATGAGATTAAGCTCATTTTTTCATTTGAGCTGGGATCTCACTAAGATGCTCTTACAACCATGAAAAAAGTCATTCTATGCATTCCTGTTATTGTCACACATGTTTCTCCCAAAGTTACACCCACATCTCTCTCTCTCTCATCACTGTTTCCTATCTGAAGGGACAGGAGGCGAGAACCCTCCTTAAGCCCTGCCCTCCTCTCTCGCGCCCTCGATCTCCTCATCTCAGGGGAAGATGTTCTTCCTCAACGATGAAGGGAAGCCCAACTGGACCACCATGAAGCCGCTCTCTCTCCTGGATAGCCTTGAGAGCCACTGCTCGGCTCTGACGAGCAACGTCTCGGCCGCCCTTGCTGGCCCCGCCGGCGCCGCTGCTTCCCTCAACTCCTGGGTCAGCTCTGCCGTGCACTGCCTCAGCAATCCGGGGAAGGAGACTCTATTGGCCGGTATATCCCGCTTTGCGGCCGCTGTTCCGTCTGCGTCCTCTCCTTCTTCGTTGTCATTGGGAAGGAGAAGCCCTGCGTGGGCGCGCATCCCGCGGTATGGGACTGGCGGCTGGGGAGGAGTCCCAGAAGGTCAGCACCGTTTTGACCTGGCCATGTCCACCGAGGCCATGGAGGAACGCCTGGCGGGGATCCCAGTTTATGCCCTCAGCAACTCGGCCGAGGAGTTTGTTCTTGTGTCTGGAGTTAAGTCTGGGAAGTCCTTGGGTATCTTCTGCCTCAAAGAGGAGGACGCAGAGACCCTCCTGGAGCAGATGAAGAGCATGAACCCTGGAATGCGAGAGGGCTCTAAAGTCGTTGCCGTTGCTCTGAATAAGGCAAGGGAGACAACGTTTGTGGGCATCTAGTTTATGCTTTGGCTTATGAGATTCATTTTTCTTCTTACGGATGAGAGATTACGAGCTTTTTTTTTAAATCAAGGATTTTGGATGTTTTTGTCCTCTTTGGGGAAATGCTTCGAGCGCACAGTTAATCCAATTTTGTCTCCAATTTATGGATGTTCATGCCTACTTCAATCATCAGATGAAACTGCCATCTTTCTTTTCTATTCCTTTTCTTATAGTTTTAAATCTTTGTGATGCTCTTATTACTGTCTTTTACGGTGAACACCAACCTAGAATTCCTACGAAGGTTTTCTCTGTCAACACGAGGATTGACTTATTGTCTCCCTTTAGGAAGCAAATGGATGGGAGACTGACTATACATGAAGAAGTCGCCTTTAGAGTGAAATCTTGAAGGTCTTCTTGATATCTTAGTGCTAAAGTTATCTACTGAGAAGTAGAAGTAGGCAGCTAGTCATAGAATAGTGCATATTTATCGACCCCTTGGCTCAGTCAAGAGGGTCTTTCATATTTTTAAAAAAATGGAGCCTCCAGAAGTATAGTTAAGAATTCTTTCATAGTCAAATGAAAATGCATCGATTCAATGCACCTCCATTGTTATCTAATGTGACATGTTTGTCTTTGTTTTTCTTGCTTTATCTGACTATGAAGATGACGTGAGTATTTTTAAGGTTAATTATAATTGAGAAAGGCCTGTTAGAAAGAAATCTTACTTCCTCAAGATGAATATTTTGTCGATCATCTTAGTTTTCCATTATTTTCATCTCTATTATGTTTAATTTATAGCACTAACCTCAAAAAAATGACAGGTTTTCCAGCTGAAGGTTGACGGGGTTGCCTTTAGGCTCATCCCAGATTCAAGTCAAATAATGAACGCGATCAAGGTTAGGGATCTCCTCATTTCAGAGTATTTAAACAGTTTGTGTCCGGAGGATGCATTTGTAAGATCATGTGAACTATTTATTCTCTACGTTGTAGGATGAGTGTCAGGAAGACAACATGCCTTTTTTCTATGGCTTCCTGGTCTTAGTTTTCCAAGAATCATCGAAAGGTCTTGTTAATTATTTTTGTAACAAGATGATGGGGCCTGCAGAACACAGTAGGAACTGGCCTCTTGTGTAGATAAGTAAATACTTGGTATAGTGAGTGAAGTTATGGATTGAACCAGTTAGTCCTGAATGTTGTATGAGTGAGGAAATTTCTGTTTCATTGAATGAAGTGTGTTAGATAGTCGAAAATAGCAGGGTTCCCCAAAAGTTCAGGCTCTCGACGAATGTCATGATGATTGGGCGCGACCACAGATCGGAGGATGTGGAGATCTTTCTGTGGATGGTATCCGGGTGTGGTGAGTGTCACAGTCTGGGGGATTGTATGTACGGAAGCCTGGCCAGAATGTAGATGCATGAGACCCAGGGAAAGGGAAAAAATGGCTAAGGGAGAAGGAGAGGGTCTGGATTATATGACTACGTCCCCACGCTGTATCCTTGATGTGTTGCTAAAAAAATCCATTACTTATCATCGGGGAAGAAATCAGGGATCATGCAAGAACAGGAGCTGTACACCAAAACTTCAACATTAGCCATAATCAATGCTTTACTCCAAAAATTTAGCATCCTTACCTTCTTTCCCATTCCCTTGAAAGACAAGTGTCTGGTTTTTGTCTGCTACCATCGCAGGATCTGTTCCATCATGATCATTTTGAGGGTTGATTTCTAACACAGGCTGCTTTGGTCAATTTATAATGCTATTCTAATTATAGATCCTATATCAGGAAGAGATGTCTGTTTCAAGGCGTACGAGTTTATTTTCCTTGTTTAAATTTGGAAATGGCTATGAAGTAGGCTATTTGCAAACATTATTAGCTTTTGGCTTAAACATGGCATTGACAATAATTAGTGTGAAGTGGGCCAATGAGGGCAGCTGGTGGAAATTGGGATTGATTCATCTGCATCTATATCGTGTTCCTCCTTTTGAGATATTTTCGTGTCTTCGTCATACCCTTGGGTTTGTGGATGTATGTGGATACAAGAGGGACGGCAACTTAGAGCTGGTCACCATGTCAACTAGAGTGCCTAAATTTGTTGACAGGTATTAAAAAGTTTTTAACCATCTCTTAAAAAATATTAGGAGTTGAACTAAACTAATTTATTGCATGATAACTAAGCTCAAGCTTTAGCTTGCTCAGACGTTCAAATATCTTTTGAATTTGTCTTGAGGGCAGATGGACTACTAAGATATTTTTTGATGATTCAATGGGAGCCCTTTCTTTCATTTTCCTGATAAAATGCTGCTTGTTTTCTTCATGTAAATGAAGGGGGAAGAGTTCCAATGTGAACTCTTCCAGATTTCTTTGTTAGAATTTAATCAAAATTTTGGGGTGGGCAGAAACATCTTGTGGCCATAGTTTTATCTGGAATTACAATAATGTTTTAGTAGCTCTACTTGTTCTCTGTGCCAGATGTCTGATCTTTGCCATGCTTATTACAGCTTCTCCTGTGATATATGTTCTGCTGTTCATTTTGCAGGTGAAGGAGCAAGTTGGAAATGTTGTTGATGCATTCTCTGGCGTACCAGTTTTCCAGGTGCTATTTAGTTCTCCTTAATCTTCGTTTGACGAGTTTTTATAGCAACTTGATCTTGGACGCAGCTATTATATGGCCATCGGATGGCATATCACTGTGTTTGTGTTCATGCCATAATTTGGCTTCTTGCCCATTGGCTTGATGTTTGCGTTGGGTATGATTATTTTCTTAACATTCAGCAGTTTCTTCAGTACTTTGATTTGATTTTATGAGTTGTAAATTTAAAATGCACTGCCATTTAGGGGTGCTGTTGCTTAGACGCCCTCCTTTTCTCAGACTCCGGCAGGTTTTCCTTGTGAGTTCTTGATCATCTTCATTGGAGATGCACATTAGCTGGTTGTGCGCCCAGGATCCATCTGATCTGGATAGAGAAGGGTTCAGTCAAATTGGCGCAATGCAAGGAAAGATACGGATTTGTTTAAGAAGGAAAAAAATGATGGGTTTTATCATAATTTTGATGTGTACATAATTCTTTTTAATTGAACAACCTGGGTTTTTTTTGTCAACTTGCATACAAACAGTCACCACCCTCCCTTCTCTCTCCACTTGGTAGGAGTTAGGAGTGGGGAATGGCAGTTATGCTCTCCTTACCCGTTTTGAAAATGGATTATCATGTGGAATAATCAGAAGGATATAAAAGCATTAAAATCACCCAAAGTACAAATCTTTAACTGGTGTGCCCCTGAATTTATGCCTAACATTCATTATAACTGAAATTGTGCTGATTTTTCTCTCTTTCATATAAAAAAATCTTTGCTTCACTTGGGACACAATTTTTGCGCAAGACTGTGTTTGGATTGTGGACATCCAAATCTTTTCTCATTCTTTTGTCATGTGTCATCTGTTTCAGTCGAAGAGTTTGGTCTTGAAGAGCCAGAACAAGAGATATCGTCCAGTATTCTTCAGAAAGGTCAGGCTTTTTCTTCTATCCGAATGATCTACTCCCTAGCTGAACCTAGCTCTGTCTTCTCCAGGAGGACTTGGAGGAGTCACTTCTGAGGGCGTCTCAACAGCAGAGCCACCTGAATCCTTCCCTGAGGAAGGGAGACATCCAAGTACAGTACCCCACCTCTGCTCTCTGATGATTCAACCTGGGTTCTCCAGTTTTTTTCACTTTTCTTCTGTAATGATATCTTTTTCTTGGACAAGTCCACGTGGGTTTTCCAAATTTGTCACTTTTTTCTATAAATTTCCCAGGTATCTGTTCTTGAGGACATGATCACCTCCATGAAGGTATGAAAACATGCCCGATGCCATTATATAGCATCAATTCATCCGCCACCACTTGTTTACTGAAGAGGTTCACTTCAATGGCTGTTGTGCAATCTTGCAGGCAGGCTCTACTTCGCAGTGGGATGATGTCGTCTTCATTCCCCCAGGCTTCAATGTCGGGGTTGGGCCACAGGAGCGAGAACGGCCAGTGGCAGTTGCATAGGTGCTGACTGGATCGGTCTCTTTTTTTTTTTCCGGTCAAATTGGTAATAGTAATAATAATAATATAATAAATAATATTATTTTAATAGCTTTAGGATGTCTAGGGGTGCTGAGTAGGGTGAAGCCCGGTTTTGTGGTGTTTGTTTAGCGTAAAAATAGAAAACTGCCATCTCGTCTTCTCAACAAAGTTTTCTAGAGTTGCTGAATCAAAGAAAAAAGTGGGGGATTAGAAAATCTGTTTTTAAAAAATGTGAAATGGTTTGTCAGCAAACGAGGATGAATTCAAGAAACCTGTGACCAATAGCAAGGCACACTGAGTTCAAGGACTGTATAACTGACTAAAGCAAGTTTAACAAGCAACTTTAGTGGATTAAAAAAACTATAAAACTGGGTACAGACCTTTGTGATATATTCAAAAATCAGGAAACAATGATTTTCAAGTAAATTGTGAGAAACTTAGTACTGTCAAAAACTAGCTTTTAATAGTGATAAATTCAGAAGTTTGAAAGCTGGGTTCTCAATAAATTTTGCTGAATTGAAAAAAAAATGTAGTACTGAAATTTCCGTCCTGTAATGAGTTCAGAAGTTTGAAAAAAATAGTTTTCAGTACATCTTGATCAATTCAGATGTCTTCTGAAATCGTTTTTTTCAGTTAGCTCTATTCATTTTGAGAGATATATAAAACTGATCTTTCAGGTCACAGAGACAACTCCGGAGAACAATAATGGATTCAGAAATCTGTAAACCTGACTTTTCAATATACTGTGATCAAATCAGGAATATGTTCAACTTATCATTTACCGTGTGATGCAAACCAAACAAGAATAAACGGTGGGAAAGAATTCTCTCATATCAATTCATGGAACATTTTCTAGTTATAATTTTTTTTCACAGTGTGTGATAAATTAGTCAAAAACGATTCTTTAGTGTGTTGTAATAAATCCAAAATTGTGAAAACTGATTTTCATAAAATTGTGAAAATTTCAGGAGCCTAAAAATAAGTTTTTCGGCAAAATGTCGTAAATCAAAGAATCTAAAGCATTTTTATTTTTTTTTACTGAGCCACAAGTTTAGCAATCTGAAAAACTGACTTTTCAACCATCTGTTTAAGTTTGAGAATTCAGAAATCTGTCCGAGTCTTTTTACTTCAGAATAGCAATGCTGTCACTCTGTCCTTCCACGTTTTATTGCCATTAATGTTGATTTCAACACTTGAAATTATTTAAATTTAGACACAAAAGATGGCCAGTTCCCCAAGGAGTCGGTCCATCTCTAAGATTTGGTCAGAAACCTCACTGCCCAAGAGATATACTGGCATGGGCATGCTGCCTCCTTCATGGACATATATACCAATGCCCTAGGTTGCATCATCATCATCATCATCAATAACCATCGTTTCTTCAGCCTAGGATTTGCCTACCTCAAAGAGTGGCCCATCCCCAGGAACTCCCCAAAATGGTACAGGAATCAAAAGAAACATGGACAATGAACTCAGAAATTGCAAATATAACGCCTCATATCCAATCCAACGGCCTAAAATGGAAACATGGGCAATGAACATTAGCTGCATCCAACGGCCTCAAAAGACTCATTTTTGTTATTTTTTATTTTTTATTTACTTCAACCTCTAACCCTGTCACCCCATATGAGCACAACAAGAGCAAGCATTCTCATTCCACATATGAGGCCAGATCCATGCAAATTGAGACCAATAATCGATGCACAACTGAATCAATCTTACTTCACTCCCCAATTCATGGTACCCATTTGGATCCAGTCTGTTGGCATCGAGTTCTTGATCATTGTCTTCTATTCACTTCTAGCCATGGCAATGCCATTCACTTCTCCTTGCAGAAACTTCACAAGAAGCATGAGACTGGATCTGCAGAAGCATATCGGCCCAGATCAAGTTTCTGCAAGAATTTGGGAGCTTCTGGGCCGGCAAGAAACTTGATTATTTTCTCCTGGATCGAGTTCTTGATTATTTTCTTCTGTTCACTGCTGGCCATGTTGTCAACGCTCATCACCTCTCCTTGCAGACCCAGAATCATCGCAACTCTTTGGGGTTGTATTAAAAGAAGAGTAGAAAAGCAGCTTTCCCTGGAAAGAAACGAATTCATCTTGAAGTACAACAACGTAAAAGCGATTCTTCCTTCGTTTTTTGCATGAATTTGGGAGCTTCTTTCTCTGCATTCTAGCTTCGATGCATGGAGAGTTGCTTCTTTTCCTGTTCTCGCTCATTGGGCCCCCCAGATCGAGGACGAGATGAACAATTAAAGAATTATTAATTCAATAAATTTAGAATTTTCTCTCTTCAAGGGCGGTCGGTCCCACATTACCGCCACCTCTCTGGGTCAACGGTAAGCATTCCGTTTCCCTACGTCTCCTAGATGCGACCCGTCATAGTAGGATCGTATCTTTTGCGCATTTCATTAAGTATTAGAATTATTTTTTATAGATATGTACTCTCGAGGCCATTGATTCAGATGCTAATACGTAATTTTATATTTTCCTGGGTATTTTCTAAAGTAAGCTGAAGTTTCAGGGTTAAAACGCGAATCATCGCGGGAAACAAGAAGCTCGCAGCGTGCGTTGGAAGGCCAGGACATGTTACTCTGACAAAAATAGCTTCTTGGCAACGCTTCCGAGTCAGTTTTGTCTCAAGGTAGCGTACAATTTCGGTGAAAATTGATACGCACAAACACATGGGTGATTCCGTTTTACGGCAAGCCAACCTGAGGCAGACGACGCGCTTTTGCCAGGGAAGCCCCAGCGCTTTCCCACCATTACTCTCTCTCTCTCTCTCTCTCTCTAGCTTTCTCTCTCTATATTTCTCGCTCGCTCTCTCTCTCTCTATCTCTATAGCTTTCTCTCCTCTGCAATCCCTACGCCGCTGGCTCTGCACTTCCTCGTCCGCTGGTGGTATCGCTCTGAGGCGTCTGCATTGTGAGGAGGGGAAGGTGGCGGTGGCGCCGTTCACTGTGGGGACGGCGATGGCAGGGAGGAGGAGGCTGGAAACCCTAGTCCTCTCCGCCATCGCTCTGTGCTTGATTCTCGTCGTGTCGCCCTCTGTCGGAGACACCGACCCTGGCGATGCCGCAGCGATGGCGGCCATCGCGAAGTCGATAACGCCATTGCCTTTGAAATGGAGCACAGACCCAGCGCTAGACCCCTGCGGTGACCGGTGGGAGGGCGTCAGCTGCTTCTCCGGGAAGGTGACCTCCATCGATCTGCAGGGGACCTCGCTGAAGGGAGGGATCGCGCCGGAGGTGGCCAACCTCTCTTCTCTTCAGAGTCTTTCTCTGCAGAGGAACGAGCTTAAGGGAGATCTCCCTTCTCTGGCAGGGCTGGGCTACCTCCGCGAGATCTACCTTGGGAACAATGGATTCCAGTCCATGCCTGCCACCTTCTTCTCCGGCCTGGTCAGCCTGGTGAACGTCTCTCTCGACCACAATCCCTTGGCCCCATGGAGCCTCCCCCTGGACCTCTCTCAGTGCTCCAACCTGGGGTACTTCTCCGCCATGAATGCCAGCATCGTGGGAGGGATCCCAGACATCTTCGATGGCCTCACTAGCTTCAAGGTCCTCAGACTGTCCTACAACTACCTGTCGGGGGTGCTCCCTCCATCTCTCGGATCTCCATCCATCCGCGAGCTCTACATCAACAACCAGCTCACGAACAGCAGTAGCTCGACGGCGGGGAAACTCTGGGGATCCCTCAACGTTCTCGGGTCGATGGTGCAGCTCACGGCGGCGTGGGTCCATGGGAACAGCTTCACAGGGTCGATTCCCGACCTGTCAAAGTGCACCTCCCTAGTCGATCTCCAGCTCAGAGAGAACCAGTTGACCGGGGTTTTGCCATCGTCGCTGGCCTCCTTGCCAAGCCTCAGGAACCTCACCCTCTCCAACAATCTGCTTCAGGGGCCCTTTCCAAGCCTGGGAAAGGATGTTCAGGTGGACGCCCTGACTGGAAACAGTTTCTGCAAGCAGGAACCTGGGCCTTGCGATCAGAGGGTGACGGACCTGCTAAGTGTTGCGGAAGGCTTTGGGTACCCAGTGACCATCGCGAGGGCATGGAAAGGGAACAACCCCTGCAATGCCTGGCTTTTTGTGACCTGTGACCCTCAGGGGAACATCACCACCCTCAATTTTGCAGACCAGAAGCTCAAAGGAAACATTTCTGAGAGCATTTCTCGTTTTTCGGCGTTGAAGTTTCTTAAGCTTCAGAATAACAACCTCACAGGAAGTATCCCGCCTAGCTTGGCCTCCCTGGCTCACCTCCAGACTCTTGACGTCAGCAATAATAATCTGATCGGTGACGTACCCGCATTTGCATCATCCGTGAAGCTGATTACAGATGGTAATCCTCTTCTTGGAAGCCATTCAGGTTCTAGTGGTTCAGGAAGCTCCGGTTCTCCTGATGGCGGCAGTGGGTCTACCTCAGGTGGGAGTTCATCTGGGGGATCAAAATCCCTGTCAGCTGGTATCATTGTGTTGATTGTTTTATTCACTGTGGCTGCTGTGGTCGGATCAGCAGTGCTGTGCTTCATGAAGCACAAGAATCATCTGAAACGATTTGGCAAGGTGGAAACGCACAGCCCCCCGGATGGGTCAGATATGGCTAAGTTAAGCATTGCTGGAATAAGTGGGACTAACCATTTTGCGAGTGAACTTAACACCCAAGGTAGCAGCGAATATGGGAATGCTCATGTGATCGAAACTGAAAGTTTATATATACCAATACAGGACCTTCGACGGGCTACCAACAACTTCAGTGCGGCCAACATTCTGGGAAGTGGAGGATTTGGTGTTGTCTATAAGGGGGTGCAGCCTGATGGAACCTTAATCGCTGTGAAGAGAATGGAATGTACGGATATTGGCAAGAAAGGAATGGGTGAGTTCAAGGCAGAGATAGAAGTTCTGAAGAAGGTCAGGCACCGGCATTTGGTTGCTCTCTTAGGTTACTGTGAGCATGAGAATGAAAAGCTTTTGGTGTATGAGTACATGCCGCAGGGCACTCTGAGTCAGCACCTGTTTGGTCAAGGGAGCTATCCTCCCCTCACTTGGAAGCAGAGGCTCGTAGTGGCTCTTGATGTGGCTCGAGGGTTAGAATACTTGCACAATTTAGCCCAAACAAGTTTCATTCACAGGGATCTGAAGCCCTCAAATATCCTCTTGGATGATGACATGAGGGCAAAAGTTTCAGATTTTGGATTAGTCAAGCTTGCTCCCGATGGCAAGAACTCTGTACAAACACGCTTGGCAGGAACTTTCGGATATCTTGCACCCGAGTATGCTAGTAAGTGCCATTCATATTCTTTGCCCTTTTCAACGTCTTTGCTGATTTGAATTGGGCCTTTGATTCTTATAGTTATGAGCCCATCTTTTCTTTTTATTGTTGACCCAAAATCACGAGAGATTAGCATGTGGCGTCAGTTATAGAACTGATTAGCGAGGATTTATTTTTTGATACCAACCAATGCGATCTGTTCCAAGTGGCTTTTGATTAAGCTTAATCGGGTTTTATCTCTGAAGTGCCCAAGTCAGTCGTGCAGTGTTTTTGAATCTAAAACCCATCTTACACCTCAAAACATTTGCTAAACTCAATCGTATGTCTTAGAAATCAGGCTGGAAATGTTTAAATGGTTAGGCTAGTGATTCCGGTTTTGGATCCCTTCTTGCAAAAAATTTAAAACCAATCATTGACCAAAGTTGTGACAGCAGGGACTGCTTTGTACTGTTGTGATGTTTCATCTTATCTTGTTGATAAGACACTACTGAATATAGTTATATTGGCATTGTCACCAAGCCCGCCTCATGGATGCTGTTCTTTGAGAGATCTTTGGCTGAAGTGCATAATTTTAGTATGGATTTATTTTCAGATATCTGATCTCTGTGTTTATCAAGAACTTAATGTGGCATTGCTCGTTGGTTTTTCACATCCTGTATGTCAGCATGCTCCTGTTTAGGAGATGAGTATTTGATTTTCACAACTTAATGTGGCATTGCTCAAGAACCCGCATTCTGATATTTTAAAAAAAAGAAATCGGAAAACAAACGCTGTTCTTAATTTCCAGTTGAAGATTATGGGGTTTTTTTTTTCCTACTCTTTATTTTCTCGTATTTTTTCCCTCTCATTAGTTGTTTCTAAGATCTTATTTTTGCCTATGCGAATTGATGCTGGTTCTCCTCACATTTAACTAAAACTCAGTAAATTAAAAATGGCTGTAATGCAACTTGCATTTTCCGTTTGAAAATCACTGATCTTTTAGTTCACAGAATAGTAGAATCTCTCTTCCGGTCCAATCTTTCAACTTGTTACCCATCAAATCAACGTTCATATGAACCGAATCAACTTTCTACCCAGATCGTTGGACTTGCTCGATCATGATCAATAAATTCTCCAATTATCAGCATTTTTGATATAGAAAATCAAAACTGTTTAATAATACTGTTCTTTCCACATCCATCTTCTACATTGTATTTTTTTTTTTTTACCGATGAGAAAGTAGAACATGAGTATGATAATTAATGTATAAAATGTGCCGTAGATCATGGTCTCAACATCCTCCACATTATAATCCCATTTTACGGGGACCAAAAATTTCTGTTTTTCTTTACAGGTGATAGAGTAGAAAATGGTAACAACTACAAGAATAATAATAAAGGGGATTCTAATCATGTTCTTCCTCCCTTGCAGCCACGGGGAGGGTGACCACAAAGGTCGACGTGTATGCCTACGGCGTGGTCCTGATGGAGCTCATCACTGGGAGGAAGGCCCTCGACGAGACCCTCCCCGACGAGATCACCCACCTCGTCTCCTGGTTCCGCCGGGTCCTCGTTGGCCGGGAAGGCCTCATGAAGGCGGTGGACTCCCGACTCGATCTCACCGACGAGGACTCGAAGAGTGTCGCTGCCGTGGCGGAGCTCGCGGGCTACTGCACCGCCAGGGAGGCCCACCAGAGGCCCGATATGGGCCATGCGGTCAATGTGCTGGTGCCCCTCATCGGGCAGTGGCGGCCCGCCAGTGCCGATAGCGGCGGTGGTGGTGGAGATGAGGAAGAAGATGCCGCCGCCAGCATTTTCCACGGCAGCCTCCCCCAGCGGCTCCGCCGGTGGCAGCAGAATGAGGGCACTTCCTTGTCGGGCTTTGATCTCGGCGTCTCCCAGGGGCCGTTGGACTTCTCCCATGGCAGCATCCCCGCCAAGCCGGAGATGTACCCGGATGGAAGGTAGAAGGAAAAGGTGAAGGGAGCTCCCCCCCATCGGCTGCTATTCTTCTGATCAGATAGTTCTTGCTGCCGGATTCCTCCGTTTCTCTCTCTTGGAGCGTCCTTCAGAAGAATTCTACAGGTTTCGGTGGGTCTCAAGCTCAGATTTTCAGCCATCTGCCCCCACTGCCGATGACGTCAATGCTCATTGCGCCGCCGAATGCAGGCAAGCGTAATGTCAGCTCTACTGAAGAAGCCTCTCTCTCTCTCTCTCTAGAGCCGTCTCTCTTGATTTCTTCTTCTCTCTTGTATGTTTTTGATGTGTTTTCTATTGGATTCGGGCGCTTGTAAAGCGGAGGATTGGTGCTTGGTGATGGCTAGCGAGGTGGGTCGAATAGGCAGTTACTGTATTATATAGCGTGGATTACCGATCGCCATATCTCTTCTTGTTATTCGAAGGACATTATGATATACGGCCCTACTCTCTCTCTCTCTCTCTCCCCTCTTCCTTCTTTGGGTTCAACTCGCATCATCTTGGCCGCAGACAGACTCATCCGGGAGAAACCTCTCCCCTCAACTCTACCCCTCGAGTCTCATCCGGAGGTAACCTCTGCAGTGCTCGCTCTCTTTCTCTCTCTACCTCTACCTCTCGAGAATCAGCCGAGAGAAGCCTCGACCGGGATCTCCCTCCCTTTGTCTCTCTGTCTCTCCTCTTTCTCTCTCTACCTCCCGCTCTCTTGGGAAAGAAAGCGATGGGAAGGAAATAACTAAAAGCCAGGTGGGGCGGCAGCACTTTTTCGCCGCTGGGACCACATGGCCCGGTGGCGGCCCGTTGACGGCGCGCGTGATCGAACGTGGGGGGCGGCGGATGAACTTCCCCGGCTGTGGTGGCACGTCGTCGCAATCCCGTCAAACTACATCTGGAAATGTATGGAGGACGTGCGCTTGTGAGTCAATATCTCGCCTGATGGACTCCAGTTGGCTGGGCCTTCTGGGGCCCAGTCATGACAGCTCAGCACGCGATGCGTAGGGGCCCAACACTCTCACATCTGTGTCTACGCCTGGGGCAGTCTGAGTAACCTACGAAAGCTGATTAAGAGGGCCTCAGGGGGCCCAATAAAAGGAGAGCCCAGGGAGGTGTGGCTGGGGCCCACTGTACGTCCACTCCTCCTTTCTCTGTTGGACTCGGTCTGAGTGGGCCCACAGCTGATAAAACAGAATCAGACTGCATGGGCAGCAAGTGGGACAGCTTGGATCGGGCCCCACCAAAGTACCTCTTTTGTCGCGTTGCATGAGTGAGTGGGAGGGGAGGTGCAGCTGGTTCCTTGCTTGTGAAGCAACCTCGTTGCCCTTTTCACACACATGGAGGCATGCAATGGCGTAGGGAGGTGGTGGCACGCGTGATGTGGCTAGGCTCATGCATGGGCGTTTGATGATGCCATGTAAACCTCAGCGGTGGTGTTGTTTGTGGGGAGGCAATGGTGGCATGGAAAAATATGTGTGACACACATTGAAACATGTGGCAGCACAGCCATGAGCCACGTGGAGCGAAGAGACTTGTGAGCAGCCACAAACGACTTAAAGTGGGGCGCACTATTGGGTTAGAACGAGGATCACATACAACCTTAGTAGTGTTGTGTTGTATGGAGAGGCATGTGGTGACATGGACTAATGTGTATCACATGTGTTGAGGCACATGGAGGCATGGGCAAATATGTGTGGTGTGCATGGAGGAGGGATATGGTGGCATGGACATGAAATTTGCATGTACAAGAGGTGTGACGTGACTCAGTCGTTGTATGTTAAATCACGCAAATATAAAATTTATAAAACTAGAAAATACGAATTTTCGGATATTTAGAAGTATTTCTAAATAAATATATCAATTATAATTCAATAAAAATTCCAAAAATAGCGGTAATTTTCCAGGTCGATCACAGGGATGTAATATAATATCTGGTAATTATTCAGAATTTTTCTCAATGAGTACGATTTTCTTACGAATTTTATACTAGGAAATAAAAAGGAAATATATTTAAAATTCACGAAAAAAAAGGAAATAAGGGTGCGGACGTCAGGATGATGTCAGCGCCCGGCGAACGCGAATCAGGCGGAAACACAATTCCGCCCGGCGATTCTTACGTAGGCGATTACAGACGACTCAATTAATCAAATTAAGATCTGTAAAAGCCGGAAGAATCGTAGTTGAACGAAGTATAGTTTGGTAAATAAAAATCAACAAAGTATCACTAAATGAAGCGTAAATTAAATTGAAAGCAGGAAAACAGAGTTCTGGCGTCGCGACGGCAATGCGTCGGCGATGCACCGGAATCCTGAGCGTTCGGGAGGATCGTCGTGCAGTGTCCACAGCCTCGAAGGCTCTCCTTAGACAAAGACGACGTGGGAAATCTCTAGATAAAGCAGGAAAACAGAGTTCCGGCGTCGCGACGGCGACGCGTCGGCGATGCACCGGAATCCTGAGCGTTCGGGAGGGTCGTCGTGCAGTGTCCACGGCCTCGAAGGCTCTCCTTGGACAAAGGCGACGTGGGCAATCTCTAGATCTTCTCGCGAAGTCTAGAGACCAATGAAGTGGGTCGTCGAATCGTCTCCGGCGGCTGTCACCCGGCGGAGCGGAAAAACGGCGACTTTGCGGCTCTCCGGCGGCTGTCACCCGACGGAGAGGGGCTGGATGAAGGTGAGGCGCGTGTTAGGGAGCTTCATCCTCAGGTCCGCGCAGCAAGAGGAGGCTCTTCATCGCATCTGGTACGCTCTCAGGAGGTGGCGACTGGTCTCCCGGCGGATCGTCCTCTTCCCGACGACGGCTTGTTCGTCGATCAATTGGAGATGATTTACTCGATGGATTGCGATCCTTTTATCGCGAATCGTTCAGAAATTTTAATAGCAATGCTCCGCGAATCGCGTTGACGAGATTTTCGCCGATGATCCAGCGATTCCGGTTGCTTAATCCTTCACCGGCGATCTGCAGGAAAGTCGCGATAATCAGTTAAAAATATATGAATTTTGACTCTGGGAGGATTCGAACCCGCGGCGGTCGCCCGCGCCTTACAAGGTGGATTTAGTCCCACATTGGTTGTGCGCGGATTATTCGGGCGAATATATAGTAAAGTTAGCTTTCTAGGCAAAGTCCTCTCGCGTGTACGACCACTCCTTGCCCCACAGCCGGCTGACACCGGTGACGTGGAAAGGGAGTGGCGCACACGTGCCCCTATCGATCTAAGCAAGCCGCTCGAGCCCCTGCTCGCGGCTACTCCCCGACTGCGCTTCCGACCCGCTTGCTGGCCGGCGGATCCCCCCATTTTGCAATATTTTTATGTTTATTTCTTGTTCTTCATTTATCTCAAAACTAAGACTGTAAAAATCGTATAAAATCACATAATTACCCAAAAATTCACGTTAATCAACTGAAAACCACTTTTCATGCTTTAACATAAATATAAGTCTATTTATCATGAGTTAAGGCTAAAACTATATTATTTACTAATTATTAACTCATGATAATGAAGACTTATCAAGGTGGCAAAACATGATATACATGAAATGTGCAAGCCCATGTGTGTGCATTACATAGGAAAGGCTAACACAATAAGTGGCGACATGGATACATTCACACATGCACATAAGACGATGGACCATCAGGGTAGCAAAATGCCAGATGTGGGTGAAATGAAGCGCCAAGTGTTGGGGAGGTGAAGTGTTACGTGAAAAGGATAAGTTCAAATTGTCATTAGATTAAACATCATGTACCCATTTGAGTGCTTGTGCTCTCTCATATATTTTGTATCCTCCATTTGTGCATATTATGTCTCCCTTATGTGAGACTCAACACCATCATGAGGTGAGGTAGCAAATAGTTAAAGAAATATTGATGTAATAAATTGATATCAAAATAATACATTAGAAGTGGGAAAAAAGGGTACTTATGGATAAAAGTTGGCTTGCATGGATAAGCACCTTTTGATCATTTCCATATCTATAGAGGTAATTGAGACCTACCTTCTAGTTTTAGAATAATAACTTGAAGATGTGTAGGTGGTGGTTATAGAGGCCATCATCCTCATTATTATCTTCATTGACAATATGGCAATAAAGTTGCTTGAGACTTAAGAAGAAGTTCATGTCCAAATAGGCATGGTGACATGACTTTTTGGTAGTGTATAACGTTGTTGTTAGGTAAAAGATAGGGTGGGCTAATATTGGTAAAGCACGAGGCTTTAATTATTACCATGTCTATAACAATCAACACAATTATGAAACAGATCTATATTGTATTGATAAGAGATTGATGCAACACATGGTTATAGGTGAGATGCAATAGTTATGAAAGAAGCAAAGTGTGCTCTATGCATGTAAACATTGATTTTGTGCAACATAAGGATTATTGTATTAACATCTACAAAACTTGCACGGCATAGTGTATGCAAGGCACCTTGGACACTAACATATGCTAGTGGTACTGCTTAGTTACTTATACTAGCTTATGATGGACCACAATGTGTCAAGGTAGTAGACAAGGAGTGTCATTTGTTCTACTAGTAGACAAGGAGCAAGCCAAGGTAGTGGACATATTAGAGTCATTGTTGATTTCAAGTAGGTCATGAGAGCACATCTTCATAGGCTTTAACACAGGTTTATTGAGGGCAAATGGTCATGATGTAATCTTAGTCATTGTCAACTCATTTTTCAAAATATGTTATATGGACAATGACATGGAATAAGTGTTGCATCACTTCATGAGCCAAGTGATCAAGCTCTAGGGGTTTTATAAGACATCTTAAGTGATCAAGATGCATGGTTCATGATGTGATTCTAGATGACTCTCTTCTTTGAGGTAGACTTGTGGCTCAATTTTTTCACCAACTTCTATATGTAGATAGATAGCCAAATGGAGCAAACTAATTGGATGTTGGCAGAATACTTTGTCATTACATTACAACAAATCAATCTTTTAACTATTGCCTAATTCTCATACAATTTTTACTAGAGTTTGGAGACAAGTTGTTCTTC